ATAATCGCGTTTCTACTACCCTTAATCATTAGTAATGACATTGAACTTGTTACTACATACAGCATGCCAGATATATGTGATGTGCCTGGATGCAAGAATAGTTACGAAAGCTCAATTAAAAACGAATAATACATACAGTGTTCTAAGATTCTAAGTGATCCGCTGTGTAAGCAACAATGGCTTCCTGCCATTCTTCGGTCAAATTAAACATCTTAAACAATTCTCGTTTTTGTGTGAAACATTTTCACGAATATGAAAAAAATGTAAGAATAAGACAATGATTTGTGTAAATATAGACGCGAGAAGCGAGTTTTAAGTATGAGAATGTCGTACTCTTTCCTTATCTATTTGTCTATCTTATTGATAAAAGCTGTTTTTAAGTGATTAAAATAACTTAAATAACTAGCACTTCAAAGAAATAAACTGGTGTTTCTGTTAAGTAGGCCTACTAGTAAAAAAATATTTACTACACCATCTCATAATAAAAGCATCATCGTCAAGACTCCAGTCTGAATGTTGATGTGATAAAACAATTCTATTAATACTATGGAAAGCCATATGGAGGCCTAGCTTCTGAAATCGTTTTAAAATATGGCAAACGTTTTGCATAGTAATTATTCAATGAAAATAAATTATTTAGTCAGTATGCCTTCAAAATTGAAACTTCAAATTTTGTTGTCGCCAACTAATGGTTTCCTCAGATAGACTAAAACATAATATTCCTATTGAAAATTGAAAATAAATTTTATTTGAACAAATTGTTAGATGTTAGTCTCTAAAAATCCCAAAGTCTCTACAAATATTGAAGTGGCAATAAGTTAGTCCTACTGTATATTGCCATTCTTGGTTGGTATAGTAGCTATATTTTGTAAAATTTAAGCCCAGTCTGTCTAGTAGTTTTTACTATATTGAACAACACACATTTATACAGAGACACCATGAGATTGTTATATAATAGTATAGATTATCAAATTAACAAAGGAATATGTAAAGTCCATCTATTTCCACATTCATCATACTTACAATACGATAAATGCAACCAAAAACATTATGTTTGTATTTTTAGTTTTAGACATATTGTGGTAAGTAGCAATTTTTCACTAAATAAAAAACCTAGATTCTGATTTGTCTATTTTACCATACCCCAAAAACCACTAAAATATGTAATTTAAATACTTTCATTCATTGATACAGAGCAGCAATACTCTCATTGTGGTTAATAGCCTAGCGTCTGTTCTTGACCCAGGCGGCGGGTGAGTGCGGCGTTGCCAGTTCGAACGTCGCGGCCTTGTATTAAAGGTGGCTGTGCTGCAACTGACTGTGACCATGGCGGCAGTCAGAGTGTTGTCACTGTGTCGGAAAACTAGTCGGAGAGGGAGGTGTGGGCAATGTCAGAATTGGTCACCTAAACATACGCTCTTTGAACACCGGATTCACTGAAATGTGTGAACTTGTCCTGGATTCAAATTTTGACATTTTTGGTGTGACCGAGACCTGGCTTCACCCTGACACTCCCTCAGACAACTTCAATATACCAGGATACAGTTTGTTGCGCTCTGATCGTCACCACATTTCTGGCTTATTTGAGGAGGAGGAAGCCGGTAGGGGCATTGCTTTATACATCAGGGAAAGAATAAAACAAGCTAATAAACATCCCCCAAAGAATTACCATGTCACTTCAAAAACTTCAAATAGAAATTGATGATATTTTTACACATGATTTTGAATTTAAAGAGAAAAAAGAATTGGTTTGAATTTGAGATCAAAATTACAGTTGAAAGAATTTGAACTTTGGTCTAAATTACCATGTAAAGGTAGAGGAATAGAATTATTCAAAGAAGTGCCTAGTAGCAACACATGGATATATTTAAAAAATGGCCTTACTACAGGAGAATGGATCACTTCATTAAAAATGATATCTGGTGTTGTACCAGTACGCAGCGTACCAGGGCGAAGCCAGGATGGAACCCTTTGCAGACATTGCAAGGAGCCTGAAACCCTTCCGCATGTCCTTGGCTCTTGTCCCTTTGGTGCCTTACTGCGTAATGCAAGACACCATGCTGTAAGAGCAATGATCGCAGAAGAACTACGAAAAAAAGGCTGGCAAGTAGTAGAAGAAATACATTGCACTGAAGATGGTGGATCGAACAGAAGATTGGACATTTTAATTTATGATACAAAATCTAAAAGTGGAATTGTAATTGATCCAACAATAAGGTTCGAAACATCAACAAATCAACCCCTAGAAGTAGATGAAGAAAAGAGGAAAATTTATAGTAAATGTGAAACTTATTTAAGAAACAAATATAATCTAAATTCTATATCAGTAATTGGCATAATGATTGGTGCAAGAGGGACTATTACAAAATTTTTTGACGAATTAAAAAAAAAAATATAATCTTCCATCAAGATTAAAAAATGAAATAGTCATAAAAGTGTTAAAAGAATCATGTAAAATCATTCAAAATCATTTATATGGACAACGTTATTAATCTATGTTACATGTTATTTATATCGTAAATTTAAGTTTTTTTTTACTGTGTCTAATAGGCAAAGTTTATTAATAAACTCAGTTTTCAAAATAAATAATATATGACTAACATATTTTTCCAGCCAACCTTCCACCTGGTATAGAAACACTTTCTGTTGTCATAAGACTAAAAAGCCAGAGACTGGGTCTGTATGTAGTATACAGGCCTCCCCTGGGATAATAAATGATGTATAATCCATGCAAGTGTTCATTCAATCTTAGTCCTGAAAACCCTGAAAAGGTCTGATAGCTGTACAAAGGTAAAAACCTGAGAAAGTACGTTACACCGGATAAGAGGGAGTCTATTGTATTTGCGATTTCTCTCTTAACTTACTTGTTTAGGAGCTACAGGATGGATGTGCAAGCCATTTTTCTTAGGTGTAACACGCTGTAACTCCTAAACGAGTAGCTTTAGAGAAAACATTTCAATAATAAAAACATTTTTAAATTGAATTGAAATTCTAAATAACAATCATAAAATAAAGGGTGTTACATTAGAAATATTTAAGTTGTTTTATAATACTAGCATTTACCCGGCGTGTGTTTCTGCGCTAACAACTATTATTTTAAATGGTAATTTGTTCTTTACAATCTATATCTTTATATATGTACTAGCTGTAACCCGCGGGCTTTGCCCCGTTTAACTTCTTAATTTTCAAGATGATCTCGTTCGCATGGCTCAATCACGTTCTGGTTGAAGTTTGTTCGCTACGCTCACTCACCTTTAGGTTGGAGCTCGTTCGCTACGCTCACTCACCTTTAGGTCGGAGCTCGTTCGCTGCGCTCACTTGCCTTCAGGTTAGCTAGTTCGCTACGCTAACTCGCCTCCAGGTTGAAGTTTGTTCGCTATGCTCACTCACCTTTTGGTTGCAAATTAGCTGTTGTCATAAATGTAAAAGAAATAATAGTGCTGCACCCTGTTGGTAATCCTTGTAACTTTAATGCTATTGAACATCATAGAACAGAACCAATTTGTTTAATTGAAACAGCTGTTAAGATTAATTAATTCCATTTCTCATAAGGTTAACATGGGAAACTCCAGAGCCACTGGGGTGGAGCCGATTGGACGGATCCCATGAAATTCTACACGTATGTACCAAGTTTCGTGGCAATCGGTTCAGCGGTGTCTGAGTTTATCACTGCCAAACATATATATATATATACAAACATCCTCTTTTATACTTATAGATTAGGTCTATAAATTATTATTATTAATTATTACATCTTTATAAATATATAGGTTTTTACTCTTTATGTTTACATATTTAATACAGTAGGGGAGAATTTAAACGTTGTTGAGTGCTCAGGTGTGCTTTGATTGGAATTTAATATATTTGGACTCATCTAAAAGTAAAATTGTTTTCTGTACTGCATTCTGTGGAAACATTGTGGCACAATTCCAAATAATGACTAATACAGAATGTTGTGATTATTCAAACCACTTACACTAATTGTTGTTGATCAGAAACAAATCTAGGGTTAAGTTTGGTCAATGGGATGCCTTTAGTTTACACTAATTTTGTTAAACCTTTACAAAAGGAGTATAAACTTAAAAATAATAACTGGGTCAGGGTACTTTAGTGGTTTTGACGAAGAACTAAGCTTATCTCAACACAGCTTTATTTGACCTTTTCATATTGACGAAGACAATTTCCAAAATTTCAATCAGGGAAGCCTTTTTATCACCATTAACCACAACACCAAAGCTACCAGTGTTGCTACCTGTGTAAACCAGTGTTTATTAACAAAAAAATATAGCCTATGTTTGCTGCATTTAGCAGGGGTAAACCTCTGGAGTGATTCAAATTATTTATTGAAAATAACGTCAACAGAAACAAACAAAGACAATCAAAAAACTTTTTTACATAAACGATATGGTGTACAGGGATATCTATTCTGACACATAGATAATATAATTCTTACAATAGTTTGTTTTACATTTGAGCGCTTTAGGGACTTGAGTCCCAAGCCACTAGTTATATTTATTTGTAAACATTGTAGTTCCAATAACACTTCCACTTCAGGTGAGACATTCCATAGAAAAGTAGTGGGCTATTTATAAAACAATATTTAATTATTTAATTCTTGGATACACTTTTTATTTTTTATTCCAAAACGTTCCTTAGTTTCTTATTAGGCCTCTTATTTAAGGAAAAAATATCATGCTTTCTAAATGGGTTTGAAAAAAATTTAATTGTATAAAATGTACAAATTGGTTTAGTTCTATAAGTAGGGTAGCCTAAATGATCTGTTCAACCATTTTTATTTTAAACTAGATTTGACCAATTAAAAAAATGTGAACAGGTTAAATATTTATTAATAGATGAGTTTGTTTTCATAAATGTATAGCTCTTGGTCTTATTATCTTTAATATAATCTAAAATTGGCTCAATATTTTTTTTTAAAGTAGGCCTATAAATACTAGAAAACTGTAGTATTCATTTGATATCCCCGAACTTGTGGTTTTTAGAGAAGTGTTCCATCTAGTAAGCTGCCTCAGTCAAAAGATGAATTAGTGTCCCTCTTCAAGACCGTTGCATTTCCCCTCCCACAAAGAGAGTTTCGAGAGAATTATAGAGGCTTAATGCAATCAAGGAAGAAAGCTGAACGCAAAAGAATTTGTTTAGCTTCAGTTAGCGAACAGTGAGTATTAGATGTAGGCCTAGTGGAAAGTTACCAGGTTCTAAATCTTATTTAAGTTACATTCTATTTTGCATTTTCAATGGCAAATCACAGGAAAATCCCAAACTTTGGATAGCTAAGAAGATTTTCTCTAAATGTTATGTTGTGGATATTCAAATGTTCTTCTTTGTTTGAAGTGAATTTTTGATGAGATTATTTGAAGTATTGTTATGGACATTTTCCATTAATATTTTTTACTCATATCGATGAAAAATGTCCTATAAAAAAGATAAGATGTGCACTTTCCAAGCTTCCAGGTTGATATCTTAAATAACTTTACTAATAAGTGGATTGTTGACTTTGTAATAAAGAATGACAGTAGACAGTTTCTGTGATGGTTTGAGTAGCCTATATTTTGGCATATTTGACAAAGTTAACAATGCAGGATAAACAACTTGAATGTGCTCCACTGGTATCAATTTAATTCTTAAGACAGCGACACACACTTTGGTCCGTATTGCTGAATATGAAGGGTGAGTGTTGAATAAGGTGAGTTTGTCTGCGTGGCCTTGTTCCTAAATATGACTAGTTGTTTCTTAGCCACGATTATTTATAAAAAAACCCAGTGATCAATGACAGCTGGGTAGCAGTTTCAAAATTTCAAAAAGCAAAATTTCACTTTTCAATGGATAGAACCAGTGACCTTTACGTTACCAGGCGAGGACCATATCAACTCAGCTACTAGTCTATTATCTCAATAGCAATACTATCTCCTGAACTAGTTTGTTTAGAGAGAACTTCTGATTAAGAACTTTACCTTAATTTTTATGTTGGGTAGTCAATGCTTTATGGGCGGGTGGCATATTTATTTATTTACGGTAATAGTTGTAGAAGGGAAACGGTTATTTCTGATGACTAACTATTTGGTGGTTGTACAATGGGTCTAATTAGCCGCTTGACGCTACTATGGTACTACTTTCCCCATACAGGAAATTACTCTTCCCCGTGAAAAATTGCTGGGATCATATAAATGGCTTGTAAACATTTCCCTTAAATTAAAATATTTCCCAATAAATAATATAAACAGAATTTTTTGTGGGGCGTTTTGTGTCTTGGCAGACAGTTCCTAGGACCGATCCCTGTGCAGCCCTAGAAGTGATGAGGATCCGACGCTGATCTTTGGTGGTGTTATTAAAAAGCAAGACACGGTCCGAAAGGTAGGACTTGATCATTCGCAGGAGGTAGGGAGGGACATGGAACATATGCTTGAGCACCCGCATCATGTTGCTGCACCTGGCGGAGCTGGTTGTTTTTTGCATTAGGTACTTGAATTACTGTTACTCAAAATGTACTACTGTATATTCAAACTCTGTTTCTTAAATCAATTGACTTTTTTACCATACAGTAGAACCCCCGCTAACCAAAATAAAGGGGGTAGAACCGTTTCGCATAACCATTTTTTTTTTGTTAATCCGTCATATGCTAAAATAGCCTATGTATTACGGTGTGCAGGAAAAATGAATTTAAAACAATTTCTATATAATACAGTGTTTTATTTTAGCAATAGAAATGTCACAACTGGTTAGGAAATATTTTAAACTAAACAACTGAAGTTACTTAAGCATTTTATATTATGTATTATTTATATTTTAGCCCTCTATTATTTTATTGAACCGTTTCGGTTAACCGGGGTTCTACTGTATCATTAATTGCATGTAAAAAATGTAATAATGCCTTTGTTTTTCAGTAAAAGTTTCACCTTTGGAGTAAATGAAGCTTCTAGTTCAACAAGACATCCAATAGAGCAAAAAAGTGATAGACTCAAACCACCTCCTGATTCAATCAATCACGAAAGGAAAAAGATACGTTTGAGTAGCAATAATAGTACTGATTTGGATAAAATTGTTATCAAAAAACGCAAACCTTCAGAAAGAAGTGATTCAGTTGAAGACAAACAATATTGTTTAACTAACCACCAGCCTGAAAATGAGAGGCTGTCATCCACCACTAGTGAAGATAAAAGCAGTGATAGTTGTAATGGTAGTAAAATAAGTAGGCCTAAAAAAATATCTCTAAAAAGGAACCACTTAGTTTCAACGGTAAGTTTTAGTCATTCAATTTTTTTTAATTAGACCTTTTTTGAGACGAATAATAACCTTGCAATTATTTTGTATCAAGTACGGTAAGCCTTTAGTTAAAATTATCAAGAGCTTTAGGTATACTTCAAGTTTCTCTGCAACCATTAGGAATTCAAAAATACTTCAATGTAAGATTAATCGTTTTAAGCTCCACACTTTTTTTAAGTTGAGTAATTTTATGTTTTGAGGATCCATAATGTAATAATGCCTTTGTTTTCCAGTAAAAGTTTCACCTTTGGAGTAAATGAAGCTTTATTTTACGCTGGGGGAAAACCAGACACTGGTTTGTTTACACATTTGTACCAAATTTGATGAATGACTTGTGTTGCTTGTATTTGTTATGATTGTTTTAAATGTGTTATTGAAAAATCGTTACTAACTCAACTGCAAAGAACTTGTGGCTTGAAAAAGTGCTGTAGTTACAGAACACTTCTGAGCTGCTCAAAATGTTCAAACCAATGGCTATTTATTTAATTGAAGTAACTTTGCCTTTTGAGTGACCAATCTTTGATCTAATAACAACTCTTTGTCTTTCATTGTTTTGTTGATTTGAAACCTTCTTTTTCAGTCATCCATCTCTTCATGTGAAAGCACGCCTGAAAAATCTCCATCCGAACCAGACAAAAAACGGAAACTGATTACTTGGCCCTAAACAGTTTTATTTAATTGCTGTGGTATTTTAATAACAGTAAGATTTACTGTACCTAGCCTTTTTATTTAATTTTTTAAGAGTGTTCTAAAAGCTTTGTGTAAAATTTAAAACTGAATTTACTCTCAGAATTGTATAGGTAAATTTAAATGATGATATCAAAGAAGTTGTTTTTTAGAGAGTGATTAGAAGTTTGTGTGGATTCCATTAAATTAAATGTGTTTATCTTTTGTTACAGAGAACTCAACACACCATTAAAATTCATCCATTCCTTATCAACCTCTCACGTAAATTGATTTTATCAGTAATTCTTGTTCTTGTTCGCTTGAAATTATGTTAGCAAAACGATTTTACAAAAGCAGGGGTTATAAATCTTGAAATAGCGTAGTCCTATAGCAGGTGTCTAACCCGTAGAGATAACTTTCCCAAAGGCCCAGTCCTTACTAAAAGGAAGACCAGTGTGTCCAGAAATAGGCTGGTCCTGAAGGTGACTGGGTGTTCTTTTCTGTATATACTTCTGAAATGTTAAGTGATTGTCATAAACAGCTTGTCACAGACAGTTTCTAACACCCTCTGGTCCAAGATGAAAGCAACTGATGTAGTTTGTCCAATTTTGTCTAAATCATCGGGTCTTTTTTTATGTAGACGAGTGAGAAGAAACAAGATGATGAGTTAGGGTTTCTGTGTTAAAACTAATCAAATATTTGCCGATCTGTGGTTGTAGTGTACTACAGTAGAACCTCACTAACTTGACAGTCAACAGCTGACTAGGCGCAGGCAAAAATAAGCAACTTTTCCACAATATTTTAGTTTTAATTTAAATTTAACATTTAATATTTGACATTTCTTTGAAGATTGTTTACTCAATATATGAAAATACATATAATACAATATGTAAATAATACATTTATATGTAAAAATTAGGCTGTTATGAATTTATTACTTTACAACCCCCAAACTCGAAAACCTCAGAGTCCACAAATAGTCGAGTTAGTCAAGTTTTACTTTAATTTGCTTCTTGATATTTATTTTCTTATTGCGTCCCTAGAAAAATAATAGGTACCGTACCGTGTCAAATTAAGAATAAAAGGTGCCTACATGGTTTTAATTGTTACCGTATTAATTTAAGCTATTTATTTATTAGCTGTTTCAACAAAGCTTCTAGAACACTAAATGTAATGAATGTATGTTTTAATACATTGAGGGATTTTAAATTTATTACAGATCAATTTTGTAAACATTGTTAACATAGTGATAAATATCAATTTTGTTTAGTGGTTTTATCCATCTGTGTGCAGTACTTGTTAAGTTTAAGTGCAAACTGTGTGCCAATAGATGTAAGATTAGCCTTTGATTGATCATAGCATGAAAAAGTCGAATTACATTTTTTACATTTGTTTGAATAAAATACTTGAGCCAAAATATGGATATTTTCAAGAAAATTTGACTATAAAACATAAATTAATATTGCATTAATTAATTGTAAATGTGTTTTAAAGCAACTAGTCATTAATTTAAGTTTAAGATTGTTAAATTTTGAAGTCTTTAAGGAATCCTCTAGGACAGAGGTTCCCAAACTTTTTGGTCTGGCAACCAACGTTTATCTTTCACTTTTTTCATGACCCTCCTAAATAATAATAAATAATTTGATAATTAATACGTACAACTATCATCTTATACATTAACTAGCAGTTACCCGGCACGCGTTGCTGCGCTTAACGACTATTATTTTTAATGGTAATTTGTTCTTTACGATGAATAAAAAAAGTGTACCTATACCAAAAATTAAAATATAATATTTTACTTAATTGCCATTGGATAAATGTTTTTTTTGTTTTTTCATTAGGTGTATAAATATAAACACTTTTAGGCGTACCTACCACCAGTGAGCACGCAACATACAGCTGTTCGTGTGAAAAGCGTGCATTTTCTAAATTTAAACCGACGATATTCAGGTATTGTCCTAGTGCCTTATAATGGTGATTGTGAAAGCAAGACACAAAGGAAATTGTAGTTGCTTATATTCTTCTTGTCCTTGAAAGATGCTTAATAATGCCTGAAAGTATCATTACAATCTGTCGAACGGTTTTGGAGTCCATAACGTACATACATAGTTCCTCTTTTATAGATATAGATATATCGAATATGTTTTAGTACACCACTTGCGAACTCGCTTTTCTGGTGCTCTCATGACTCATGACTGGACAGTAAAAATGGTAACTTACCCAGCTTTTGATTCTGGCCGAAAATATGTTAAATGTTTGAACACTTTCCGCGACCCATCAAAATAGATAACACGACCATAGTCATGACCAATAGTTTGGGAACTGCTGCTCTCGTATTAGAAAAATATTACAAACCATATTTTAAACAGTATTTTGCTTCATGAAACCCATTTTAGCTTGTAATGCATATCGATTTCAGACTAGGTTCATGAAAACTTTAATTTTCTCATAGTTAGTCCCTTTGCCTTAAGAGGGTTCCACCCGTCGGCTGGGCTGGTTACTGCATAAACATGGTCCTACAAAAAAGAACCTCGAGGCATTATTAAAGTGTTTATCGAGGTGAAATAAACTGTAGAATATTCACAAAGATCAAAACTATGTATTCGATAAACTGAAACTTCGTTATTGTTTTTCTGAGTATTTACAAAATAATTTTTAAAATCCGTAAATTAGTATTTTTTCACATGTGATTTTAACTTCTGAATAATAGTTAAAAATAGTTATTTGTGTAACCAAAGTCCCACTTTGCTGCACACGAGAGCAAAGCGCCGAGTGCGGAATGATCTTGAGTGCAGCAAAGGCCTTTTGCACTCGTGTTACACATTATATTTTTCCTACAGTCACTATAAAGCATATAAATAATTAGTTTTTCAATCATTATAGTTGACGTTTTTAGGTTCAGCTGGCAACACAAATAGGTGCCCTAGAGAAAGTAGTCCCCGGTCCGTATCACTCCGCTATTTTTTCCTCGGCAAGCAATGTGCTCCGCGACTTGAGAAAATAGTTCCGTATATTTTTGTAATTTGCAGTGGTTTCTGCGCCTAAAAAAATGCTTTAAAGTTATTTTCTTGTTTATTAATATCGTAGGAATGTTTTAAAAAACGTCCAGAAAGTTCAGAAATACCGAAAAGAGAACATAAACTATAAACACGAAATGACAGGTTAAATCGTAGTTATAATAGTCAATCAGCTGCTCATGGTATTATTTTCTTTAAGTGTTGCCATCCTATTTCCAAGCGTACACGGATTACGTGCATAATAGAACCACGATGTTTTGTGTTGTTTCGTTGGAATCCTGATGTGCGCCAAAGTATAAACCGTACGAAAAACTATAAACCTTACGAAAAAGTATAAATATGCAGCAATTAGCAGCTTTCTGTACTACAAACAGTACAAGGAAGCCAACTTTGTCGGGTGACTGTAGGAAATAGTTATTTGTGCAACTAGTGAGCAAAGGGAAAATTGACTCACTCGAGAGAAATACTTACTCACGAACCATAGGCGAGTGAGGAATGGTTTCTTGAGTGAGGCAATTGCACTTTGCACTTGAGTTGCACATTATATTTTTCCTACAGTTACCATAAAACAAATAAATTGGTAAAGAAACGTGACATATTTTTACACAGAAGTGAACTTTTAATATAAAATTTAATGATACAACAGTACAACAGCTGACCAGCTGATTTACAGCCAGTGCTGCCAACGTATTTCGCGCGCATATGACCTTGTATGCATGTTACGCGCTCACTATTTCGTGCCTTCACGTTGCAAATCTGGAGTGAGTGGAACTGTAGGAAAAATAATTTTTCCTCATTCATTGCAAGCAAGCTCTGATATGTCAAGAGCACACAAAAAAACACGCAATCATTGAAAATAATGTTGAAAGCTTTTACAATAGAGGCTTGTAATATGTTCTATCCCGAACTATATTACAATCCATATAATCCACCATCTTGAATTGAAATTCAGTCTGCCAGGTAGAACCCACTTAAGAGAGGAAAATACAATGTTGAACAGTGTTAAGATCACCCTGTGTTTAACATGTGGGATTGTAACAAAAGTCATAATGTTTGTCTTAAGTGTAATAGTGTTGCATGGTTATTTTACTGACTCTTGTCATATTTTAAAATATTTAGTTATTGCCATTCATATGGTTAGTGGGTGATGTCAGATGTTTCTATCATTATGAGCTTTTATTTTTCTGAAATAACCAAATATGATGTTGGTGTTGTGTTATGCACTTTCTTTTACATGCATAGCCTACAAACTTTCAAAATGAATTGAGTTGTAAAAATAACGCCTTAACTTGTTCGCTGCTATGGATGTTCCGGAACGTCAGCGAGACCACGGCGCCAGGAGCTAGGAACGTCCCCTTTCATTGTTGTTTAACATTTCCATGGATCAGCCAGCTTGTCACGAGCGTCCTATATTTCTTTGCAGCTCGGGACGTACTTTTCTGACAATAAAAAATATAGTTTCCCAAAATCACCACCAGGGTTTTTTTGTACAGGGCTTTGTCCCACCTCTTTCCTGCTGGATACTAGATTTCAGATAGTGACACTACTTTACTGACTACAACTGCGTAGTGCTGCTGACTATCAGAATCGCTTAGTACTATGTCAAAAACCAGTTTTATTGCAGAACATTGCTATCCAGTATAACTACTGTTGTTTTTACTTTAATTCAGTGTATCAGCAGCGATGTTACACAGCGTTGAGTGCTAGTTCAGCTCCTGGCGCAGTCGTGGCATCTAGCGTTAGCAGCAAACATGTTAATATCCTTTAGTCTGCTTTTCTAGTTTAAACACTTGTTTTAATATGTAAAAAAACTGAAGATGATCTTGCTAAACAGTAAAAATAAAGTTAAACAAAAAGATTAAGGATTTTTGTGAGGATAGTTCGTTAAGCAGGCTTACCTCCTAACAAAACTTTACAACACACAATTTTTTTCTATGCTTGTAGTATTGTTTTTTTTTCGTATGGGGATAACAGTTATGATAGAGTTTTACTATGTTATTTATTGCGTTCACTCTTTCCCATTCCTGTAAGCCTATTGTACAAAAGCCCCCAAAACCCGGGCATTTTACACTATTAACCTCAAAATTCAGGGTATGTACTCAGTAGTTAGGTTTACAACCAATGTCATATTTTCACAGCGTACAGGTCGGTTTTGCCATGTGGTATGCTTTTTAGGAAGGGTTAGGGATACTATTTTAAGTGAATGGAAATTACAGTAAAACTCCAATTATCCGAACTCCAATTAACCGAATCTCCAATTATCCGAATCGCTTATTTCAACAATTTTAAAAACGTAAAGCTACAGTAATAAGTTTTGCAAAATATCAAAGAATTGTTATTAAACACATTTAGCCAATTTTGGACTTTGATGGAACACTATTGACTTAATAACATGTATAGAACACTTGTACTATGAGCATTGTAAACTGTAAAAATGTTCTGATTGAAATTATTATTAATTAAAAGTTCACTTAGTACCGAAAATGAGGATTTTTCTTTAAAATTCCCGGAATACCGGTAAAACTCTGATTATCCGAATTTTTGATTATCCGAATGGGGTCTGGTCCCTATTGATTCGGATAATCGGAGTTCTACTGTATTTAGATATTTTAGTTACTTACTGTCTTTGCAATCCAGATGTATACAGCCACTACACACACCCGTTACACTACAGCCGTTTTAGAGATAACTCCATCGTCGGTTGCGTAGTGATACACTAAACCTGATGATTGTTCTTGCAGTTAACACAAAAATTCTTTATTTTCATTGTGTCTACAGTTAAAAATATTAGGTACATATTATACAACACATGACATGACACAAAAACATTGGAGCATGTGTACAGCAACATTTGCGAAGGCGGTAAAAAATAAAATATTTTCTACATATATTTAAACTCAATCCACCACATATTATGTTGTGTTTCAGAATTAAATTTTAGCATGGTAGGTAGACCTTAAGGAATAGATATTTTCTAATACAGTACCAAAGGCAGGATGAAGATCCAAACCATTTAGGCCGCAATTATTTTAAATTTATTCATTCTGTAAATTTACAATATTGTCTGGTTGTGTTTGAAAACCATGAATCTTAGGTGACCATACTGTGATAATAAATTTAAATACTAAATGTCAATTTCTCTGATGGTGTAAACATATTTGACTAGCTACTTAATACAATGTAAACAAACTTTTGATAAGTCAAATAATTTCAGAAATTTTATAATTGTTTAGTTTTAACTAACTAAATTGGTTAAACGAAAGTATGTATAAATTGAAACTAAAACTTGGGGTGGTTTTTAAAGCTTAATATTTATGTCAGAGTTGGATTAAAGCATTGGTTTTAAACCTCAGTTGTTGATAGTCAATGATCAAGGTCACTAAATTTAAATTCGATATATTGAACGCATGAACAACGCCTCTGTGTTCTGCCTATGATTCTATGTATCCAATGAATTATTATTTTTTTCCTTACTTACAGGATGGTAAGCAATCATAAATTTTTACTAAAGAGACTGAATCTGTGTTTTTTATAAGATTTTAAAACAATAAAGAATGATAAAAAAGAATATACTGTAGTTTAATTTTCATTTCACCACGAATTATTCTATTGTGATGAGTGTTAAATTTCCTCATTATTCAATAAATAAATAAGAGACTTTATGTTCATGAATAATAATATCCACCTGAGGCGGTGATACCGCTGTCTGCGCTGTGACATGTTACACTTCAGATTGTTTGAGCATATTGCTTATTGTTGTTTCAAATGAAGCAAGTCACACTGCTGCAGTCTTGGACTCCAACAGAACAGGAGCAGACGTAAAGTTTCGTCTTTGGCCTTGTATGCACACTGGACCCATCCACGTGGCGAATACTAAGGCCTGAGTCAAAATTAGGCCATATGATGTTTGCAGACGCCTGTCGCGGTGTGTCTTGAGCATCTCTGCAGCGTAATGTTACGGTGCATACGGCGGTGAGTCACCACTTTTAAAGCAAATACAGATATAAGGATTTGTTATTCTTGCCACAAATTTCCCAGGTTAAGAATGATTTTTTTGTATATTAATTTTATCATGTTGTGACTTAGAACAAGCTTGAGAGCACTTAAAAATATCCAATAAAACCATTAGACATTCTAATAAAATAAAAAGGGGGGGGGTTGGCCACCCTATCTATCCCATGTTAATTTCTTCAACTTAAGGTAAATTTTTCTAAGAAAGTAATAGAGTTAGGGATCTAACTTTTATCTACTGAAAATAGTGTATGATAATGAGTAATTCAGCTGGCAACTTTTTAAAATATCAATTGGGTAATTTTTAAATTTTGTTGAAAAACATCTGTTTTTATTAAGTTATTTGTATATTTATTTATTTTTAACTAGCAGAGTACCCGTCCTTCGTACGGGGTTGGCATACAAGTATAAAATGCTTATTACATTTATGGGAGAGGACACGGTTTAAGAAAATTTGGTCTTTTAATTTATAAGGTATCCTATAGTGTAGCACACATCTACAATAGCCCTAATGTTCTATCACTGCACCTAAACCATAGACAAAAATAAAGTTCTCATTGTGTGCCACAACTTTTTAGCCCGACAGACGTTGTCCTGTCCTAATGTGGTTTTATGTCAAATGCTCGTTCATTTTCAAGATGAGCTCGTTCGCATCGCTCAATCACGTCCAGGTTGAAGTTCGTTCGCTACGCTCACTCACCTTTTGGTTGCAAGTTAGCTGTTGACATAAATTTAAAAAAATAATAGTGCAGCACCCTCTTGATAAACCTATTACCTTTTTAATGCTATTGAAAATCACAGAATCAAATTGTTTAGTTGAACCAGCTGTTAAAGATTCTTTAATTCCATTTAAATATACTCATAAGGTTAACATGGGGAACTCCAGAGCCACTGGGGCGGAGCCCGAAATAATTTTTGAGATAAGAATATGCCTAAACGTTAATCGAGAATGTGAGCTATCAACATGCCAAATTTCAGCCCAATCCGTCCAGTATTTTATGCGTGATTGAGCAACACACAAATATACAAATGCACAAACTTTCAGATCTTACTAATATTATAAATCTGAAAGTTTGTGAGTTTGTGTGTATGTTTGTGTGTGTGTTTGTGTGTGTGTTGCTCAATCACGCATAAACTACTGGACGGATTGGGCTGGAATTTGGCATAATGATAGCTCACATTCCCGATTAACATTAAAGCATATTCTTATCTCAAAAACCCTTTCGGGCTCCGCCCCAGTGGCTCTGTAGTTCCCCATGTTAATCTTATGATTTTTCATATTTAAAAGGAATTAATGAATCTTAACAGCTGTTTCAATTAAACAAGTTGGTTCTGTTCTATGATATTCAATAGCATAAAAGTTAAAAGGATTACCAACAGGGTGCAGCACTATTAATTTTTTTTTAATATATGACAACAGCTAATTTCCAACCAAAAGGTGAGTGAGCGTAGCGAACAAACTTCAACCTGGAGGCGAGTTAGCGTAGCGAACGAGCTAACCTGAAGGCAAGTGAGCGCAGCGAACGAGCTCCAACCTAAAGGTGAGTGAGCGTAGCGAACGAACTTCAACCAGGACGTGAATGAGCCATGCGAATACTTATGAAGTTAAACGGGGCGAAGCCCGCGGGTACAGCTAGTTTATAATATTAGTAAGATTTTCTATCTCCTAAACTATAAAAGATATGTCCTTACATTATTTATATCAATTTTAATCTGGTCTTTCTGAAATTTTTCCATTAATGACATTCTGATATAATATGGTCTATATTTTTTTAAATATTTATTTAACCCAGTAAATTATTAAAAAAAAAAATATCCAATTTATATTTTTTTAAGTTATAGCTGTACTCATAAATATATATACACTCTTTCAGTGACATCAAAGGTAGATCCCTAACTCTAATACAATAGACTCCCTCTTATCCGGACACCTTTTAACTGGACATCGGTTCAACCGTACTATACTCGGCGGAAATGGCATCTCTTTAACCAGACAATTTTTATCAGCACATTGGTTTAACCGGACTAGATCGGCAGGAAGTGGGCAGTACTGAAACGACTGTTCTCGTGGGAAAGATTTGAGACCAGTGGTGTATAAACACAATGCTCTCCTAAATTTAAGTTAAATATTTGGGTTGCATGCATTTATGCGTTTTAACGAGTTTTTGGGGACTTAACAACCTGAAAACCATTATCTTATCCGGTCCCGAGGAGTCCGGATAAGAGGGAGTCTACTGTCTTATTATGCCATTTGCTTTCAAAATAAATGCTTTTCTTTAGAGAAACAACTATCTAAACTAAAAACCCTTAAACAAAAGTACTCAAACAATCTCAAAACCCAAAATATCTAACAAGCGCAGTCTATAAATTAAAAATCTGGCTGCAGTTAAAATAGTACAAAATGGAAATAAAAAACGAGCAGAAAAATGTGGTTCTGATCCTATATGCAGTAACACACTTGCTCGATAAGTCAGTTAATGAAACTGCACTAACTTGAGAATAGCGTGCAGTCTGCTGCTGAACTTTCAACTGAACAAACGGCAATATTTTAGAAAGAAAACCTCTAGTAAGACCAATGAAGTGTTGAAAAATCCTAAATAGCAAAACTTATTACAGCCTACTTAGTGACAGTCATAAAAATAAAAAAAAACACTCATAGATCAATGTCCCTTTTAATATTTGCTCCTTGTTGGACCTGTTGCAAAGTTTGATTAAATAAGTGACAAATATTACAAGTGACTTAACTAAGAGAAAAGAAACTTATTACCTTTTAGCATTGACTATATTGGGTCCTTAAAATTGAATAATGGTTGTATCAATAGTTGAAAGCTTTTAGTAATAGCATTAATAGCTTTGTAAATGGTAATAGGTAGTACAGTGACATGGAATCAGCATATAAAGTTCATGGCCTAGTCAGAAATTGCGACACTCTTCATTCTAGTATCTCTACCTATAAAGCTTGTTCACACTCGCTGCAACTAGAGTAGCGGCTACTAATCGCTATGTGTAAACAGAAAGTAGCGGCAACACAGTATGGTATATGGTATAGTTAAATATTTTAAAACGGATGATAAATAAAAACTACATAGAATGTCCATAAGATTAACATCTGAACTTCAAGGGGTTTTAGGTTGTAAGCTTTTTTATAAAATCCCTATGAAAACTATTAAACTTCCCTATTTTTTTACCTGAATAATGAGTACGGTATAGGTACCAAATTTCAGTCTTCTAGCTAGGAAAATAGAGAATTAATGATAAATCAGTGAGTGAAAAAAGGGCTTTCAAATTAGCAAATTAGCTGTATTAGCAATCCAATACATCTTCTTGGTATAGGCATATTGGGTATCAATTTAAAGCTCTTATCCTCTAGATGTGCCTTTTGTTGGTTTGGATGATATGCCGTAAAAGCCCTTCGTCCTATAGGCTTTAAAAATTTAATTTGAGAGTTTTTGTGCTGTATTATAATATGAATCATTTGAACTATTTCAACTTTACATTTGTTTACATCAAAACAGATGGCCATGATACAGTTTTGTTTACATCCATATGACAAATTTGAAATATGTGAAAAATTTGTAATTTTTCTAAGATGCCTCGAAGAGATTGTACACACAATGAAAATAATAGGGATATGAAGAGAAATAATCGTTTTCAGCCTTCTATATACTACTACTAGCTGGCCCGACAGATGTCGTCCTGTCCTAATGTGGTTTTATGTCAAATGCTTGTTCATTTTCAAGATCCAGGTTGAAGTTCGTTCGCTACGCTTACTCACCTTTATGTTGGAGCTCGTTCGCTGCGCTCACTTGCCTTCAGGTTAGCTCGTTCGCTACGCTAACTCGCCTCCAGGTTGAAGTTCGTTCGCTACGCTCACTCACCTTTTTGTTGCAAATTAGCTGTTGTCATAGTTTACAAAAAAAAAGTAATCGTGCTGCACTCTGTTGGTAAACTTATTAACTTTTTAATGCTATTGAACATCACAGAATCAAATTGCTTAGTTGAACCAGCTGTTAAGATTCTTTAATTCCATTTAAATATGAGTTATCATAAGGTTAACATGGGAAACTCTAGAGCCACTGGGGCGGAGCCCTTTTGACGGATCTGCACCAAACTTCACAGAAACCATCATTGAATAATGCTTAATAATGCCTGAAAGTTTCATTACAATCTGTCGTGCGGTTTCGGAGTCCATAAAGGACAAACAAACATACATACAAACAAACATACATTGGATTTTATATATATAATGTATAGATAAGTTATATCAAATATAGCATGGATTTTGAAATCTTGAAGTGAGGCTCACTGCTAGTTTTCATTAACTGTTTTCACTCTAGCCAAATATTACATTTTCGCATTTAAGCATAAAATGTTTTACTGTTTATAAACTACATTACCTTAATGTAAATTAATTTTGTAACGCATATTTTATTTAAGGATCTTTTCACGGTGCATTTCCCCCATATTCTAATTTTTATAGTTAATGTGTCAACTAATTAATACATTAAATTGACAACTGGGCCCAGAATCAAATCTTTAAAATATTTCATAACTCATCACAAGCCTGACTTAGTGACCCTTGCTTTCAAGATACACACTAACCATTCTCCTATCCAGTCAGTTGAAAAAAACTCTAAAATAACAGCTTACAATACTATTTTAAAAACATCCAGAGATCTTGTACGGTACTACAAGTGTAGCCAAAAACACAGTAATTAATTGAATGAACCAATAAAAACTTCATTTTTGAATATTTGGTGCTGTTTTGTACTCATCAGGAATTCATGGAATTGTTACTTTCCTGTCTCAATCCATTACTAATGTTCTGTAGATTGAGGTTGGTAAAAACCAGTTTAACAGTGAATGGGAAGGCAATTACTCCAAGGACTTGTTGATGTGCAACATATAATTTTGGTCATGTTACATCATGCTGACGGACTGCCAGTAGTGCCAGTCTAGATTACCACTATCATCTGCTGCTTCAGCTGGTCATCAACTCAAGGTATTGTATTCACTTATTTAACCTCAACACTTTTGTCCCATATTTTGAATTTTGAAATTTTGTTTTAACTTTGCAATACCTTACCAAAATTAAGAAAGTGTTTTGTTTATTTTAACATGACACTATATTTCACTGGTAAAAAAATATTGGTAGTTAAGTGAATAAATCACTTGATAAAATTTAACTAATACAATATAGTTGTGGTATAGCTAATAAGCATTTTGACAACACATTCATTGGAGTTTTAAAAAATTGGTTCAATAAAAAATACACAGATATGGTTTAGTCGTAAAATATGTTTAAAGAAAAATATTTTACTTAGTCTGTTACCTATAAAATTGTGTTTTACCTATAAACTCTTAAGTTACTTGAGTCAAGATTTAAATAATATCAAAATAAGGTTATTAGAAATATGATAATACATAATTCATAGAAGGGTATCGGTAGTCCAAATACAAACTTAATTGATGCAGGAAAGAGAATGCATGTCTAGTGTTAAATTTTAGATAAACGTCGTGTTAGTTGCCTGTACATATACAATAAAAATCACTGATTCGGTGGTTAAATTTAATCTCTTAATGTGCCCAATATTGATTTCAGACAAACATTAGATCCTATATTGGTGAAATAAAAATAGTTTCCTCTAAACCAACTCGAAGGATTAACGTTAAACTATTTCAAAATGTTTGTTAATGCAGGGTGTACAGAATCCAGAGGTTCACTAGTTAGTTAAAATTTCACAACTGTCAAACATAAACAAACGTCTACATAATTTTAAAGCTATTATTGGTATGAACATTTTTGTGCTTTCAGATTTTGAATCTTTTTATTTGTTTCAAAATGGCAGCCCTTTATATGTAGAAAATTCTGTACGAGTACTGTACCCTGATTTTTTTTATACAGATATCTTTATTTTGACTTAAATTCTAAATTTCTTAGTAGCTAAGCAATACTTTGACATGCTATAATACAATAGTACATATCCCAAACAATAATCAATAATGTAATAAAAAGTATTTTTTTTAAAAATAGTTGTTAAGAGGTCCGTGAAGTTGGCGTACCCATATTAGCGTATCCACTTTTGATCATACCAATCGTTAGTTCATCGTTAGTTCTCGATAGTTCCCAAATTTTTTCGTTAGTTCTCAAAAAATAAAAAAGTTATAGCCGATTATAAGTGGGTACGCTAACTTCACACTTCCGGGTTTTAGCACGCACCGTTTTCTGAGGAGAAATGTTTACATCTATATACCAATCGTTAGTTCTTCGTTAGTCCTCGATAGTTCCCAAATTTTTTCGTTAGTTCTCAAAAAATAAAAAAGTTATGAGGCATACAAAGTGGGTACGCTAACTTCACAACTATACAATTTCCAGCGGGCACCGTTTTCTTACTATAAATGCTTATATCTATACACCAATCGTTAGTTCTTCGTTAGTTCTCGATAGTTCTCCAATATTTACGTTAGTTCTCAAATAATAAAAAAGTTACGAAGCATAAAAAGTGGGTACGCCAACTTCACAATTATAGAATTTCCAGCGGGCACAGTTTTTTTTTACTATAAATGCCTATATCTATATACCAATCGTTAGTTCTTCGTTAGTTCTCGATAGTTCTCCAATATTTACGATAGTTCTCAAAAAATAAAAAAGTTAAGAGGCATACAAAATGGGTACGCCACCTTCACAATTATAGAATTTTCAGCGGGCATAGTTTTTTTACTATAAATACCTATATCTATATACCAATTGTTAGTTCTTCGTTGGTTCTCGATAGTTCTCCAATATTTACGTAAGTTCTCAAAAAATAGAAAAGTTAAGAGGCATACAAAATGGGTACGCCAACTTCACAATTATAGAATTTCCAGCGGGCACAGTTTTTTTACTATAAATACCTATATCTATATACCAATCGTTAGTTCTTTGTTAGTTCTCGATAGTTCTCCAATATTTACGTTAGTTCTCAAAAAATAAAAAAGTTACGAAGCATAAAAAGTGGGTACGCCAACTTCACAATTATAGAATTTCCAGCGGGCACAGTTTTTTTTTACTATAAATGCCTATATCTATATACCAATCGTTAGTTCTTCGTTAGTTCTCGATAGTTCTCCAATATTTACGATAGTTCTCAAAAAATAAAAAAGTTAAGAGGCATACAAAATGGGTACGCCAACTTCACAATTATAGAATTTCCAGCGGGCACAGTTTTTTTACTATAAATACCTATATCTATATACCAATCGTTAGTTCTTTGTTAGTTCTCGATAGTTCTCCAATATTTACGTTAGTTCTCAAAAAATAAAAAAGTTAAGAGGCATACAAAGTGGGTACGCTAACTTCACAACTATACAATTTCTAGCGGGCACCGTTTTCTGACTATAAATTGTTATATCTATACACCAATCATTAGTTCTTTGTTAGTTCTCCAATATTTACGTTAGTTCTCAAAAAATAAAAAAAGTTACGAAGCATAAAAAGTGAGTACGCCAACTTCACAACTATAGAATTTCCAGCGGGCACTGTTTACTGACTATAAATGCCTGTATCTATATACCAATCGTTAGTTCTTCGTTAGTCCTCGATAGTTCTCCAATATTTACGTTAGTTCTCAAAAAACAAAAAAGTTACGAGGCATACAAAGTGCCTATAATACAATAGTACATATCCCAAACAATAATCAATAATGTAATAAAAAGTAATTTTTATTACTTCACAATTATACAATTTCCAGCGGGCACCTTTTTCTGACTGTAAATGCCTATATCTACATACCAATCGTTAGTTCTTCGTTAGTTCTCGATAGTTCTCCAATATTTACGTAAGTTCTCAAAAAATAAAAAAGTTACGAATCATAAAAGTCAGTAAAATCGAATGAAGGTATAGTTCTGTTCATAAAATAAAACTATAAAATGGCTCAAATTTAATTTGATAATGTTTTAATTATAAAATTAAACTGTCATAACCTAACCAAACCGACCAAACTTGCTGATAATGAAAAAATCCGAGACAAAAAAGTAGTACCTAAGGTGAGATTCGAACCCGGCTCCTTCAGATTATCAGCTCTGCACTCTATCCACTATACCGCTGAGGTCGATGGTATCATGCCGTATCGTTGCGGTAATGGTGTTCCCTCAGCCAATGAGAACAGCTGGAGGGTAGAAGTTTCGCTCCCGAACAGATTTGTTGGGCAGGGACTAGCCGTTAGTATTAGTATGTTGTTTCTCATAAATTTCCACTATATTCACTGTTGACAGTCCAACAATAAAACCTGTTGTTTATGTGCTGTTTGCCGGTTTGATATTACAGTACAGTAGACTCCCTCTTATCCGGACACCTTTTAACCGGACATCGGTTTAGCCGAACTACACTCGGCGGAAATGACATCTCTTTAACCGTACAATTTTTATCAGCACATTGGTTTAACCGGACTGGATCGGCAGGAAGTAGGCAGTACTGAAACGACTGTTCTCGTGGGAAAGATTTGAGACCAGAGTGATTACGTGTCTACATAGGTACAATGCTCTCCTGAATTTAAGTCGAATATCACAAAAACAGTCTGTTTTAACGAGTTTTTGGGGACGTCGGTTTAACCGGAAAACTTGGTATCGAGACTGGCCTCAATCCCGAGGAGTCCGGATAAGAGGGAGTCTACTGTACTATCCTGTTGCTATCAACGTTTACGAAGAGAAAGAACTATATCCTTTTAATATAATTTTATTAGCTAGCATTCCAATCAAACAAAACATCTCAAACCGGAAAATTCAGTCTTGAAGTAGAGAGAAAATATTCAGTTGATAGCTGCACACTTTATACATGGTGTCCTGTAATTAAAAGACAATTAAGGAATATGTTTTAAGGGTCAAAATAAAACGAAAATCAAGTATAAAAAAAAACTGTACCAAAATAATTATCTTTTTATCGAGATATGTTTAGATTTTTTTAAAACCAATTTATATCCTTAAAAACTATAAAAGATATCTTTATGATGATTGGTATATATGGTTTGAAGAAGCAATAGACTATTTGCTAAAATAATCATTAAAAAACATTTGTTGTTTAAAATGAAGTTTGTTCAATTTTTATAACTTAAACTACGGTACTAAAAACTGGCTGATTTAAAAAAATATTTCTAGAATACTTTTATTTTGCATTTAAAATCTTTTATCTTTTAAGTTAAAAAAGATTAAATAATATATAGCTGGAAAATCACAAATTTTTTTTGTAGGGGCCAGGTAAAATTAGGCACACCCAGACAGTTTGGCCTTATTTCCCAAAAATTCGCAATAAGATTTTGTTGACAACAGCTGATATCAAAATTAGTCATAAACATTTTCTCGTAAACTACAGTGTAAACGAGGCTTTTAGCTGTTAAATTCACTACTGGTATTTTTTGTAAGAATAACTGATTTTTTTTAACTCAATGATTGAAACTCACTTTTATGTTCCAGAAAATGGACGAAGAAGGAACAAGATGGATTGATGAAGAGTTTTTAAAACTAGCTCTAAAAAACGAAGGCAAAGATGAGTTTTTGACAATCTCTAACTTCACTATTAAACCAGCTGTAGAATCTGGTAATAATTATTGTACCCAGCTGTATAGAGTGAAGCTGAACTACCAGAGAGGAAACGACAATCACTCAAAATCTCTCATCATCAAGGCTCCTCTTGATGAAGGTTCTCTAGCAAAGCCAATAATTGATGAAATTGGCTTGCTGAAAACTGAATATATCATGTATAAAGAAATCCTACCAGAAATATATGCTATTTCCAAACATCAATTCGGTCCAAAGTGTTATTTTTGCAAGAGAGAGGATGTTCTGGTGATGGACGATTTGACAGAAGACGGTTACATCATGTGTGACCGCTTGCAACAATTAGACGTGAACCATTGTAGAACATTCATTGTATCTCTTGCCAAGTACCATGCCACGACAGTGGCTCTTCACAAGAAAAATCCAAACTTGGTAGAAGCTAATGGTACACACCCAATGTACAATGGCACCACCGAACTCAAGATGATAACCTACCATGAGACCATGAAGCGTAATGCATTTTTAACGATTCTGCAAAAACTAAATGGTATGGAAGATTTGATTGAAACGATTCAAACTCATGGAGACAATTTGAGAGATGCTTTGGTGAAAGTGTTCATAGACGGTGGATCGGTAAATGTTTTGAACCATGGCGACTGTTGGAACAACAACATAATGTTCAAGTACACGGAGAGTGGCGAAATATTTGACTGTAAACTGATAGATTTTCAGATCAGATCGTACGGAACTCCAGCCGTTGATTTGTTGTATTTTCTGTTCTCTAGTGCCAAAAACGAGGTGAGACGAGACCATATGGAAGAGCTGTTGCGACTTTACTGTGATACTCTAAATGAAACGCTTTCAGGTTACAACTGCAAAGAAAGACTTTCTTTTGAAAACCTCCAACAAGAGATGAAAAATTCTTCTCCTTGGGCACTTCACATAGTTATAAACTACTTGCCAATGATATTGAACGAACCTGACGAACTGTCAGAGAAACTCAAAGAAAATTCTGAGAACTTGAACAGTTTTGATATCAATGTCAATCCTGTATTGAGAACTTTACTTGGTAAAACTTACAATGCTGTATTGCCAGAAGTCTGTAAAGATCTACTTGCACTGGGGTTGGTTGATTACTTTAAACAATTTAATAGCTGATACACATAGTAGGTTAGTACGAGTAGGTTGTACAGTAAAAATTTGAAATCTTTGTCAGAATCTCAGAATATTTACATAAATTAAGAGACATTAAGAAATGGTTAGCGAGTTTGTTATTACATATATTGCGATAGTTTTTCAAGTGTAACAAAAAGAGTTTGAAATATAAGAGTTGCTGAAGTAAGAAATAAAAAGGAGTAAATCAAATTGTTAGGTATAGAAAAACTGAAAATTGGACAATTTTAATGATGACAGAATTAAGTCTATATGTAAATAAATAGTAAAATAGGGAGCAATTGCTGTTAGCAGTTCAGTATTTAAATAAAAATCATCATTTTAAAAGTATGTATTTTTTTAAATTACACTCTCCTTTATGTTAATTAATGAATAGTCAATGAATAGTCATTTATTCCATCTTTAAACAATACAATATTGTAATTGATTTTGTCAAAAAAATCCTTAAACTAATACACAAAATTATCACAGTAGCTATAAATTATATCACAGATTGAGATTGGCTGCATTTAATTAATTGTAAACATGAAAACGACCAATATTCGACATGGCTACACAGTGTGAATTATTGATTCTAAGATAGAGTTTTTAACAACTAAAAGATGACAATAAAAATAATTCTAAATGGAATTCTAATAATAATCAACAAAGATAAAAAAGTTTATCAATCTGCAAAATTGATGACTTATAAAACTATATTTCCATGTTTAAAAAATTCTTTGGTACAGTAAAAGGGGTTTGCAGAAAGCCAGACAGACAATTTCTTTTTGAAAACCTTAAAAGGAAGTGATCTTGATTCACAATTCAGGTTGTTAAAAAACCTAATTTCTGACACAAAATGACTTTTGACAGTTGATTGTAGTCTACACTGTGGTAAATCAACCAGACTTTTGTTTCTGGTATTATAACTATGTACATCTTCACGTAGCTTACAACTATTTTTATTTTTCTTTATATTAACAAGACAATAAAATATATAAACATTAATAACAGTTAAAATACCTGTGCATATAAATAGCGGTTTGCAATGAGCTAGCCTATCCGATTTGGTAATAATCCTCACAGCATTTTTTTGAATAAGTAAGATTTCATGTATGTGAGAACTTCCTCCCCACAGCATATTGCCATAGCTCAAGACTGAATGAAAAAATGCAAAATATGCATGACGCAAATAACAAGAAGGTATATTGTTACTCAAACTCTTAAGTAGATACACAACTCTAGTTTTGAACAAACAGATTCAATATGTGGTAACCATGTCAAATTACAATCTATGACAATCCCAAGAATTTTTATATTACTTGTTTCATTATTCATGTCAGGTCTATTTTTTGTTCGACAGATTAAATGCTGTGTTTTATTTTCATTTAAAACAAGACCATTTGCACAAAACCATTGCTTAGCCTCAGTTAAGGTTCTTTCATAAATGAGAAAAAGATCATTTGTATTTACACCTACACTAAGAAAATATGTATCATCAGCAAACATAGTTGTTGAGGAAAGTGATACATTAGCTGGTAAGTCGTTTATTGATAAAAGAAACAATAATGGACCCAAAATCGAGCCCTGAGGCACACCTGTTTTCACTTCCACGCATGTTGATCGCTCACCCTCTGCATCAACAAACTGTGTCCTTTCACACAAATAGGATTGAAAAAATTTCAAAGGCACACCATGAACACCGTAATGTTTAAGTTTGCTTAATAGAATAGAATGATCAATCAAATCAAAAGCCTTGCTCAGATCACATGCAGTGATCTGAGCAATGCTCTTGTCCTCAAATGCCTTTATGACTCTGGACAACATTGAGTCTATAGCATCTACAGTTGACAATTTTTTCCGAAAACCAAACTGAGTTTCACTTAAAATTTGATTATTTGCTAGAAAGGAACACATTTGATCATAAACAACACGTTCAATAATCTTTCCAAACAAAGGTACTAAAGATATGGGACGGTAATTACTCACATCTGATTTCTTCCCCTTTTTGAAGACTGGGACAACCCTTGAACATTTCTGAGATTTTGGAAAAATACCCTCTTTTAGACAAAGGTTGATACAGATTGTGAGCGGTGACAGAATTGCACTGATCACTGACTTGAGAACTGTGTTGGACAAACCATAGGCATCTTTACCTTTTGATAATTTTAACTTAGACACAGCACTGATCACATAATCTTCCGACACAGGATCCCACTCGTTCAATGAACTTCTTTGATGGAACTCCATGTTCTGTAGTAGATCCGCAGAAGACACCATAGATGGTGGGATGGTCGCCTTGGCTGCCTGCACCGACTCGATGAAATATCTGTTGTGTTGCTCAGCCGAGATACCAGTGTCCTCCCTTGACGTTGATGATTCAGTAGATTTACGAATTAGGGACCATGCCGCCTGACATTTATTATTGGCATTTTCTATAAACTTCATATTAGCAACCATTTTGGCTTGTTTTACTGCATTTTTGTACAAGTTTCTGAAAGTTTTGTAGGCTAATAGAGCTTGGTTGGTTTTTAATGAGTTATATACTGTTTGATAAGCCATGACAGTATTTTTCATTGCCTCCAATTCAGGAGTATACCAATGAATTTTGGGTTTGATTTGAACTTTAGCAGTTTCTGCTTTCTTTGTAAGAATTTTCATAGGACAGCAATAGTTGAAGGCTCACTACTAGTAGGCTAGTTGCCTACTTTTTGTTGATTTATCTTCAACCTGAATCAACAACTCAAGCCCCTCATGGTCAGCTATGTGCGGATGAACAACAGAGCACTTGAAGTCTGTTCCACAGAGGTTTGTAAAAGCGTTGTCAAGACATGCTTCTCCTCGGGTAGGCTGGTCGTTAGTATACCAAAAGTTAAACTGCTTAAGGATATTCTTTAGTGCTTTGACAGAGGGGATCCAGTACGGATCGCACACGTACAGGATTCGAACCCGCGCATGTAGAAAGACCTCAACGCTACACTCTGTGCAACACCTTAGCCAACTGAGCACTTACCATGCCTCTGTCAGCTGAATAAGTGTCGATTTCCACCGTAAGCACACGACAATATAATTTAATTGTATAACGCCATTCTGGTGCAACATGTTGTACTCCTGAATAAAGATTATATGACTATGACAACACTGGTGCTCATAGGATTCAATGTACTACTTCGACCATCTCGCGATGAAATGCAGTAACGAGCTACAATCAAGAGTCGTCATCAATGGGTAAACAGATGGATATCTGAGAAACTGCAGCAATAATTAAAATTTTTCTTTCAAATTGACTATTGCGGAGTTAGCATCTGATTTAATGTTTTTTATCTGACTTTTTATCTCAACACATAACCAAATTCTTGTTAAAATATCTGCCCTAATAACCTTTTTAACAAACATAAAAGTATAATTAATGATTATCAATTGGACAATTTCTACTTATGTTTCCTCTTCCTTATACTACTAGCAGTTACCCGGCGTGCGTTGCTGCGCTTAACAACTATTATTTTCCATCCTTTTTATTGTTTAAAATACTTTTATAATGGTTTTTATGTTTACATATTTAACATTGGAGAAAATGTTGTTGAGTGCACAGGTGTGCTGCAATTGGGGTTTAATATATTTTTACTTATCCAAAAGTAAAATAGTTTTCTGTGCTGCTTTCTGTGGAAACATTGTGGCACTATTTAAAACCATAACTAATACAGCATGTTGTGATTATTCAAACTTACAAAACAGATGCCTGGTAACATCTGTCATATTTATTACTAGCGTCTAGACTGCCAGTGCAAGTCCGAGGATCGTGGATCAGATCAGTAGATCACCCCCCACCACCGCACCATGTCGTACGCTTCTGAATCATACCGGCGCATCAGCATAGCTTATCTAACTGTTTGCGGAAAATTGTTATCTGTATCACTGTCGCTGTCAAAACGTATAATTTGTAGATTAAATTTGAATTAAATATAATTAAACTATCATAACCTAACCAAACTAACCAAACTTGCTGATAATGATAAACTCGATTGAAGGTTTACTAATCGAAAAATAGCTCTGTTCTAAAAATAAAATTATAAATGTCTCAAATTCAATTTTACAATCTTTTAATTATAAAATTAAACTGTCATAACCTAACCAAACCAACCAAACTTGCTGATATGAAAAAAATTGTTGACAAAAAGTTAGTGCTCCCGGTGGGTTTCGAACCCGGCACCTTCAGATTATCAGCCCGACACGCTATCCACTATACCACAAAGGCTCATGACACAGTTCCGTATCGTTGCAGTAATCGTTGAAGTCACGCCATCGGCACTGAGCGGTGGTGGGGGGTTTTTCAATCTGATCCACGATCCTACCGATCCTAGGAGTTGCACTGGCAGTAGATGCTTATATATTTATTTGTAAACATTGTAGTTCAAAAAGTCTGACATTGGCCCACTTAAAACCCTCTGGGGCGGAGCCCTTTTGACGGATTTGCGCCAAACTTCACACAAACCATCCTTGAAAGATGCTTAATAATGCCTGAAAGTTTCATTACAATCTGTTAAGTGGTTTTGGAGTCTATAACGTATATACACATAGATATACATACATAGTTCCTCTTTTATAGGTATTAGTCAACGTTAAGACTATTAATTGTAATAAACTATGTGCAAAGTGCTAAATTTCCCGTCAATTAACATTTAATAATAAGGAGCAGGCAATATGTATCACCATTGACTTTTAAAATGCTATCCAACATTTTCATTGGCAAGTGTGATATATTCCAATGTGTTCTAATTCAAAAGAAATGCTTATTTAAATTGGTAGAAAATAAAGAGTATAAAAATCATATAAGCATTTTGTTGGTTTTCATAGAATAGTTTACTTGTTTACATAGCTACAAAACTACCTGCATTCAAGAACAATAGAGAAGGCTAGTAAAACAACAGTTTTATGATATGTTAATTTATTAAATTGTTTACTTTAATTTTAATACTTTACCATACAATCAAAAAAATAATCCACTTCATAGCCTGGATATTATAATAAATATTTAATACCTTCCCCAATAACTCCAACAGTTAAAATAAAACTTAAGAAAATAAAACAATCTTAGACGTACATGGAGATCTAGCATTACCCAAAATTGTACATGATATAAAAATTTAAAGTAATTAGCGTAACAGTACAGCCTTTGGGTTTATACAGTTAACTGTCCTATGTACATATCAAAACATATCTACACTCTGAGGCTTACGCTCGCCACAGTTGCGAAAACCAGGCACTCCTCCGATACAGCTGCGAATCAACATGAAAAGCGATATTAGGGTAAGCACCTTTACGCTAACAATAAATTAAAAACAAGTAACAACCCTAGAGCCAGGAACAATAGTGATGAACAATTATGATAGACATTAACACCCAGCTGGTACAAGATTGCTAAGTTTGATTTACAGAAATATGATTTACGATGATTAGAAAGCTCACAGATTAGCGGTCAACCTAAAATGTGTGTTATAAATTATGCTTTAGATTATGTAAATATTTCTCATTCTCAGATTACTTAGCCTAGCGGACAAAAACACAAAAAGACAAAAATATCTATTGATGAGCAAGTTTTCAAAATTTGTTAGGTACACAAAACTCTTCTGAAAAAAGTTTGAATAGAAACTTTTTTAGTCTTTTATTGAATATTTTTAACATTAAAGCTCTTTATTTGAAGCCACATCCAATATAAAATCTATTTTTTTACCCCTATAGACTCAAGAAAACAACAGAAAACCAGAAAGAAGTCTTTACTAAGGTAATAAGCTCCAAACAATATTAAAGTTATATCCAAAACATTCATCTAATTTCAATTTGATTATTACAATTGAGAATAGATCCACTACCGAGTGCAAGACATTACAGATTTAGCTACTAAAACGCAGCAAGTAAAAAATGATTCGTATGTACTTGGCCAATACAATGGCACATACCTTCAAAACTTTAATATTATTTCAATGATTTTTTCAGTCTACAATCTTGATGGGGGTTCAGCCACTGTACAGATTAGTTTTACTTTGCTGAAACTATTAATGTCCACTTAAATATTGTGAACTGAAACTCAAAAATTATTAACTTATGAAAAAAATGATAAAAAGTTATTAATGCAAACTTTTTATTTAAAATGGAAGTAAGTGATAGAATATTGTACAAAATACCAAAAAGTTTTGAAGCTACAGACATTCCAATTCTACTAAAAATAAACAGCTGCAAATATTACAGATTGCAGTTGAAAACTATTCTCAAAACAACAATGTAAGTACCTATAATGACGGATTTATGTAGTGGTTGTAAAAAATAAGGGTAAATTGAATGTTTCAATCATTAACGTTAATGCTTACAAAATAAAAACCAAAGGTCATTTAAAAAGGATCTTGGACGTACAACTCCATATTCATGATTCCTTAGTACAAAGTTTATACTAAATCACATTGCAATACTTAAGCAGAGCACACATCATATTTCAACCATCTTAGGACTTGTAGTGTGAGGGGTTGAAGAAGGTTGGGTTTCCTTTACCGTATCCACCCTAGAAACAGATTAAAACTATAAATAAGTGATGATAGCAAATTTAAACATTAAAATTTATCTGTGAAAACATACTTTTAGAATAACTTACTGATTGGCATTTAGAAGTTGGTGTACCACGAAGGTCAAGTGTGAGGAAGAAACAAAATTCTCCAAATTCGCTAAAAATTAATGAAGTCGTTATCATCTAATTTCTTTCATTTACACCGAATTTCATTATTGTTACCTTCAAACCGGTTTTAGTATTTTAATTTTTGAAGTGATAATAGAAGAGGGATATAACAGTATATGATTCATAAGGAATCTTTTGAACACATCTGTGATGTTCCATCTCGTATTAGTTCAAACTTGTAAATACATCCTTGGACATAAAGATCTATCAGTACTGATAGTCATTATGTATTTTATCAATTATACTAGGTAAGCACAGTAGTTATAAGTGAAACCTCGATAACAAGTCACCCTTGATAAAAAGTGTCATATTCAAATATCCTTAATCTATACTTATTTAATACGCAAGCAGATTTTTTGTGACAATTACTCCTCCGAAACTACTGAACCGAGTGTCATGTTTTTGGTGTCATTGGAAAGAGCGTAACGTGAAGTTGTGCAGGAAACTGTCTGTTTAGGGAAATAATGAGAGAGTGAGGCCATGGAGCCCTTTAAAGTTTCGTATTTCTCCATAAGATTAACATTGGAAACAAAAATTGTTATGAAACTCCAGCTGTTGTCAGAAATGTGAGAAGAAGAGCATATGTTAATTGTAAACAGTCAATAAGTTTTGCTAATTTAACAGTTTGCTGCAAACTTGCTGACTTGGTTGAAATTCGTTTTAAAATAACGCCTGTAATACCATAGATAAAACATACTCCACACTCAGCAATTGCTCGATTTCGAGCAACAGGGACACTAGTTTTATATAAACCCTAATCACATGTTAATTCAAACCGCCAAGCTTCATTACAAGTCTTATTTTATAATCCCGATGAGAGACTGAGGTTTTACTGTATATAAATTTAAATCTTGGAATTTAAAATACTAAACAAAAAGCATCTAACAGGGTGACGTCTTTGAGATAAAGTATGTTTTTAATCACAATAAGGTAGAATGTTTGAAATAGAAATAGTATGGTTGAAGTAAATGTACGAGTATGCTAGCTTACTATCAAGGATTTTTACCCAAGTATAAATTAACCTGAATAATTTATTTTACTACTATTAAAAAAGCACTAATTACACACAGACGAAGAATTTGCCTCATGATAAAGAAGTTAATAAAGTGGTACCAAATATAAGTTACAACTTACAACTTCCAAGGGTTTTCTTTTCTGCCAAATAAATGTGCTGAACATTTGGCTTTTCGTTATCAATATTAGATACGGACAACTCAATTCTAAGTTTATTATGAAGTGACAATATTTTTCTATGCGACATTTAACACAAACTGATTTTTCATAGGATGAGAGTGGGTAAAAAAAACTAAAGGTTTGGCTAAAGTTTATGCTTTGTAACCTAATATTATTTCATGCTAAATTTGATTTGTAGGAGTTTAAAATTCAAATGCAAGTTAACAAGTACTAAAGATGTATTAAATTTAAAAAAAAATTAAAAAACGTTAATGCGATGCAAAATTCAAGGGATACTTACTTACTATAAACTATTAACTACCACATTCATTTACAGAAACAGACTGTTATAATTATAAGTGAATAGCTAGGGATGGCCGAAACAGAAGTACCGGTAATGTTAAATTATACTAGTGCATGTTAGTGAAGCGAAGGTAAAAATTAAACATGCAATGGGATGCAGTTTCGTATCAATTAATTATGGTCATTCTCAAATAAACTTGTGTAAAGATTAAACAGGCTTAGAAATAAATCTTAGGCCAATTCCAAAATGGGTGACTGTCCAAAGTAAATAATTGATTAGTTTAGTATTTGTTGACTAATCACTGTTTTGGCTTGAGAAAAATACACGGACAGTTCCCTTGCTTAAGACGCAATTTTTTTCTAGATAGGGGAAAGATGGCATGGATCACAATCTTTATCACACGGCAAATTGCGATTGGCAAATTTTGAATACTGGACCTTCCAGCAACAAACTACGACTTTCAAACCACTATTTTAACCTCAATATATTTCTCCAATAGTTTCAACCATAAAATAATCCTAATTATAGGTCGGCCGTTTAGAAAACGACCTGCGCGAAATTTTTAGCGCATGTAGGGGAGGTAACGAAGAGGGAGGGTACGTTCCCCCTCTCCGCCAATGGCCTTTTTCTAAAGGTGTGTGGATAGTGACGTCACGTGCAAGCTGAACGTGTTTTATTTCACCAAATCATATGTTTTCTTGTAATTTCCCAAAGACTTTCGAATGACAATCATTACGAGTTAGCATTGAATATACAACACTATTAAGCGTTTTATATCCAAAATAGTGTTGTATTTAATATTGAATATAGTCATAGTGTTATACAGTACAGGGTGTGGCAAAAAACCGAACCATTTTCTGCAGAGCACTGTTCAGCGACAGGTTGTCTGAAAGTGGTGGGAGTAAGCTCGTTGGAAAGCCCACACAATGTCATTTTTTCTAGTCACAGAGCAGTGGTCGCCTGAGCTACGTGCGGTTGTTATGGAGTTGTTTTTAAAAAGTATTGAATTCATTCATTGCAACTCAGCAGCATAAGCAGTTTCGTGCATTCTTTCAATTAAGGCGACATGGAGAAGTTCCGTTGGGTATAACAATAATGCGGTGGGTTACTAACTTTAGAACAACGGCTTCTGCGTTGAAAAGGAAGCTGAAAGGCCGACTAAAGTCAGATCGGATGCCAGACAACATTCGACAGAGTTCGTACTGCTGTGGAAAACAGTCCTCGCAGGCCCACCCGAAAACAAGCGGCTTGCCGAACATGTCTGACTGCTCAGTTACACGAATTTTGAGGTTAATTTTCATCCCTACAGATTAGTTAGAATAATTATCTGTTTAATGGTGTTATCCATACAGATAATCACGACGGAACCTCTCCATGCAGAATTAATAAATAAAAGCACGGAACTGCCACTGAGTTGCAACATAGACTAAGCAAAACAAGTAGACTCCTCATCCCATTGTAAATATTGTAGCTTTGTTTTTCGTGTCTAGTTCATGTACGTCCACACTGATCGTTGGGGTAGACAACATTTTGTTTCTATTATTTTTGGGTTATTTTCATGATTTGTGCTTTACTATATGGTTATATAATTAGAAGACCAGTTATTGTTTATGATTAAATCGTTTTATTTGGTTAAATGAGGTTTTAAATTACTGAAATAACAAGAAACAAAATGTAAACAAAACATAACCTCTACAGTTGGACGTACAGAACTAACAATAAAATACCCCCGCCATGGCATGCCTGCAGACTTAGCGAATTTCCATTTGCCCGATTGGACTTACACTAAAATGTCTCCTTAACAATATCACATTTATTCCCTATTTAAATAGAATTAGTTTAACGAGTAGGTTTGCTGAAACAAGGAAGGGTAAAAAATTGTGTTTTTTATGTAAAATGTTAAAAGGTACTGTAGTTTAGTAAGAAATTAATGTTTTTTTCCAAATTTGATCAAAATTAGTTCATAAACAAGTAAACTACAACAGTTGACTTATTCTCAATAAGAATAACATGGGAATTTTAAAATTACAACTTTTTTGAATTTTTCTCGTAACCACCAGGCGCATAATAACGCTTCAAATACTAAATTATTTGTTTTTTAAGCTCTACAGAATGGTTTAGAAAGAAATTGTGAAATTTTGCGTTTTAGGGTCAAAAATGGGAAAACCCTATTTTTACCCCATAAAACAGCCCATAAACGGACAATCATCACGAATCTCGCCGCGATTAAGATATAGCCGCAATCACAAAGAGTCATGGAAGCTGAGATAATCGCAGGAGATTATCGCGGATGTTGCCACGATTGTGTAAGACGCGAATAACGCGACTGCAATTAGCCTATAATGGTGTTGCCACCATCGCAAGTAACGATCACACATCTTAGTGACGGCCTTTTAGTGAATTTCCTATATGGGTATAAGCTATCACCGTAGTACTCATGGTTAATACCTCTGGACCCGGGATGGCAAGGCGTATAAAAGAAGGTGTGTGCACGCACATTCCCCACTCCTCCAATCAGCCAATCAAGTATTTACTGCTTTACTGTTTTTCGTTTAAATAGTAGTGTTATATTGTATAACACTACTACAGTATATTCATTCAATGTTGAATACAACGCTATTTTGGATATATAAAACTAAATAATAGTGTTATATATTCAATGCTGATTCCTAATGATTGTCATTCCAAAGTCTTTGGAAAATTATAAGAAAACATATGATTTGGTAAAATATAATGTAAAATAAAATAAAGGGTGGTGGTGGGGTGGCAGAGGAGTGGGGGAAGAGCCATATTCTGTCTCACTCCCACAGCTCGGTATCTCTCTCTCGCACCAATGCTACGAGGAGGACGCTTTCTAAGCGGCTGACCTATAGTTAGATTATCAGATGAAATCTACTATTAAAAATATAATCAACTGTTGGACCATTTTACAAAATTCTATGATTTTTCATATAACACAAAAAAATTTCTAAAGAAGCCCCTAAATGAAACTGCTTGTAAAAGAAATCTGAACAATAGTTCTAAGAGGGGGACACTGATGGAAGAATTTAAGATGGGACTCAAGTCATGGGAAGCAGTGAAGAAAAAAGCGACAGTCAAGAGAGCCCATTAGTCTGGTTGCCGGTCAAAAAACCTGGAAGTAAGGTCCACCCAAAGTTTTATGGTGTTTTCTGTTTCTTCAAGACCTACATAACTAAAATCTGCAAGGTGCCACTTTGTCACCTTTGAGCAAATTGAAATATTCAAGATGGCGGCCAAGATGGCTTAAAAACTGTATATTTGCTGTATCTTTTCCTATAGAAGAGACAGGATAATAATTTTTGTGTCTAATTTTATGTTTTAAGGGTCAGAGAATACCAATAATTGATTATCTTAGTAATAAAATACCCCCGCCACAGCAAACCTGCCGACTAAGCGTATTTCCAGTTGCCTGAATTGATTTTCAATTAAATGTATTTAATTAACATTAATTTTTATGAGTACTTAGGCTTGCTGCTACAGGGAGGGTAAAAAAGTGTTTTTTTTTAATATTAATAACTTAGTATAAAATAAATAAATTTACCAATTTTGATCAAAATATATCCTAATATAAAAAATATATATAAAATATAATCAAAAATAACATGTGAATTTTAAAATAACAATTATTTGTATTTTCTCCGTAACTAATAATGGTACAAAAACACTTTGATATACTAAATTATTTGTTCTTTTAAGCTCTTTAAGAAGGTTTGAAGAGAAATTGGAAAATTTTGCGTTTATAGGGTCAAAAATTAGAAAAACAAATTTTTACCCCATAAAACCCCACGTAAAACCCCGTTCCCATGGTCCGATCATGCTGGTTCGGTTTACTAATCCTGTATATCTGCTGTATCTTTCCCTATAGAAGAGACAGGATAATCATTTTGTGCCTAGTTTGATGTTTTAATTAGAAAATTACCCAAAATAATAAATCAATATAAGTTTTTAATAAATTTCCACATTAATTTGTTGCCAAGTTACCTTATCAACAATGTTTTCAAGTATTTACTTGACTTAAAACATTATATCTATGGTTTCTGAGGATAAGTGCAAAGTGCTACATTCAAACAGAACACAGTCATCAAATCAGTTAACTTACAAGCAGTTCTCCTAATTGATGCTTGTGCTGTACTGGGGACAGTGCATTATCCTTCTTCAGGAACAGTGAATGACTTTATCAACTGCTTTTTAAATTATAGTTTTCTTGAATTAAGAAAAAAACACTGTTCTTTAGGCTAGTCAAAATACGGTCCAACATCAAACTTAAGGTAAAAGAAATAAAATATATTTCTTCCCCATATATTCCAAAATATATGGGATTTTGTCAAAAAAGGTGTCAAGAATATTATACTAAAAATCAAGAAAATCCAAGTGGTGGAAAGCCGCCATTTTTGAAAAACTTCCGCCATATTGGATTTATGTAAGCTTTTAGTAAAACATCAATTATTTGACAACTAATCGTCTTAACGATTTGCGGTTTGTCTTAATAGATTCCTCTTCAAGTTTACTTTAAGATAATAATAACCTTATACCATTTCATTATTGATTTATTTAAAATAGACAGCTTTAAATTGAAACAATAGCAAATTTCGAAGATTTTTTTTGTAAAACCTTTAAATGTTTGCAAATACAAACTCAGGTGATAAGAACATTCATATTTTGTGGCTCTTAAAAGAATCTGAATACAATTTTCAACAATTATCAACCTCATATCAGTTTGTATATTGCTTTGAAGATATATTATGGGATATATTGTTATTAGTCTTCAACTTGGAACGCTAGTCGTGACGCGGGCCGCACCACTACATCTAGTTCGATTAAAATACACTTTGAGGTGGGAAAAATTGCTTTGAGAACATTTAAAACATATTTTGGAATCATACATTCATACATATAGGGCAATGTATAAAAAGATCTGACAAAATCCTAGCATGAGAACACTGAACACTGTTTTTCATAATATGTTGGTGCAGACAAGCCTTGTATGGATTTGCACCTATTGTATAATATGCATGTATTCATTATAGTTCAATAAATTGATTGATTGATTGATTGAAAAAGTTGGGGTTTTGAAACATACCAAAATTCAATTTTTCATAATAGACAATTACATATATGTGTCCGTGAACACGATAACTTGAGTAATTTTTATACAATTTTGATGAAATTTGGTTTGAAGGTAACCAAGGATAAGGGTAACCAAGGGTAACCAAGGATTGAAGGTAAGGCAGGATAAACTTGAATGAGTTCGAGAAACAGCATGATCGGACCATGGGAACGGGGTTTTACGCGGGGTTTTATGGAGTAAAAATTGTTTTTTTCTAATTTTTGACCCTCTAAACGCAAAATTTTCCAATTTCTCTTCAAACCTTCTTAAAGAGCTTAAAAAAGCAAATAATTTAGTATATCAAAGTGTTTTTGTACCATTATTAGATACGGAGAAAATTTAAATAATTGTTATTTTAAAATTCCTATGTTATTCTTATGGGGAATATTGTAAAATGTTGTAGTCTGCTTGTTTATGGATATATTTTGATCAAACTTGGTAAATTTATTTATTTTATACTAAGTTATTAATATTAAAAAAAACACTTTTTTACCCTCCCTGTAGCAGCAAGCCTAAGTACTCATAAAAATTAATGTTAATTAAATACATTTAATTGAAAATCAATTCAGGCAACTGGAAATTCGCTTAGTCGGCAGGTTTGCTGTGGCGGGGGTCTTTTTATTACTAAGATAATCAACTATTGGTATTCTCTGACCCTTAAAACATAAAATTAGACACAAAAATTATTATCCTGTCTCTTCTATAGGAAAAGATACAGCAAATATACAGTTTTTAAGCCATCTTGGCCGCCATCTTGAATATTTCAATTTGCTCAAGGGTGACAAAGTGGCACCTTGCAGATTTTAGTTATGTAGGTCTTGAAGAAACAGAAAACACCATAAAACTTCGGGTGGACCTTACTTTCAGGTTTGGGTGAAAAATGCCTTTTGGCAACTAGACTACATATGCTCCAGGTCAACTTAGTTTATACCAGTTTGTATGATGAAACAGCCTTGTGGGTAATTAGGAAAGTTTACCAAATTTTCCGCATTAATAAAATTTACATACATAGTAACCAGTCAAATCTATCTGATTTTGTTACAGTTAGGTCCCGTAATCTTGGAACCTGAGGTTATTAGAACATGTACAGAATTGAGTTTGTGGAATGTTAACTACATGAACAAATTTGCAATGTCACAAATTTCAATATACCACTTAGCATAAAGACAAATCAAAATGTCTTTTGCACTTGTAAAAGCACACACTTGCGATTGACCTTTTCGGCGAACTATGGAACTCGGTATCTTCAATTACAGTTACAAAGCCCCATTAAACGGGCACAGTTTCTTTACTATTAGGACATAGCGTTACTTGCAGACATTAAGACCCTGACATATGCAGTTAATTGTGAGCTAGCTAATCAGCACTATGTATTTCTTCAAGTTAAATTTATCATTTAAAATTAAAAGGTGTTATGACATCGATGAGAAATAAAAGGTAACTGTACTACATCATGTCTCGGTTTTAATTTCGGCTTCTTTTTCCAATGACCCGGCACATTCTGGTCCACATTAAATTTAGCTTTGGGACTGTAACAGTGTTCTACAGGAAGGTTTTCAGCGACTACAGTGTTGGGTTAGGTGAGGTTAGTTGTCTACTCACCGAGCGATGCCCAGGCCCGGCTGGCCGGCGGCTCATGTAAAACGTCACCTCACGAGATAGAGAGCTCGCCGAACTGCTACGGGACAACTACAGCAGCACAATACAACCTCAGGATTCGTGAGTTGGAGAGACAGATACAGAGGGGTGGGGGAGGGGGCTGCAGAGCTGTGCGGTAACTTAACTATTGTACAATCAACCCCAAATATGAATAAAAAGATTATTGTAAATGTTTATTTAAGTTTCAATTTCTTAAAAGTTCATGGAGTGTCTAGTTTGATCATTAGTCAAAAGTAGAATTGAGTAAGTAGACCAGTTATTTCATTAGCCAGGACCATTTTATTAAATTATTAAAAATCATAATTATTAAGGACCCCTGTTTCAACCCATTAAAAATCTAATGGATAAAAAAAATTATTAAAAAGATGCTGATAACTGGACAAGTGCTAAACCACTCAGCTAACCGGCCATAATAGTTAGACTAGTTTATTAATTCATTGTGTTGAAAGACTGACACAAAAGAGTAATTTTGTTTTTGTCGATAAACTAAATACAGAATAAATTTAAGACATTCCTTATGTCTTATAACATTAACTCATTGTTAAAATTATAACAAATTTATTTGATAACTCTGAATATGTTTCTGCTCCATTAGTAGGGTACCAAAATAATCAACATAGAAATAACTAAGTTTACAAAAACTTTACTCCTCCAGCTAAAAAATCATGTGTAGAATTCCAGTTCTTGTTTATTGCAACACACAGTAGGATTAAATATTTTAAAGTATCAAGTATTTCAAGAATTTTTAAATTTTTTATGGAGCTAGATAATTATACAATTCAACTACATATAAACACAGCTTTGCAGCCTAAGCCAAGGATGTTCATTAATGATTATAAGCATTTTAAACTTTAAGAAAAACAAGAGTAGAAAGTTCATCCCAAGGTGAAATAACGTGTTAATAGTGTTAAATTAGGACACAGCATTTCAAAACACTTTTGAAAACAATTAAATAGACCAAATTCATTAAATACAACCATAGAACCCACACAAGATACAATTACAAACAAATATAAAATTATCTGAGTGATAAAAATCAATACTAAGCAAATTTGAAGTGAATAAATCATTTTACAATATAATGTAAACTGAATTTATACCACTAATTATTATAAAAATAATATAACGTCAAATTGATTTAAGCACACATGAAATTATCAACACCTATGCATATTGAAATAAAAATAATACTCACTTTTTAATAACCTTGATTAAAAATTTTTTAGTTTAGTAAATAAATATTGATTTAAATTTTGGGCAAAATTACAAGAGGCCTCTTTATATTAGCATGCAACTCTTTAAAACTCAAGTTTTAAACTCTCGAAAAACAAATAATTCAAACAAAAACACACTGCATCCCAAACAGTACATCTCGGACCAATTTAAAAAAATATAAGATTTCCAAACTAAATATTTTTAAGCATAGAAGACTTTTTCCAGCAAGAAAACCCAATAAAAACAACCAAAATACAGAGAAAAACAAACACCAAGTGCAAAAGCCCACAACAAAATCAATCAATATTAACACATTCACTTATTTTATTGCCAGACAAAGTAAGTTGTCGATTTGTGAACAAAGTTAGAATATTGATTTACTGAAATATGCATAAAAACGTGTTTGATATGCAGAGTAGCCTTAGGTAATGCCCAGTGCAAACATTCAAATTGGGACCAATTACAACTAAAAAAGTTTTGTCTTACTAACAATACCAAGGACTCTCCAGCATCATAAGAACGATACTTATTAAACTAACAGTCTTGGTAATTTAGTATATTTTGTTTTCTTTTGTATTAAAAGCCACGGGTAGGCTTTAAAATATGAGCCTAGATTGCCCTAGCATGAACAATTAGCTTTGAGAACTTAATTTAAGTATTTTACTTCAAGAGTAAAAACGTGTTAGTGTTAGTCTCAAATCTCAAGTCCAAGTTAAAGTTGTTTCAATGATAATATTAAAAAAATGTTTTTCTCGCTGATGTGTTCCTATTTTGAATCAGTTCAAAAATTATACCGTTAATGCCATAATGAAAACAAATTTTGAAAGCAATTTGCGGCAATACCTGTGATCATCTCCTGTGATTGTACTAACTATATTCCATTCATAAAATTTACGTTGTTTCATAGTTAGGATGAAGTGGAGGGGATAGATTTGCTTCTTCTTAAACCGCCTAAATTTTGTTAACGGACCATGACTGGATCACTGGTGTGTTTATTTATAAAAACAGAGAGAGCCCTAGGCAAACCCTTACTATACTCCGTTCACAAAATTTAGGCGGTTTCAGGGGAAGAAATCTATCGCCTCCACTTGACCATAACATTAAAATAATAGCTTAACATCTGAGGTTTGCCAAACAAAAGGTATCTAGAAAATAAGGCATGCTCATGATGTTTGAAAACATACTCAAATGCATCCATCATGCCTAAGACTAGTCATCTAAAACTTAAGATAACAAAAAAGGGAATTTGTGCAAGTTTTCAAAAAAGAGCCAATATATTAATCATTAGCATTGTTAATAGTTAATTTTGTGGTAAATTTTTACAAAAAATTTTAAATTACAATATTTAAAAATGTCAAAAAGGATAAGCAAATAATTTGATATGTAGGTGTAAGAAAAACAAGCAATGTAATTTTATAAATGAAAATACACTGCCGAGGTTGTTTTTGGGTATAGTTTAAAGGAATCTTCTTTTGTGAGGAGCACTGCTCTATGTGAGGGTATTCAACCACTGACCATACTAAAGTACAAAAATACACGCACTCTGCATCCAGTCTACAAGTACCTATATAATAGCCATTTTAATGTTTTGTTGTTCCGAAAAAAATATTGTTTTACGTGAAGTTATCATCAATATTATTTGCAAAAACATCATACAGAAGTAGAAAATGATTTGTACTAAATGGGCTTTGTTAATAAACTAAATAAAAACCCTTAATAAACGTTTAAAACACTGCTTAATTTAAAGGGAGGTTAGTTCAAACAAATGTAGCATTATCATGCTTTTTTTGAAAGGGCCGAATGTCTAAAACCACACGCAATAATCCCTACCGAAATCCAAAATCTTCAGCGAGCCTGACTTTGAATGGGTCAAGCTGCTTCCCTAGAACATTTTGAAAATTTAAAACTAATGAATTAAAAACATAAAATTGCGATGGGGCTAATTACTGCAATAACCAGCAATATATCCCCAGTAGATATTTTATGTGGACTTGAAATGGAAGCTGATAAAGGTTTTTCTCTCATAAGAAGCCATGGTTGCAATGTGAAAAAAGAAACCTCATAATATATGTTTATGCAATCGCAAACAATGATAAAACCATAAACTCTAACTGACTAAATGAGCCCTGTTAAAATTTTGTGATTGAAATACAATATTCGTTGGATTTACTATCAATATTATTTTGTGTAACAATAAAAATTAACATTTACCAAATATAATTTTTTTAAACATACTGTTTTAACGCACACTATGGACAAAAAAGACAAAAACGTGTATACAAAACTACATTTACTGATGACATACTTATTATTTACTTTACAATGTCACAAGTGCGACGTACAGTGCTTGAGCAAAGCAAACGTGATACGAAGCCAACATTTAGTAATGTGAAATGTCACAACACTCACAGATTATTGTGACTCTCCATCCGCACCCAGCTGCTCGGAAAGCAAATCAATCAATAAACAATCAAATAAAATATCAACAAACGGGAACTACAAGCGAAAGCTCATCAATGGAGGTAATGAGATCTTTCTTTTTTTTTGGAAATTATTATGATAGTTTAAATTTATTATGGAGGTTAAATTTTCTCATCATTTTTACTGCACTTTTATCATTCTTGACAATAACTTTCAACGTTATCTAGCAGATAATCTCATTCATAGAAAACCATCCTTGAATATACCTTACCTTAAATTTGTTGAGAATTAAAACAAAAATCTTTAGTCACATTATAAGTTTAAAATGTAATTCTTGCTTCAGTTGTTTACAGGTACTTATGATAGAGAATCTTGAATTGTCAAGGGGAACTAATGTCTACAATTCACAATTGTTTAGTCACTACCACAAAAATGATTCATAACAATTACAGTGCTTTCCCGTTGGTGCAAAATGACTATTAAGTGTTCCATATAAACCCTACCTACAGTTGAAATTAAAATAACTGCAGTAAAAACAATTTAGACGTGATTCAACACAGAATTGTCTACATGAATAAATTTTAAATATAATATATAATTTATAATCATGCAATCCTGAAAATATAACGTGGTTACACATTGAAAAGAAAGAAGATTCAAGCATCGACACACAAATTTAGCTGTACACAAATTAAATTAGTATGACAGTTTCCAGATAGGATAGCAAGAACGTTAAATTACTAAACAAGATATAAAAAGTTGATACAAGAATTTGTGTGTAATATTTTTCACCCTTGATATTCATTCAATAGGTAAAGTTCATTAAGTTTAATGTTGCTTTAAACATGACACTAGAGTAAAAAGGAATACTGAATGACTAACAATATATAAAGGAATTTCAATACTTACAATTTACAATAATTTTGATTTATAAATCTAATGCATTCTTTATTTATCACGTGAAAATGAAAAGAGGAATGGACAAGGTTTCATCTATGCAATAAAAGTCAAATTGTGAAAATTAGAGGTGTCAATTAATTTATAAAAACATAACAGATATATTTTTAAAATAACTTTTGGTTTAGGTTACGTAAAAAATTGATTTTGTTATTCAAGTTTTATTCATCAAAATTATTTAAAAATCAAAATAAATATTTCCAACTTTTCTTCAGTTCTGGTCATTATAATTAATCAATTGAATTTTACGTTTTGAAGTAAAAAATGATGATAAAATATTATATGAACACCTACTTATATTGAACTTTCCAATTTGAAATAAAAAAAAAAAACTAATTTTGTTAAATAAATTTTGTCCATTCCACTAATAAATGTTGAATGTAATAAATTATTAGCTTTGCATGAGAAAAACAAAGCAAATATAATATGTAAAGCTTTTAAGTGTTACATACCTGGGGAAGTTGGTCGTCAGGTTTGGTTGCGGAAAGCTCAAAACTCACAGGCCCCGAGGGACTGAGGAAATCTACTGGGGCGTTGTCATTGCCTGAAACTGAAAAGTGAAGAATTTTACAAATCATTATGACTATCAGGTTTGGTTTAATTTGAAAAGAATTTTCAGAAAACCATCCTTATATATAATATGTGAAGGCGATTTCTACAAAACATTACTCCTCCGTTAGTAATGGACGGATTTTTACAAACAATGTGTCAAAATGAAGAGTTTTTTTGTGTAGACGCCCCCTTTCACCAATTCCAGCAATAAAAGTTCTCGGGCTTTGCCCCACAGTCCATCAAAATCCCAATGTATTTCTCATGAAGAAAAGATTATGTTTAATTAAACAGACGGATAATTTGCATAATTACAGCTATTCATAGTAAATACATGATACACATAAGAGAGTTCGTTTTCAGTTTGAATGACTGGAGTGGAGTAAGCTTTTGTTTTCAGTTTCGATAACTGGGGTGGAGTGATTGATTATAGGCCTGTTATCTTTGAGTTGACTCTTTTAAGTCATCGGAAATTATGACTGTTATTCGTTTTGAAATAACGCCTGTAATATTTTGCAATTGCTCGAATTTGAGCAATAGGTGCACTTTAATATATATTATTTGATGAACAATAATAATAATTGTTCATTACTGATCTTTAATTACTGATTGATTGCTGATCAATTATGAAGTTTTGTTAGGTAGCATCATTAATACATATACCAAAGACAAATAGCCTACCATCTGGGTTCATAACCGTTGGGTTAAGACCCCATAATTTAATTTTTAAATTATGATATAATTAACTAAGAGCTTTTAATTGTAGAATAAGGAAGAAAGCAGCTAGCTTAACTTGTGCAGGTAGGTCATAGAAGGTACATAAGAGACACTGAACACACAATATTTCATCCCCTGAGGGACATTGGAAGTGGTTCTCTACATTTGACAAAATTGTCACTACAACCACTTGGCTATCCAGACAATCGGTTACTTACTGTGCTTAGTATAAGTGTTTGTGTTACCTGGGGCTGGTATGAAGAAGTTAGTGACAGGAGCTTGCGGCATGGGGGCGAACGATTGATTGTTCCCACCCGTCACTGTCTTCTTGTTGGAGGCCATTACGTCAACATAATTTGATTTCATACCTGGAAAAGCATATTTAATAATAACCTAATGCTTATTCAATTAACTGATGTTTTTTTTAGTTTCACTCAAGTGTGAACCATCAATAGTCAAGAGCAAAACTTGCAGAGATTAAGTAAAATTCACAAAACTTTCCTTACCATTTTTCTTTTCACAATGGTGGAATAATTTCATAATTCAGTTAACTATATAGAGTTCAAAAGGTTTATAAGCTTTTTAAGGGGGGAGGGGGGTATGGTAACCCTAGCTATTTAGAAACCCAACAGCTATAGGACAGTAATTTGTCTTGGTTCCTTTGCCTCATGTTCACCTTTCCAAGAAATTGCAACTTTATCTGGACTAGAGCTGGACAGGACAGTCTAACTACAAATATTCATTGGATTCTACCCTTGTTGTACAAAATCTGCATTAATCTGTTTGGCACAGTTTCTAAGGCGCATCCTTAATGATTCAGCGCCAGACAATAGCTGTACCAGTTGAACAATGTCGCCTTTTTGTAAAAACTGAATTCGTTTCCATTTCATTCCTGTGGTACATAATATGCTGATAATATCAGTATGATTTTTCTATTTAATAATGTTATCAAAATAAACTTACTCTTTCCTCTCTGCAGCTTGTATTTGTTAGTGGAAGCAGCAGGTGGGGGTAAGCCGGACGGGGCTGTATTGGCCATGGTGGGGCCGGTGGGGGCTTGAGTAGTCATGTTGGGGGCACCCATGGCAGGGGTCGCTGTTTGTAAAGCAGGACCAGCGGGGGCAGCAGGGGCAGGGATTGTGGGGATTGCTGACCCGTTCAGCTCACTAGCCTTGGGCGGTGGCTTCAGCTGGACTTGCTGTTCGTTTTCTGTAGAATCTGTGTTCACCCATCTCTTTGTCTTATCATCCCATACAATCTGTGCAAGTACATGTTGGCAGTCTTAAAATATGTCTTGATTTCAAATCAGTTATTGTATGAATAAAAAATGTATAATAGGTGTAAATGCAAACAATATTAACAGATATTTATTAATTATGTAGTCAAACATCAACACACAATCATTTATCTATAGTATCGGGGGACCGAGCCATGGCTCGGTATGGAAGTTGGCGGTTTCTTTTAAACTAATTTCGGCTTTTATTATTTATGTTTCAGTGGAATTTCAATTTATTATGATGGAAATTTTAACTTGGCAATCTAACACATTAATTTATTTTAATCTTGTACATTTCTTATATTGTAAATTAATAAAACAAATGTAAAAAAAATAAAAGAAGTATTTTTTACATTAGTATATATAGTAGGAATTAATATACAATCACAGGTAAATATCGTAGCAATCAGCTACAATAGCATTTATACAGCATAGTACAGCGTATGTAAGGCGTGTGTTTATTTCTTGGCACTAAATTCAATTTTTCTTTAAGTATAAGTTAAACTTCAGCATGAGCATACTCTCTAAAATACTATCATTTGATGGATTAGCTGAAGACAGTTAAGTCCGATTCAAGTGTATATTGCTCAGCATTTATCAGGATCGATGTAAGACAAACAAACGTGACTTACACATTTCACAAGACAAGTTGAATAAAGGTTGAGGCAACTTTTTTTTAACTTCGCCTAACTAATTGTCTGACATTTAAGCTACATAACAACTTGTTAACAACAAAGATGTGAGAACCAACTGGGCTATGTCAAAGTGAGTGTTTATGATCTACAGTGAAACTAATTGCCATTTTAACAGTACCAGACAATATGTACAATATTAAAAGCAGCTGAAATAGCAATATAATATAATTATTAAACTTCACACAAATATAACGTACAGATGGGTTTTTGTCGTCCGGCAGGATCATCTGGTTCTTGGGGCGCAGCGCCAGTTTGTCCCAGATGCCGCCGAACCAGCCAGAGCCACTTTGTGTCTTGTTGGCTCGGCGCTTGGATTTGTCCTTGCTATCAGTCTTGTCACTAGCGGACACTCCACCGGACGGCTGCTCTGCCTAGACACACACATCGGAACCACAGTGTACAACTATACAATCACTACAGGCACAGTAAAACAATCAGTAAAAATTATTCTTAAACCAATCTCTTTAAAGACAATTGGAAAAATTCACTATTTGGGTAAATAATTTTACAAAAGAAAAGAAGTAAACTTTGCAATATAGATAGATAAGACAAACCATGACATAATCAATGATAAAAAAGTAAAAAATGAGCAAAAATTAATAATACCTCAGTTCAACCCTAATTTATTTTATAACACATATAGGGCAGTTATATAATGATTGCTAAAGGCAATTCTGAATGAAAGAAAACTAAATCTTTAACGTTTCATTCTAATAAAATGATGGGTAAAATGAGATGAAAACACTAGGGACTATTGGTATGTTTAAACTCTGCCTAATGCTTGAAAAAAGCCAAAATGTCACAAAACAAATTTTTTTTGTGATTTGGAAATAATGGATTTTTCCTTTTTACATTATTTTTAGAAAAAATTGTTCATTTTTATAAATGCTAAAAAAATTAAATATTTCTGTCGCAGCCTGACTAGAAGTCTATGGCCAATCAATCCTCAGCCTAAATGGGTATTAAAACATTACAAAAAATACTTAAAATTACTTTATTGACAAACTCTAAAAATATAATTTTGATTCCTATACACTACTGTACATAAATGCATCACTATGCTAAATTTATCACTTCCGAAAAAACAATTTTGTAAATGATTATCGTAATTAGTCCATCCAACTATGAATGACACACTATCATAAAGTGGAGGGTTTTTTAGTTCTAGCGGGCGACATAGGCGCGTCAATTTCAAACGTAGGCACTGATCTAGTCCTGAAACTTATCGGTAAGTCTATCGGATAAGTTCCGCCGAACACAAGTTTCGGCATCACTCTAGAGTGCGGCCTCGGCTCGAAAATGTTCAAACTTCGCTTCAACGTGCGCAACAAGTTAGTTTCGCCCTGGCTGCGGTGTCCGTAGGGCATCAGCGCCAAGGGGAAATGTTCACGAGAGCAAGTTGCACCGCAGCAGCTGTGGGTACTTACAGGTTCTGGCTTGCTGACCGTCTACAGCCCAGACAGCATAGTGCAGCATGCAACATTCACATAGCAACATTCATCTGGCTTTGAAAACTCACAGATATCCCTTTGACATTTAAGATGAGAAACAATGTAATCAGTCTTATATGACTGGTGTGTTGTGTGTTTAGTCTTTTGATACCTAACCAGCATTTAGAAACTGAAGTAGTTTATATCTATACTTTCTGAAGGTTGTTTTTAAAATATTACGATAATCTGGTAAGGTTTATGTTATGTATTGGCTTAAAAGCTTTGTAGTTATTGTAGTACATGTCCTAAAACATAAACCTGTTCTTGATATGTTTGACTTAAGAATAACACAAAAAACTGTAATAGATATAGAATTTAAGGAACAAAATAAATGTGAAATAAAAACTACAGTAAGATAATAACAATTCCTAAAGTTTTTGAAAATGAATTTACATTCTAGGAACTCGAAATATCTTTCTTAGATTTTATCTTTATAAAAGTTTAGGTCATACAGTGAAAATAAACAAAAGTATATTGTTTCCAAATTTTATATTCATGAAAGTAAAATTTAGCTTACACCTGAAGTCAGTTCAAGTTAATTAAGCAGTGTTCAGTTAAGAAACATTAACATTTTAAATGTTAGCATGGTTGTCTTTACACATACATCAAAGTCCACTTTACCTCAAATGCTGTCCATTAATATAATGTAATGCTGCATTTATTAGTAATGATTACAGTTATAAAAAAATAAATCTATGCTGTATTAGAAAATTCATTCTGCAAAAGAGTATAAATCAAAATAGAAGGAAGCAATTTTTTTCTAACAGTTGTTTCCCACTAGGACTTCAATGGTGGACATACAAATGTTAGTTTATCTTCATTGTTGGCCATGGTTAAGTTAATGTTATATAATGAATGTTTGCAGATAACTTTGGTAAAAAGTTTTACAATGTTACAGTACTATGTTAAATTATTATAAAACCTTGTTTTTTTCTTTGTTATAATGTTTTATCTTATTTACCTAAAATATTCAGAACTTTGTGGAGAAATTTTCTTAACCTGCAACTGTTAGTCAATACTCAACATGCTACCAGTTTAAATAATTTTTCTCTCAAAACAACCATCAACTACTGGTCACTGACCTGTGGTTTGTGTTCCTCGGTGTTGGCAAAGTATCCGTAGCCAGACTTGACGGTGACCTGAGGTGCTACGGGCGCAGAGTCAGTAGGCTGCGGGGCCTGCTGTGTCTCCCACCCCCCGCCACTAGACACAGACCAGTACTCCGGGGACGAGCTGTTGTCAGGCGACATTGGCTCTGTGTAGCCTTGCGTCTGACCCATGGTCTGCGTAGGGTCGTAGTACCCACTCTGTGGCTGCTCATAATAGTCCTGCGTGTAACCGGTGTGTGGTTCAGTGTACGCAGGGATCTCCTGGGGCTGGGTGTACGTCGGGACTTCTACAGGCGCAGGCTACGGAGTGGATGTGACATTAGTTAGAGGACAGGTATCATGATTTTCTTGAAAAGAAAGTCTTGAGAAAGTAAAGAATGTGCTGCATGGAAAGGAAAAGGTGAGCCTAAAAATAAAATGCACGCAGCACCAGAAAATGGGAATCCTCAGATAGGGGAAGAAGAGTCACTGAGATGTGAGATGTAAAAAAAACATTTTATAGAGAAATGCAGGTAGGTACAACAACTCAGCCAACAAAAAAAGGTAAATCTAATATCATACCTGTAAGTTGTGTTCTCCGTTGTAAGAGATCGGCTCCATATCAGACACTGTGGAGGTTGACACACCGTGCGTCATCTGAGCAGATAGACTTGTTGGATCCTGAAAAAACAGGTACAAAAACAAAATTAGAAGATGTACAAATTTAAAAACTATTTGATACAACATAAAAGCCATTGTATAAAATAGAAATTTTCAGCAGAACTTGGATGGTTAAAACACCAAGTGACCAGGGTAGAAATTTGAATGGTACAAAAATTCAAATTAGATTGGTTGAGTAAATAAGTCTTAAAAATGGAAAACCACACATCAATGGACACAAGTGTTAAAAAAATTGTTGGTTTACAAAATGCTATTTTATCAGCAAGAGTCAAGGATTTGTAGGTTTGTTATGGCTCTGATAACAGCATTTCTGCTTAATTTTTACAGATCTCATAAATTGTTTGAAAGGAAATTAAATTAAATGTTTATTTGTCACACAGAATTTACATTATTGTGATAAATCCCCAGTATCATATGATACGTCAGTTTCTTTTATAGCTAAAAGGTTCACTGTTTATTACTTCAAGGGTATTGTACAAAACAAGTATTAATGACAACAGTTTGGGTAGGAAGTAGGCTGAACGCAATTTAAACATTATTTTAGATTTTCCTACTCTCTACCATAGCAAATATTGAGCAGTTCTATAACCAAGTATTGCAGATCACCATATCTCAGTAATATTACATTACCATTTTAAATTATTTTAAGTAGTTCATGACCCAATAAATTTTCAAAGGGGTAAGGGTTCAGCTAGCTAACCAGAAAAACTTTTGACCAGGGACTAAGAAATACACAGATAAAAGTAGTGATGGTTGAAACCAGCATCTCAAATTTCAAACCTAAATATGAAAATTTTACTTGTTTAATTAACTTACAAGAAAATGCAGGTAATAATAAAATTTTTATAGGCAATCAAGATTGAAAGAATTTGGAAAACCCTGACAAAAAATAACATGAATATGTGACTAGTACACTTTGACCTACTTTTGCATTATACCAAATTTCAACAGAACGTTTTTGACGGTTTTTTTAGCTTTGGGTCCTAAAACTCCCTGATTAAATTTAGAAACTAAAGTATTTCCGAAGTTTTTTGATTTGAGATTCGATTTTGACACAACATTACTAGGCTAAATATAACATTACAAAACATAACACATTACAACACACAAAACACTATATTACAATACTATATTACCGTACTACATTATAGTAATAACAATATATTATTTATTATACTATATTACTATATTTGAACACTGATATTAAATCATAATACAACACTTTTTCAGTTTAAAGAGAAATGTCAATTCTTTTTCAGAAACTTCAAGTCTAACTTGGAAAACAATATCACATAATTTACCTTAACTTTCATCTTTCCAAACGATTCCTAACCAAAAACAAAAGTATCATCATCACCTGCATTGTCTTGGCTTTTCTTTCAAATACAACTAGATATCCGACAGTACACATCTATTAAAATTTCAACTGAAGCACATTTGGCAAAATTGGACTTTGGAACACTCACATTGGTATCCTCGACGTGTTGTTTGAGCCGAGCCAGCCAGTCAGGGTCACTGGCCAGGTCTCCGGAGAACGCCAGCGATGTGTCCGCCACCTTTACCCTGTCTGCCATGTTGATGACGAGCTGTGCCAACGGTCGGTCATCTCTGGTGCTGGGCAGACGTACCATGTCTTGTGACAACCACTCCAGGTACGACAGCGCAGCTGGGAGATTACCTGCAGAACATAGATTGTGAAATCATAAGGCAGTAACAGTAAAGAAACATTTGTAACAAGTGTTGTAAACATTTTACATGCTGTCAAAGTCAACATCCTGGAACTCTTTTCTTGTATAAGTTGGATGTTAGAGAGCGAGTGATGAGTGTGCATGAATTTAATGACAGCTTTCTTCCTAAGATCAGCTAGGTAGGTATCCATTCCTTCTAATGTATCGCTAAGCCCCCTTAAAACAAAGCAGTAAGCTAAACTTTTTACTTAATATTCAATTATACTTCTTGACTTTTTAAGTATGATGTTTAGGTACGATTTTGCAAATTGAATCAAAACATGGTGATTCAGGAGAATTAAAATTTTGTTATCACAAGTGAAGTAAAATATGGTCAATGGATTCCATCCATAAAATGGTTTTTAACTTGATCAAAATATAAAATTAAGACAATAAAAACCAGAATAGTAAAGACTATATTTTGATGTGGAAAAGGAACAAGTGAAGTTATGTAAAGCCTCGTTCACACGGGGCGAGTTTACACGCTACTCGCCGGCGTGTAAGAAGCCGGCGAGTTGGCGAGTGTGCTTGTATTCGTTCACACGGAGCTTGTCCACTAGCCAACTCGCCGGCGTGTAGAAAGACGCCGGCGAGTCGGCGAGTGCGCTTGTAGTCGTTCACACGATGCTTTTTCCACTCGCTCAGTAGCTGGCTTGAACCAAATCCTCCACCATCTTTGAATAACACGCGCACAAGCACAAGCAACTGTGTTCACACTGGGCTACTTTACACGCCTACTCGCTCAAAAGCTGGCGAGTTGGCGTGTAAAGTAGCGGCAGCGTCAACTTTTTCCAGAGCTTTTTTACAAGCAGCTTTTGAGCGAGTACGTCGTTCACACTGAGCTATTTTACTAGCTGCGTGTAAAAAAGCTGGCGTGTAGCTTGTAAACTCGCCCTGTGTGAACGGGGCTTAAAGGAGATCTCAATGGATCCCTATGGTAGATTTAAGCTTAGAGTGAACGTAGGCCTACTAATATATTATCAATTATATTGTGTGGTAGAACAATTGTTGAATCTAAGGGTTTTCACTAGTAATAGTTTTTCTTAACACATGAAACGATGTACGTAGTTACTATGTCATTAAGATGCCTACATTTTTAATTTGAATAGCATTTCTTCGATTACTAACATCAATTTTTTATAGGGCATTACCAATCCATAATGGTACGTAGCAGTGGAATATTAAACAAATATCGAACACTGCAATATCAGAAAACCACTCGTAACTTGCTTAACTATGTGGCAAAAGTAATTTAATATTTTTAGTTTTATTATAACTGTCAAGATTTGAGGGAAAATCATGAAATTTCCAAAAGCTTCACCAACCATAGTCGATCAGTTTGCAGGCCAGCAGGAACTTGTAGTGACGCAGGGAGGGGATGCACCAGTCTTTGTTGCTGAGCTGCTTAGCGAACTCGTAGCAAACTGTGAGCATGATCGCTCGATAGGAAGCGAACTGAGCAAACGGTTTGTCCACCGACGCGCCGAGCAGTACAAGCTTCGGCTGGCGGTCTGAGTAACGGGAGAACTCCAGCTGAGCAGTCAAGTAGCAGAAGTGAGCTGCGAACAGCCTTCCTCTACCAGCTGTCAGGAGTCAAACCAAATATGTTTAATTCCATCCGACACAGATGCATACACTACAGTTATTTACAAGTTCATAACTTGTTTATTTCAAATTGTTGACTAAGACAAGTGTAAGTTTACATAGATTGGTTACAATCTAGATACTGTAAAAAGATTTAAAGGTGATGGAAACTGAAAGGTATTTATTAATTTATAGAATACAACTCTCTTGCAAAACATAAATTTGAATATGAAATTTTTGTTTCGCATTTCACTTTACAACACTTGAAAAAATGGTATCCATAAACACTTGTTGTTGGTTGTTGCTAAAGTAGACCTAAAATACAGTGATATTGAATTAATTTGTTAGCTAACAAGAAACATAAATTATATTTAACACAGAACAACGTCTTATTTTGGTTATTTTAGGATTAAAATTTAAGTAAAAAATATTTCTATGCTATAAGTAGTTCTGGATGTTCTTCGTCCTGTCGAACACATTTTTTAAAGTGAGCTTACAATCTGTGTTTAAAATATTACCAAGGCTAGATTAAGAATTTGAAATAAGGATAAACTATTGTGTATCCTTATAATAATTAATATTATAATCAAATTATGTTATTAATATGTAATATTTGCAATATCAAACCGTCCATTAGGTAGGACAACTTAAAATTTTAAAAAAAACTAATGATTAGATATCTGGGAAGCTTTCTGTCTATTCCTGATCATAGAATCCCAGAGGGCTCTGTCCCTTGAACGTCTAAATTTTTCTTGTTTTATTCTTTACATTCTTACTCCGTAGCAGAACACGAGAAGAGCTACCAGACATTAAACATGTGTTCCTGGTTACCAATATTTACCTAACGAGTCGCCCAGTGTGAGAATAGCCTTGCGATCAACCTCTACATTGGGAGTGCGGTTGCTCAGCATCATAGCCAAATGAGGTCTCCAGTCTCCCCATCTCTTGTCAGCAGCGCACTGCAACAACAACTTAAGATTAACTCTGTATAAAGAACACAGCTATAACACAGCTGATTTACAACTTTGTGAGCACATTGTTAGACAATAATGGCAAAAACAGCATGAAACAATAATCATTAATATCGTAACATTTCAGTACAAATAGTGGATTCAGTATACATCAATATGAGTTTGAGGACAGTAAATATTGAAATGTCAAAAAGGTAATTCTACTACTTCCTTCTGGAGAATCCATTTTGAAGGGGAGGAATATCCAATAAATTGTTTGGGAACTTTTTGTGTGCAAACTGCCTGGAACACTTTTCTTGGAAAAGTTAGTTGTGTATATTGTCATTTAAATGGACCAAGCGGTCCTCAATCATTGGGCTTCGAATAGGTAATTGTCTTGACAACAGAACCAGCGAATCTTGGTTAAAGATATCATTTTATCCATTTGACACTCAACTTTAACTTATAATACATTAGTCCAGTCAATGAATGAGCCAAAAGTAGGTGTAGAGTGCGTGAGCAGGTAACTAAGCGATTCCTTCAGAAACTTGTTCAGGGGGCTTAGGGTGTTAACATACCAAAAGTCCTGACTCCTAGGTGGTGAGCCAGGGGGTGGAGGGGGGAAAAAGGGGGGGAAAAAGGTACGCATTTTAGGTTTTTTGATTATATCTCGAAAACTATCAACTTTTTGTATACTATAGTAAATTATAAAATTGAAGAAGATTAAATTTTCTACAAGAAAAGTATATAATGTGTTTATTTTGGTTCAACAGATTACGAGTTATAAGTTATTTAATTGATATCTTATTAAAATACTCCTTCCATAAGAAATACATGTAAATTAGTATGCGAAATGGGGCGAATCCTATCCGCCCAAAGGAAATATAACTGATATTCTGGAAATCTTTACAAAATTTCCAGTAATTTGACACTTTAATCATGAAATTTTGTCAAAAATTAAAGCGAGGGTGAGCGTTTAAAAATGGGATGATTTAAGGTTTTTTTTATATTTCCAATAAAAAAACACCAAAACTCGACATTTTGTTACCTCGCCCTCGCCTTAATTTTGGATCAATTTAATGATTAAAGTGTCAAATTACTGGAAATTTTGTCAAGATTTCCAGAATATCATTTATATTTCCTTTGGGCGGATAGGATTCGCCCCATTTCGCATACTAATTTACATGTATTTCTTATGGAAGGAGATTTTAATAAGATATCAATTAAATAAGTTATAACTCGTAATCTGTTGAACCAAAATAAACACATTATATTCTTTTCTTGTAGAAAATTTAATCTTCTTCAATTTTATAATTTACTATAGTATACAAAAAGTTGATAGTTTTCGAGATATAATCAAAAAACCCAAAATGCATACCTTTCTCCCCCCCCCTTTTTCCCCCCTCCACCCCCTGGCTCACCACCTAGGAGTCAGGACTTTTGGTATGTTAACACCCTAAGCCCCCTGAACAAGTTTCTGAAGGAATCGCTTAGTTACCTGCTCACGCACTCTACACCTCATTCCTTGACTGGACTAACTCTAGTGTGTTGGTGGTGAATTAATGTTATCTAGTTTTCCTTTAAATTTGAAATTGACATTCTGCAATTTATCTTCAAGGAATCTATATATTAATTTGAAACTGTTTTTCTTTGTCATAGCTATTTTGAGAGAACGGCTGGGCGTAGAAACTCGGTAGGGGTGTCTAAAGAAAGGTCTTGGTCTGTAGATGAGCCATCAAAAGAGAAACGTGGTAAATTCCCTCGGGGCTCTGCCCCAGTGGCCTTTAAAGTCCCATCCCATGTTATTCTTATGGAGGAAAACGGGGTTTTTGTCGCAGCTAATTTGAGAGAACGGCTGGGTGTAGAAACTTGGTAGGGGTGTCTAAAGAAAGGTATTGGTCTGTAGGTGAGCCCTCAAAAGAGAAACGAGGTAAATTTCCTTGGGGCTCTGCCCCAGAGGCCTTTAAAGTTCACTCAGCAATTTTGTTTACATTATGACCATATGGATAATTTTACACTACTTTTAATGAACCAGCTGTTAATATTAAAATTGTATTCAAAGGTCTACTGAAACTGTCAAAATTAAATGTTTACATTATTGTTTATGATTTTAAATTGATTCTCCACTGCATGGCAAGTTTTTTATAGTTTCAACAAAATGATGATTTTATGATACGTTTTAAATGTTTTGTTCAAAAATCTATACTGTATTGCTCTTAGAAAATTTTAAATTATGAAATAAGTGTGACATATCATTTTCAAAGGAACATATAATTATTCCTTATCGGGTTAGCTTATATATATTGTAAGGTTGGCACTTGCCTTTTTTCCTACTTTCAATCACCACTTATTTTTGAATTCAAGAAAGAACACCAGAAATTCATTTATTGGTATGACAGTTTTCGATAATCGGGTTGAAAATTGTGTCAAAGATGAGTAACTTGAGGATGAGAGTTGTGTTCAAATTTTGGAATAGGCTAACTACGGAGTATGTTTCATCTATGGTTTTGGTGAAGTAGGTGAACTAATGTCAATTCAGGTATTTAAAAAAAATGTGTAGGCCTACAGGGTTTTTACTTTGATGTACACATGTAGCTAGGTCGAACAACGCATCTAAACCTCACTACATACAAAACATTCGGAAACACAACAGTGTCATCACATCTCATTGCATTTGCATAATTTGTTACCAAGGCTGGACTAGGTTATGGATTTGGTTCTGCAAATGTTCAAGATTTGTGATCAAATTTCCTACAATTATGGTTCATTCCATCCTCGAAAAACATGCACAGCTTTATGTGGTCGATATGGCCAGGCAAAACTACCCCACAAGTTAATGAATTATCAAGTAAGAACAGGATGATTAAATACACGGGTCGATGTGGCAAGAGAAGGAATTAAAATTGCTTAGATCGAAGTAAGAATGTTACTACTATCTGGAGAATCAGATATTTTTATCAAATACAAAAAAAAACTTATTTAAATGCTGAAAAAATTCTGTATTTTTATGACCAAAGATGAAGATTTACTTATAAATCTGGATTCAATCTGAATGATTTTTCTAAAGCAGATGGAATTAGTTGTTAGTAATAAATATTGACTCTTTCCGTAACATGATAGACAATTATATGAACTCATTCTCCCATATAGTGAAAGTGGCTTTGACATGAAACAAACTCATGAACAAACAATTATAAAGACTCCTAAAAAACCTTTTGGGCAACCTAAATCCGATAAAAAAGTAGGAAATATTGTGTTAAACGAATTCAACAATCACGTTTTTTAGGGAACACAATCGTCATACTTATTATTATGCTTATCCTCCCTTCATTTAACTTAGATTTTAATGACTTCACTCTATCTATCGCAGTTAGCTGAATTTACATAAAACCGCAAGATTAACCGTCGATTTCGACGGGGTTCCACTAGTAATAATAAACCTTGGAAATGAGGTAAAATAATCTGAATTATCAAACTACAAGAGTAATGCCACTCTTCCAAAACCAAGAGGGCTTAGTTAATCTATTGGCTTTAGTCCTACCGTGGCAGCTTGAGGCTCGTGGCCGGACATGAGTTGGTACAACGTCTGCAGAGGATCGTTGGTCTGCAGTCCATTTGCAAATCGCACCATCACGTTGTTGTGGGTCCGAGAGTCCATCTTGGACGCCAAGAACAAAGCATGTCCCCAGTCCTTGTTCTTAATTGCCCACTCTGCATAACCATAATCATGTTTATTGCCACATAACGTACAGAGTTTACAGGTAAATGTACAGCTGCTTGTCGTCTTCTTATAACATTTAAAATAGTCCTTTCTTAATTAAAACTAGATAACAGTCTTAGAAGAATTAAGTAATAACAACCAAAACATTTTGTAACATCTAAGAAACATATTTCATAGCCTAACTGAAAAGTGACAAAGATAATGCCAAGTTTAAAACTAAATAACAGGATTAATATAATTTAATAATAACATCTGTAAAACATAAAAAATGTACAAAACATTTATGGTACGGTAGTCCTGCAGATCAAACCATTTATTGTAAATTAACACCAAGAGAAAATAGGTGCATTTTATGATGTTTTAGTTTTTCAACCTGAAATTAAGGAAATGTACGACCATGTAAGGTTTTTAAAAGTAAAGACTTATTTTTCATGCTTTACTTTTATCAACTTTAATTAAATTATATGACATTTGCTCAAGTGTTTTTTAATATGTCGATGTATTGAAGTTGAACTGAAAAAAATGTTAATAATCTGAAAAATAGATACTTAGAGTTTTAGTGCTGAAAAAATATATTAAAGCTATATCACATTTAAAGGAGTTACATTTCTTATTTTATATAAAAATAAAAAGGAGATGACTTGAACTGTGAGGATAGTCTAATATACCCACCTAACGCCTCAGTCTTGTTGCCTTCTAGCAGCAGATCTCGGAAACGAGAGGTGACCTGGTGTGGAGAGAGTGGCGTAGAGTCTCCCCCCGCCACTGTCGTCTCAGGGAACAGTTCACCTTCAGGTTGACTCTGTCTGTAACTCTCCATCAGTAGGTCTGCTACATCTGTCATGTCCACTACCTACACACCAACATCACAACATAAACAACAACAGGTGACTGAACTTGCAGACTCAATCCATCCAAAGTTAAACTTACGTATGTTGTAATATAAGGTGAAAAACTGGGAACTACTACTTAGTACTTACATGGTTTTTAAAACATGATATTAAATGAATGGGGTTTAAACATAAGTCAACGAGATGAAGATAATATTTGTTACCATTTCTAGGCAATTCCCCTCTTTGTAGTTCCGCCAAAATATTTTTATCCACACAAACCCTTCACAAAATCACACTGGAATTATTGGGGATAGTGGGAGACAAAGAATGGGTGACGATTCAAACTTACACATACCTAATGTAACCAAATCAGGAATTTTGACATTAAATCTTAGAACAACTTTTTAAAGTTCAGATGATAAAATAAATTAATCTACATCATAAGCTTTGAGGAGACCAAATGGTAACATTAGTATATCTTACCACAGTACAATATGTTGGTTCTCATTCTACTTTCTAGTTTGTCAAATATAAAAATTACATTTTTTGTTACAAACTCATTTACTGATTAAAACTGTTCTCCCTGTAAAAATTACCAAATTTTGTTTGGTATGGTTGGTAAATATCCATCATAACAAATGCAAAATGGTGAGGTAATTTATATTTTAAGTAATGTGGAAAGCGAATAGGGTCCTCTTGTCGGGAATTTTCGATTTTGAGTTATTTATATATATATATATATTTGAATTCCTTATTAAATTCTGAATCGATTGGTGCAATTCCCACGCATGTATGATTTTTTTTTTTTGTTAAAGTTATAGGACTTTGAAATTTTGTTATGGAAAAGGGTCATTTTGAGAAAAACTGTTTTGAAAATTTCAAATACGCATAAACACGGTGTTTTTCGTATTCAACAAACGATTTTGGTATCAAAAGAAAGCTTATAATGTCCTCTTTGAAAGAAATACAAATTTATTTCTTAACTTACGATAGTTTTTATTTAAATAATTGTTTTATTGAAGCATGTCGTAAAAATAGCTTTCAGAAAAGGGACCTCTTGTCGGCCCTATGTTATTTCGCCATAAGATAAGAAAAGGTACCTCTTGTCGGGACCGCACAATTTGTGAGATATTTTGTTCGTCTTGAACTGAACTTCGTTGTAGTTCTCTAAATTTCCACTAGAATGCAGGACAATTCATTTTTTGGACTAAAATCTGTTTAAAAAGGGAATATTAGAAATGGGACCTCTTGTCGTTATGGCGAAATAACATTGAGCGACAAGAGATACCTTTTCTCAGACCATGCAGAGGCTGACAAAATGATTTATTTCGACCTTTTGCATCTTCAATTTGAGATTTTAACCGATACTGTCATGTTCTATGTTAAATGAGGTATAATAATCAATAAAAACCCGAAATTCAATATTTTCGACCTTAATTACTTATATCGGCCGTACTGAAAATTTTGCATCTCCGACAAGAGGTCCCTTTTTGCTTTCCACATCACAAATAAAGGTTAGGTTTAACCTTGTTATAAATTGTTAAAATTGTTATTATGATAAATAACGATTAACTTACACCATTGAGTTTGATTACAAGACATATCAGGTCGTAGAGGAGTCTTTCTGATGAATGAGTCAGTAGATCTCTCTCCTTCTTCAGATACTGAATGACGGTATTTTTGTGTGTAACTCCGCTGAAAAACGATACAATATATGAGAAAATCTACACTATAATATCTCAGGAGCCAGTTTTGACTCATAGAATATAGTTCAATGAGCCTCTTTTTTAGCGCAGGCTTTTATTGAAGGTATATATATATTTCCACTTTCGGGTTGACATACTTCAGTATTTAATGGGGAAATAAGAGATAAAAAATTATTTTTGCGTACCGTTATTCAGTTTGGGACGATTGAAAAGCGCGGATTATTAATGAGAAAATTACATTTCACAGAAGTAAACTATGTCTATGATTCAACTGAACTAATTCCTTTTTTTTTCTTAAAACTGACAGTAACTTTTACATGCTAGTGGAAGGTCTACTTCAAGATAGTGTATAATCAGGTTTACTACGGGTTACTTGTATGCATGATCCACTGGCAGAATAAGTAGAAGATTGCTAATATCTGCTGGGTAGCTGATTGGTTACAGTGATCCCCAGACAATCAAAAGATCACCGATTCAATCTTGAAAAATTTCAGTAGCTTTTTGATGGTTCGAAACTGGACCTAAACTGTCCTTAATCATTGAGCTTTTAATTAATACTACCCTGTCTAGAGCAACAAATGATGCTAGTCAGTAACAAAGCTAAACAAGATATCTCAATCTATTTCCTTTGCTCATATTTAGGTTTAAATATGCACAGTATGCCAATCTTAATTTGTAATAAAGTTCATAATAAGCACAGGACCAGCAACACAGGGCATGTTGTCGTAGTGGCGCACCTGATGAAAGGTCCAGGGTTGTTGAGGAACTCCAGTGTGTCGGGGGTGTCGGCTGCTGTCGGTCCTGTCACTCTGTACACCGTCACAGTCGCCTGGTGTTGACCGTAACTGAACGGATCTTGAGGGTCGACCGTCACCAGCTGACCGAGTGAATGGAACTGACCTGCACATGTTTATGGTATATGACACGTGTCGGCTATTAAGTTATCATCTCTTAATAAATACATTAAGAAGGAATGGATACTTGATTAACTTACCCGTGGAAAGAGTTCCAGGCAGTTAAAAGCACACAAGTTTGCAAGACAGTTAATTCACAAAAAACAGTCAGTGACAGTTTAGTAACTGTCATTCTACTTTTTCTTTCCCAAGAGGAAAAATATCAAATTGATTCTTCTTTAATGCATTTTAAGTGCACTTTTCTCCAAAACTAGTCCTATGTAACAAAGAAACTACTACTGAAGAAGGAGATATTAGCTCTGAATAGTCCATGAGTTTATTTGAGCATTTTCATCTATTTTTGTCAGTAAGGTAAGCTGCTGTTACAACTATCCAACATAAAATCCTTACAAACCCATCTTTGCCAAAAAAATGTCCATCCCTAAGTAAATTCACTAACTGAACAGAAGACTTCTCTTCCTATTGTCAAAGCTGAAGCCTGCTTTCACGTGGATGTCACGTCAGTTATTTTTTAACATGCTGATGTAAGCTAAACATTCCTCTCTTATATTAAGGTGCAATTTACAATTTTTGTTTTTGGTTATAATGTCAAAGGTTTGCAAACAAATTAATATATTCAGCCAAACTAGTTTTAAAGTTGGTTAAATAATAATAAATAAATAGTGTACAAAAAGCACCCTTTACTTAAGCTTGAACGGAAACATAGCTTACACACAAACATAGTTATTAACATACCTTAAACAATAGCTAACGTAAAGGTACCTAAACAAAGCTATACCTTAAACTACCTATAACTTAAGCTTAAAAAAGCTATAAGAGAGTATGTTTAGACTGCAACATTGTTGCTAGAGCCAATAAATTTCCTTTAAATGTATAAAATATGTTATGTCAATTAATTTGGATTTGGAAACATTTCGATAAAATACGAGAAAACCCCAATAGCTCTAACACAATTTAAAAAAAATTAGTCTTTGGCTTTTGAAGGTCCTGCAACAAAAACCTAAGTGTTACAACAAATATTACAAGTTTACAATAATTTCAAAAAAAAAATAATAACTAGGCCTAGAACAATTTTCAGGCTTAACAAGCTTTTTTAGTTTCAATGATTCATTTAACATACAAAACAGTTCCAATTGACAACTGTGTATAAAAGCACTACTCACCCCTGACATGAGCTGACGTATAGAGAGGAGGCGTAGACCGGTGAGACACAGTCTCGTCCGCTCTCACAACTGAGTCATCTTCCTCACTGAAACATTCCCTCACTGGTAGAAAATACTAACAAACATCGGACAGAGAGAATCTACAAAACAAGTTATGTTTACAACTTTCACTTAACTTCCGATTTCTTTTATTTTACTTGAAACATTGTGTGGAAAAAGTAGTTTTTAGCTTGTATAAATCTCAAAAACTTAGTTGACCAGGCAGCTAAAAATTACAAAATAATTTTATAAACTTATTTTAGTAAGCTGATTTATCTACCATTTTATATAGGCTACATCTAATTTCAATCCAAACCATTTCACACTACCTAGAATAACAATAGAGCGGCAAGGTACGCACAAGATGCACAGTGGACTAATACTGACTTGTACAGCCAATATACAAAAGTGAAATGGCAATGTTGTATTTCAATATACTATCCAATGACATAATGAAATGTGTGCATGTCCAGTGTTGTCACTCAAAGTTTTAAGTTAAATTCACTGTTTATTCACGGTTTTTACAATGGCATTTGCATTTTATTTGTCAATGTTGATAGACCGGGTAAGATTTGAGTCTCAAAAATTGCTATCCCCTTTTTATGCAAGATTTCTCAGCATTTTTTCTGGATGGAAATCTTGCGACATTAGAGTGATAGCAGAAGTCAACAACTTTTGTTTCATCAGATATTCACGATGTTGCCTTGATTTTGCAAAACTATGTAACTGCAAATGTAGTTAATCTCAATTTCTAGGCAATAGTGGGAGATTTTGGAACCAGTATTGAACATTTTGATTTTGATAGATTGAATATTTAAAATCGGCTAATTTATATTTCATGGTTTGGCCACAAAGTTTTTTTAGGTCCAGATTCAATCCAGATTTTTTTAGGTAAGTTACCGGTATGACAAAATTAACGCTTTTCACATTTGAGTGGGTACTCTGATGTCCCATACCGTAAAGGTTATTCTATGCACAGTGCTACTTGTTTGGTAGGATACAAGGATATAAGGAAGGATGGAAGGATTCTCACAGGTGCTGATGTGTGAAGGACAATCCAGCTGTCTGAGTGGACTGGTTAGCTGAAGATTTGTAGCACATACTAAGAGACTGTGACAATACGTGCCTTACTGGAGTGGAGTGGGCTGGTGCTCTGGTAAAAATAGGCATTGGTACTTGGCACATAACTTCTTACAAACGTTTTAAAAAAGCTACTTCAAATCGGTTATCGTTAGGGGTGTGCGAATAGTGATTTTTAGGTTCGAGCCGAGCCGAGCCGAACTTAAGCAAAAAGTTCCGAGCTTCGAGCTTTTTCGAGCCGAACCTTAACCTTCTAAAGTTTGTGGTATATTCCTGTTTTTACGCAAAAATAAAGATACAAAATACATGTAATTGTTTAAACTTACTCAAATAGGTGTTTAATAAGTAAATATTTTACCAAGCCCCTATATATTCAATGAGTTTGCTTATCCTACTAGGCCTATTTATTAAAGGTTTAATGGGAAATACAAGATAACATTCTTAATAAAAATGCAAATTTATTTTATACAAGTAAATAATATATCAATACAAAACAATAGATTTATCTTGGAAATATAGCCTATTTGAAAACTAACCAAACATTGGAAACTGAGATCAAGTTGATAATGCCAAAACTAGGAGATGAAAAAAATAACGGTAACAATAACACATGAATAGATAATGTAACAAATAAAAATCCATACTAAAGATTAGGATACACACTTTACCCTGACACTACATTTTAATTTCCTAAAAAGGAAGTATTTTGTTGAAATTAATACAACTCCTTAAATCATCTTAACAAATTAAATCAACAGCTACCTACTATAAAATAAACAACATAAAACCGAGATCAAAATGAAAATGACTAGGCTATATTATTTAAGGAATATCGATGAAAACAATTAACAGTGTAATAAATAAAAAACTATACAACAAACTGTTGTATGGTATCTTGCATACTCAAAAATGAAACGAACTTTGAAAGTGATATCCAATTAAAAATGCCAAAACTAAGAGATGAAATATTTTTTTTTAAATAATAACTGGTAGCAATATTACATAAATAAATAATGTAACCAAAAAGATACACTTCAAAACCCTGCATCAACATTTTACCAGGCAAAAAAAGGCAGTGGTTATTGAAATTATAGGCCTACAAAATGTTAAATCATCTTAAACATTTAATCATAAGATAATACTAGAAAATTAGGAACATGAAACTGAGATCAAGATGAAAATGTTCAGCCCATGTTATTTTAGGCAAGTAATAAAAACATTAACAGCTAAACAAATAAAAAATACATAAGAAACCGTTGTGAATATAAAAATATTTTTAAGCCTACGTACAGTAAATAGATAACTCAATCAGGAAACTACTTCCTTACGCAAAAGATATAGCCTAACTTAGAACTTTAGCATTTTTTATCTGCTATATTAGGCTATATTTCAAATGAGTACTAGGCAGTGCCTTGTTTCAGGTGTGTAAGCCTATTTTGTAAAATTGAATTGGCTATAACTAACCCAAAAGTATGGTAATCGAAAGCCACTTGGCCTATGGTAAAGATAGTTACTGAGATCAAGAGAAAGTTACAGCAGTAAAACATGAACACTCAAAAACTATCTAAATTTAACAAAAATTATTGAATGGATAACATAACCACGCATGTAGAAAATAATTATATTATAGCCTACTATAAAAATATAAATATACCAAACAAACACTCAACATCTTGAATATAAAAATATAACCTAGACCTAAACAGATAACTCAACCTGTAACCAGATAACAACAAAACTAATTGAATGGATAACTTAACCATGTATGTAGAAAATAATTATATTGCACTATAAAAATATAGGCCTACCAAACACTCAACATTTTGTATTTCCAGAGTTCATGAAAAAGTGTGGTTATGTTTATAATGTTTCATGTAACATGAAAATGAACGCCAATGGCAGTTAGTTAGCTTAGTTAGCGTTTGTACTTTGTATCATAAAATGATATTGATTTGAGATTGTGAGGGTGCATAACCATGACCCAAACGTCCCTTGTGCATTTTCGAAATATCTTAAATATCTATATTATGGTGCAAAAAAACCAATTCACTAATGTGTTCCTGGGTTAAACACCTGCGCCTTTCATTCACCACATTTCCGGCACTCGAGAAGATTCTCTCACTTGCTACTTCAGTGGCAGGAATCCCCAGATAACGCTTTGCAACTGAAGCGATTGGTCCATATAATTGAGAATGCTGTTTCCACCATGAACATGGATTTTCTTGCATTGGTATGCAAGGAGAATTTATGTAGGCCTGGACATGTTGTTTCACTGCATCTTCTTTTGAACTCGGTCTGGTTCTTTGTGAGAGAGACTGGAGGTGACCCCATAATGACATCTCTGGTAGACCCTCTGAAAAGAGTACAGAAGGTTGATACTTGTTCAACTTGATAGGTTTTCATGAGTAAAAGTTGTAAAATGCCAATAGGCCTACAACAATAAAGACAATATTGACAAAAAGAAAATGCCCTCTTAAATCCTTCCAAAATTCCCGCCTTTTGGCTAACGCAATAAGAAAACATTTTTTTTTACTCAGTAAACTAATCAAGCTGTTACTACATCCAGTACTCTCATAGAACATTACATTCAGTGTAATTGTCAAAGCCTCAACAAACTCTTGTGTAGAGCATTATAAAATTAATGTTTTCATTTTTTATATAAACTAGTAGGGCAAAGATTTGGCCCTAACTTTATAATTTTAGCCATTCTGCTGACTAAAAATATACTAGGCCTAAATACAACTAGGTTTTACCCTAAAGCTTGTACTGACCTTTTGGACCACCAGAAGTAGAAGAACCTATGGATGCTGGTGGGTTATCTTCAGCGTAGAAACTCATTGCTTCCCTCTCCAATAAGTCAATTGCAAGCTTCTTGTTGATATCATCTAGGATTAGTGCCTTATACCTCGGATCAACCAGCATTGCCAATTGATAATGTTTGCTAAGTAGATATTCATCTGGCGGAAATCTTGCATTGATTGCCTTGTCAAGGGCCCTAGCGAACATTGTGCCTCTTGCCCCAGATGTAATGAATTGTCTAATGACAGTTCTTATTCCATCAATCAGAGGTAGTACTGTTGGTATATAGCCTTCAGCCAAGTCCCATTCGGTAGAAGTGAGGTTGTTAGGTTTTATTGATGTCGATAGTTCAGCTGAAATTGCCTGCTTTAGAGTAACAAGACGAGAAAGCATGTTGTATTCAGAATTCCATCTTGTCTCGCAGTCTTGAACAAGTTGGAGGGGAGTTTTGCCTAATTGTTGTTGTAATTTGTTTAGTCTGGTATTTGCGGAAGAACTATGCTTGTAGTGGCTGACAATAGCCCTAGCTTTGGCCAGCATGTGTAGCATACCAGGAACATCTTTTTTAGCATCGCTGAGTGCTAACTGAAGGGTATGCGCAAAACACCGTATATGCGTCCATGGTGTCATCGACGCTGCACTGACCATATTGGCAGCGTTGTCTGTTACACAAAAAACTGGAATAGTACAATCAGTTCCTTGTTGATGATTCCAATCATTTAGTAATTCCATCAATTTAGAAGAAATATTTACAGCGTTATGTTCTTCGGGGAAATGAGAATTACTCAAGCAATAAGATTTTATATTGAAATCTAGATCAACAAAGTGGCCTGTCAGGGAGATAAATGAATCGTTTGCTGCGGATGTCCAGATATCAGAGGTCAGAGATAAGGATTTTAAATCCTGCATTGTATTTTTAAAATCATTTGATATTTTTACTTTTGTCTCTTTGAAAAGATCCGGTATAACACTGCGAGAAAAGGTCGTTCTTGAAGGTATTTGATATCTGGGTTCCACAATACCCATTAGGTTTCTGAAACCATCTTCCTCAACCAAAGTATATGGATGGAAACTTTTGGCCATCCACTTTCCAATTGCCTTGGTTATCAGTTGCGATCTGGGATGGTTGGAAGATAATTTCTCAGTTGTTCTAAAATGCTCATCTATTTTAAGTTGCTTAGGGGCTGTAGGCCTAGGCATTTTAGACCTTTTTTGTTCAGCTTTTAAACTTAAAAATCCCTTCTGTTCTGTGTCATATTGTTTATATATGTTAGCATGTTTATTTTCCAAATGTCTTATTATAGACGATGTAGTCCCTGTAGGAGTTTTGAAGGTTTTTTTGCAACTATTACATTTTGCTTCTTTGGAGCTTGTCTTAGTAAAATATTTCCAAATAATGGCCTGACCAACTGGTTGTGTAATACTAGAACTAGGCCTAGGACTAACTGGGTTGATCACTTCAACAGAAGTACTTGTAGAAGGTCCAGCTGGTGGGTCATCAATGCATTGTTCATCTTCACTATCCATCTTGTAATTTGAACGAAACTCAGTAAACTAAACAAAAGGTCAGGCCTTAAAAACTACAAATACAATCGAAATTAATTAAACTCGCTACGTCCAAACTGTTCTAATTGTACTTTCATTACACGACGTGACTAGAGAAATACGACGTGACTAGAGAAATACACGCACTTCCTACATTTTGGGCGAAACTATTTTTGTAACAAACTACTTTATAAAATAACAAATAAATTATAACAATGTTACGACTAGAGAAAGATAAAAAATTTTAAAAGTAAACAAACACTAAACAGAGATAACAGCCAAGAAGTAAAACCAAAAACAATAACAACAAACAACGATTCAGAAACGAAACGGCAACACGCAATATGATTTTTTCACATTCGTGCAGTACAAAGTAAAACCAAATGCAATCTTTAACCATTGATTATAGTACCTTTATAACATAATAAGCGTAACGTCAACAATTATGTGATTAAAATCATTGACGAAGCAATTGCTTTATACGAAGTTGGTCAATCATAACGATTTTAATGGAATAAAAAATCCACAAATATTATATACTAATATGGTTGTACCGTCAACCCGCCACCAAGCACGAAGGCACTAACGTGCCACCCCGACAATCCGCCACCACACGGAAGAGGTGCCACCACGACAACGTGCACCACATCAACCCGCAACCATTGATTATACTTCTTCCCCAAGATGTATAATCAATGATGCAACCCTAAACTGCTTCTTCTTGTTGGTGGTTGGTTGATGTGGTGTCATCTTGACGCGTTCCCGCTTTGGCAATGCTAATACCACGAATATTAAAACCACGGCCGCCTCTAACTACAGGCCGCGGCCTTCGAACTGGCAACGTCGCAAGTGGTGTTGTAACAGCTGTTTTTGTTTGGAAGCAGCTAATGGTATTTGTGTATTTACGAACGAATGGTTACTGGACTATGACATTATTGACTCCGCTTAAAAATCTACAGATAAATTCATATTGTTTCGGTTTTCAATTCTGTATGTTTTATTTTCAATATTTTAATAAATTTATATTAATAAATTTAAATCAATAAAGTGCGATTTAATGAGCTAATGTCACATGTCTGCCATGTTATCTTATCGGACGTCTGTCACTGAACAACACCACTTGCGATGTGTTGCCAATTCGACCAGACCGCGGCCTGTAGTTAAAGGCGGCCGTGATTAAAACAGACACGGTATTGTTCATAAACATAAACAAATGTGTTACTGGCTGGAAAGTGCAAATTTAAAATAGCTTAAAATGATTTGTCCAAACCATGTTGTTATTAGCACTCGATCCGGACCAGTTACGTCATTTGTTTACATTGTCGATTTTATAACAAAGTCGCCGTTCCAGTGCTTCTCAATCCAGTATTCTTTCTCACTCAGTCTCAGTTTAGTGTCCAATCCAAACATTGCAGCAAAAATGATGTGCAGTGTCGACGGCAGTGGCATTGGCTAGTTGATTTAGTCAGCTGATTTCGTCTTGTCATTGCGTAATTCTTTCGTTGGTTGGTTCTTCTGTTCTTCAGTTCAGTTCGGTATTTACTGAGCAAACATCGTGTAATGATGTAGGCTATGCTTATCGAATTACATATTGACACAATTATGAAACGGAGATTAAATTTAAATGAAAGTTAGTTCCTTATTTCCTATTTTAAGTTTTATTTGCTAGTTCAAAAAGTATTCGGCTCGAACATTTCGAACTTTTTGAAAATCACGAGCCGAGCCGAATAGGACGCTATTCGGCTCGAAAAAGCTCGATGTTCGAATACTCGCACACCCCTAGTTATCGTTTGCATTATTTACTTCCACAGTACATATTATACTGAATGGCGGCAATATTGACCTTGTATTGGGGTTCAGAGATTACTGACTGGGTAATAGAGTAATTATAATATTTAAACATTCATGTTTTTAAATTTGCTCAATCTCAAGAGGACTGTACCCAGTAATTTGCCCTTGGTGTATAAACTATTTCTTACAGCAATAAGTTAACACATGATGGTAGAGAAAAGAAGATTACACAACCAAAAAGTAACAAAACATTACTTGTGTTGATACTAAAATAAAATTTAAACAAGTCTCAAAACAAAGTGTACCGGTACATTGAACTTTAGCTCCTATTTTTTTCTCCTTTACTCACTGAAATTGTTGGAGTTTGAGTTTAGTAAATTTATTGTATTGACAAGTATTGAAATAGGTGATTTCCTGGTGTTTTCTCAAAGTTCAAATTCAATGAGTCGGACAAAGGTAAATATGGGACAAATTTGAGCAAGCATTTTTGGTACAAAAATTTTCATCACGATGCAATGACACATACATAAATAATGATTCAGATTTTATTACTGTTACATTATAATGCAACGACAGTAAAACAGCTAATTTAAATTGATAAAATCATTGTAAAAAAACTTACTGAAAGCAAGGTAAAGTTAACTAAGAGAAAGGGAATGTTAGGTAATTGTTTTCCCAGCTTCTAAATTGAGGTTTTGGAAAAGATAATTTTTCTGACATAAACTTGTCATTATAACTGGCGACTTTTTATAGCCAATGACTCACTTGTCTTGAGAGTGGCTTATCTCATTGGCAGAGCTGCGGCCAGAGTGGACACTGGCTCTGTCGTTGCTTGCGTTTCCATACTTCTCCGCCATATAGCGTTCGTACCACAACGCATACGCCGCCGGGTCTGTGCGTCGCATGTTCTCATAGTACTGTTGGTATCGGTAATAGTTCCAACTGTCCATGCCACCTGGAAACACATGTCATGAAAACTGCACACATATCTGACTGGATTCAGGATTTAAGGGTTGTACAATGGCTTATTCATTAATGAATATAAATATTGTAAAGAAAACATGTAAACAAGGCAGTGATGGAAATAAACTACCTTAAAAACATAACTTCTGTTGTTGAAAAATGAAAAACTTGATTTACCTATTAGATGATTTATTTTTGTTCTATTTACAATTTACATAGATAAGATGATGCTTACAAAAATTTTCTCAAATTTAATAATGAGTATTACTAAGGTATCTTAATGGGAAAATGCTCATTTTCATATTCTACATAACGAGACAAAATGTTCTAAGAATTGAAGTGAGCAAGACTACACACATTTTATTACAATAGTTTGTGGTTTTACAGTTATATTTGTTTTGTCCCTGAGGAAATTCAAGCAGTAGTTTTAGAAAATCCAAGTGTAGATCGTATGTAAACGCAGCGGTCCTAAAACCACTGAGCTATTAAAATGATACTGGCTTGATAATCGCTGGTCTTAGTCAGTAACAAAACTACACATGTCATATCACTCCATTCTACACAGATCCTGCATTCATTCAGCTTAAAATATGTGACCATCTGTGGTGCTGTCTTAAAGAATTGAAAATGTGTTTTTTTGTTTCTCTGTTAACATTTTTGCCAACTATTATCCCTGATTGCGACAATAGGACATGGTAGCCAACTTTCTTCGAGTAACCAATTATTTATATTTTCATTATAAAGTGTTCCTCTTACCTTGTTCAGGGTAGTAAGGCTGGCGAGGAGGGTAGTCTCTATGTCTGCGATACTCCAGGCCCGTCCTGCTTGAGGGACGAGACCTGCGACCAATAAACATCAGTTTAACAATAAGGTGGTTAGAAAAAATTAAAATATGGACAGAAAATACAAACTTCAATAGCTCCACCAAAACGATGCTAGTGACGAAAGTGAAAATATTCAGAAAACACAAAAACTATCTGCCCCCACAAAAACTATCACAGCCAGTTTCCTGTACATTCAAGTGCTGCCAACCTAGGTAATTTTAAAACACAGTTAAGGACGTCATTAGCATTGTTGTTCTCTAAAAATTTCAATTTCAAAAAATATGTTGTTTACAACATTGTTCGGCAAAAATATTCAATTAAGATTAAAGGTATTCAATCAAAGTTGTGTGGCCGTTCCAATAATTTACAAATAAACAACTGCTTACAACTGCTCAAAGGCCATTTTTAGCGGGCCACGTTATCATGTGGAGCTTATTAAGCGACGTAAATGCGGTGGCGAGGCACACGACAGTGGCTGCGACTGGCCACTCCAGTAGCACACCCTCGCTACTAGTCGACTGTCGCGCCACCAGCGGGCTATGTTATATTGTTTCGCCTATGTTTAAGATGCTTAAGTAAAAGTAGAAGAAATAGTTCATCTTCTTCACTTGACTATATCATTCAAACTGAAAAACTACATTCAAGTCTGTATAAAATTCAGACAGACGCGCGACCTCGCCACACTTGTCGCTACCCCTAGTCACACCTGTGGCTACCTCAAGCGACTGAGCAGTCGCGGTCGCGAGCCACTAGAGTGGCCACACGTAATAAGGCTCTTAGTAAATAACCCCCCAGAATTTGAGATTCAGAATAAAATTTCTATGGATAAGGATTCAACATTTGGAACCTCACCTCAAGTAGAAAACTATTTACATTCCACAACCAAATAAAGCTGTACCCACCTGTTTTCCCTGTAGTAATAAGGATCTTCTTGATAAGGCTCGTAATATCTCCTGTCTCTGTCCATCGGACCTAGTCTCCTGTGAGGACAATCACCACAGCAAGGTTATCCAAGCAACACACGGCACGTCAAACAAACTGTCAGAGTGTCTACAATACTTTGCATTACGTACATACAACCTCCACTACAACTAGTGGTTTGTGATTTCTGAAAGGCAGATCTACGGCGATTGATTTTGTTGTCGTTTTAATGCCAAAAACATTTTGTCATTTAACGCTTTATGGAAAAAGCGGAAAAGCTCTGAATTTTTGTGGATATGTCGGGGATTAAATCAGTTCGCCTCCCACCAAAGTGTGACGCAAAACACAAGACTACCAACTCATCCATATTGAATATTCAAACATGTATTTTGATGTATTAGTTATCTTATTTACTTTTTGAATTTAAGTTTTTGATCCATCACGATCTAAAAGAAAACTCAATTTACAATTGTCCATACTTTGTAATGAAAAGAACGTTAGTTCTGTAGATTCAAAGATAATGTTAGATAACTTTATAATAGGATTAGAATAATGATATTAAAAGTGAAACATTTTGATATTGTTCACAGCAAAGATTCGATGCTATAAGGCAAAAAAATTAGATTTCATTTTAAATAAAAATAAATCCACATGAAGAATAAGTAAACTAGAATTAATTTGTATGTAATTCTATTATCTACCAATAAATTAAATACCAAATTTAGAAAGCAATATTAATATTGTTTGGTTTTAATCTATTTTAGATCTTGATTTTTTAACACAATTGTGTCTTTATTTGACACAAAATTCATCATAACCGAAATTTTGTATAGTAGACACTCTGGAAATCACACTTAGGAAGCAAACAAAGGATCAACACTCTCAAAAACAGTTTCAAACCAATAAACCAAAGGCAATTTGCTGCAAACCAATTCAGATATTTTACAAGGACAAGAATCACTTTGAAAAATAAACTGAGCAAAAGTTGGTCAAGAAAAAAACAAAGGCTAGATTGGGCTGAATGTGAGCTAGACTCAACACAAAAGTTTGATAGTAGTACGTTGCCTACCTGGGATCCTCTCTATAGTACGGCTCTTCTCTATAGTAGGACTCTGGGCTCCTCCTGCGTCTGTCTCGCTCCCGAGGTCTGTCTCGTCTGGGGGAAAATTATTCAATGATGATATTTTATAGAGTACAGTACAAGCATGTGACTTAGACCAGATGGATGTAGAATTTTTAGGAAAATTGCGTTCTATCCATGCAAGTGTCCACTGTGATTTCTCAAATATAAGATACTGAAGCTAATTTGTTCCAATGTATTTCAAATTTAATGGTAATAATCTTTACTAACTTATTGCATATTTATTGGATATTGACCTAAAATTGTTATATTATTTTCTGTTAATTTGAAATGCTGAAAGCAATATTGAACGATTAATGGTGATTTGTATTTAGTGGATGAAATACAAAAATAAAAGAATTTCAACTATTTCATTACAGAGGTCCTTATCGAAATCCAAGCCTCGGGAGTCATATATTAAGAGCCAGTGATATATTTTTGCCTTCCCCTGATTATAATGTGTTAAGTGACTAGGGTCTGCCACCATATGTTAGGATAACAGACTCCCCAGGATATCTAGACTGTGCAAATTACCAACTACCAATGACACTAACCACCAGTGTCTTTGTATTTTTATTTTATATCTTATATCATATGATTTATTTTCACTTTAGTTTTGACACTATACGTCACTGACTGTGAATCAGTATTTATCTTGTCTCACCCTTATTTTTGCCCCCAAGATTGTCTCCCGACAGCTGACACAAGATGTTCTACTGTTTAACCACAATGGTTTACCAACTCACCTATCTCTCTCTCTACGCTCCCTGAAGTCATCCCTATCATAGTCCTCATGGTCACTCCTGTACTCCGGACTGTGGTTGTAGCTGTTGTCCCTCTTCTTCCGGTACTCCCCTCCCCTCCTCTCCTTACCCCTCTCCCGGTACTCCCGCTCACTAGAGTAGTCCCTCTCTCTCTCCTTCCTGTCGTCATCATAGCTGCTGCAACCACAACATTTGGTAGGTAGTTAATATGTGTACGATTTTTTAAAGTAGTTTCTGGAGCTAAAATCTATAACATTATTACTTTTTCAGGTTGTCGATTAGAGATAGTTGAAACGTAGAGCATTTGGCATTTTCAATTACTTTACATATTAAAAATATTAAATGAGTGGCAGGCCCGTGGTTTACATAAGAGACCCTATGGGCCCGAGTGATGATTTGTGCCCCTCTTCCCCCTTCATTTCAAGGCAGTTGTTTTTCTTTCTTGTGCTTCCAAACCACCTAAAACCTCATGGGCCCCTGCGCTCGGGCCTATTGACTAAATTTAAATAGGTCCTGAAGAATGGCTTTAAATTGTTTAACTTGACATCTCATCTATAGACCAACTGACACTAATTTCTTTTTGCACAAAAAGAACATAATTTAATGAGCCTTCCACAATCAAAACTCTATTTCTCCTCTTGATTTGAGTGATGCTACAATTCACAATAAGTGGTTCTTTTCTGTAATGCTAGACTAAAAATTAGCAATTTCAGAAATCGGTTATTGACATCGCCACACTCTGTTGGTGGTTAATCCAACTACGTTTATATTCTAAAACTAGATAGTAACATGGGAAGGGAACGTTTAATTCTACCAATAGTCAATTATATCATCCACTTACTCTTTGCGGTGGCGATGTCTCCGTCTCTCCGCTCGGTTGTAGTCGGAGTCAGAGTCGTCCTCCCTGTTGCTACTCTTCACCGTCTCTTTCTCTTTCTCACTCTCCGGTTCTCCGTCCTTCTCTCTGAACTGTCCGACCACCATCCGCTGCATCCCCGTCTCCTCCACTCTCTCCCTCTCCCCTGTCTTGGCTGCAACACACATCAACATTGATTAGGATATAAAATAGTCCTCCTTTTATGCAATGCCTATAAGCAAACCTGCAAGTCAACAATTATTAGGTCATTGTGACCCATGTGATATTTTTTATTTCCTTTATGTAATACCGCAATTAATTTGTTGTAAATAAAGAATTTCTCTCTCTCTCTCTCTCTATTATTATCTAAGATAAATAGTTTTTTAGCTTCACTGCTCCATTTTTTAATGTACTTCCAGACTTATATTTGATCTTTTGTTCACTGTGCGCTTTATGTTAAATGATAATTAAGATTTTATGTCCCTGAGGTGCCGGGTTTATATACAGCAAATCAACAATTGATTTTATCTAGGTGATAATGCTGCGACCCCTGGGCCTAGCCTGAAGTAAACAGTCTCGGTTAGAGCCTAGCGTCGTAGGACGTGAATGTATTAAGATGGGACACAAAAAAATTGCATATGTTCCAAAATTTGACAGTCATATTCAAAAATTAAACAATCAAGCTAAAAAAATAGTCATCTGAAATCATAACCAATGCAGGGAGTAACTAACATTTGAAAAATATTCATACTTTACCAGTGCATTAGCAAGGAACTTGTTTGTATCATCAGGTCACATTTTTATAAATCTGTAAAGTGTTTCCTTTACATTTGGTCTAACCTCAATTATAGTGTTCACTGTTGACTAATATCATTGACTATTGGATACAGAAGTTGTATTATTAGTCAAAGCTAATATTTAAAGAAACATTATTCAATACAGAGTAGTTAATTTACAGAAGTGGTTGTTTCTATACTTGTAGTTGTTGAATATTGTAAAGTTAAACACACTTCAATTTACTTGTGTGTGTTCAATTACATGGTTTCCAAGTACAGTATAACAGTTTGGATAAGCTGTAGTAACTAATTTTCCATGGTTTTAGTATTAGTTTTAATTGAATCACCTAACTTGATATTGTTCTGCAACTTCATTGGCTCAACCAGGGATGAAAATCGAATAGTGAGTTTTTTAACAACATCATATTATAATAAAATAAGTTGTCATAAGTAAAAACCCTAACAATTGTGGTTGAATTTTGTATTTTTTTTATAAAGTGATGATAATTCCTTAATAACAATAGAAGAAGTAGGGCCTTATCAGTTTAGTTCATCAAAATATCAGTATTTTTTTTTATTGCAAACATATAAAGAGAAGTAGCTAAGTTTAGAAACAACTAGATAATTAACATTGCAAACTTCACTGGATAAGCCTTTAAACATAATAATCATGTTTCTTAAATTTATATTATTTATTTTCTACTTTCATGCGTAAAAATCCTTTCTATAATCTGTGCTTCATCATCATTGTTTTAAAATGAACAGAAACATACCGTTCCATTCCATCCAGAGAACTGCCTTCACTGAGACACACATTATAAAGAGCTACTGATAAGATAACAAACCAGTATCTATAGACGTGGGAGAAAAAGACAATAAGTATCAACATCACACGTCTTGCAGGAAAAGCAACAACTCAAACAAATTGCATGGCTGATTGGCAAAAATTTAAAAATGTGACTGTAAAATCACTAAAAGATATACAATCTTTAAAAAATGTACTGGAAGTTTATCTGAATTGGAAAAGGGTCCACGCTATCTCAAGACAAAACAAAAACTTTACGTTATACACAAACGTTTAAATATTCCACTGTCACTGACAGTTGAAAGGTATAATTTAGGAAAAATTGGATTTTTGTTAACCGTTGAACGTTTATGTAGTTTATCTTTCTTTCAAACTAAAACCATCCTTGATTGAAAGTGCTGTAAGAGACAGTGAAATATTTTAATTTTTGAGAATAGTCCCAGGTGCTTGTGTATCCTACACTGCAATGAACTATTTACTACTAAGATAGGTTTGGCATCCTAACAAAGAACCTAGGCATCTGTGCCATTTTGTGTTATTAAATACAAGTTAAAAGTGTGTGTTTTTAATATGATTTCAAAAATAAATGCTAGAATCAATCGGAAAAAGCTTAAGAACATTAGGATCCTAAAAAAGATTTGATAGTACACTACACAAACAATGTATGACTAAAAATGGGAGATGATCGTGATGTCGCTGCGATCGTAGATTACAGCCATGATGTCACTGTGATAAGTGTACGATACATTATAACAAATTTGTGATTACTACAGCAAATAGTACTGTTATTTGTAACCATATCAGTTTAGTTTACATTTGTGGCTGAAATAGATAAATTTACATAAATTGTAAACAATTGATTTTAAAAACTGTCAATTAAAGGAACTAGGTTTTCTCTTATTTCAGGGAAATTTTCACATTTTGTGCTTCACTCTTTGAGTAACTACACCAGAAAACATGCAGTTTACAAAAATATCTTATTATTGGCGTGATTACAAGTACACTATAAAATCTTTTTTCAGCTGATCCATAGGGATAATTTACAGGGGAGGTATCATCTTATCTTATCATAGTTTAGAGTGTGACTACTTTCATTAAGGTTGGGCTGGTGGTAGTTTCCTAGATCAGTTAATGTGATAACTCATTCAGTTTTTACCAACAGCTCTTTACTGATGAGTTCAGTTAAACACCATGGTTTCAACTACAAGTAAAATTAATTGTTGGTAAAGTTACCACATAATCATAAATAAGTAAATATGACTTAAAGAATGTTTATATTATAGTTTTTCACTTTTCTATAACATTCCATAACTTATACAGGGAGCGGCAAAATGATCTGACGGTTTTCTTTGCCGCCCTGTCGAGCGAATGAGTGGCATAGGGTGGTGAGAATAGGGGCGTTACAAAGCCAACGTGTGGACATTTTTAGTAGCCATGGAGCCGTGGGATAGCTGAGCAACATGTATTTGTAGTAGAAGTGTTTTTAAAAGTGGAAATTCCTGTGTAGCTGTTCAGTACACGTTTCAATGTGGGTCCAAGGGGAAAAGTCCCAACTCAAAAAAACCATTTTGCTGTGAGTAGGTAACTTCAGAGCTACTAGTTCAGCATTGAAAAAAGCCAACAGTCTGTCCAAGTCCAAGGTCAGCCCGGACGCCAGAGAACGCTGAGAGAGTAAGAGAAGCTGTGGAAGTTAGTCTTAAGTGGCCTAAACGTTAATAAGCTGCAGCTCTGTACTTGTATGGCCGATCGGTAGAAGAGTATTATAATACAACCTGCATTTCCATTCATACAAAATGGCAATTGTGCAACAGTTGAAACCCAGTAGTTATGCAAAGCGCATCTCTTTTTCAGAACAAGTAGTGATTGATTTTCTTACATGTATCAACATTTTCATTATGAGCGACGAATCACACTTTCAACCACAACATACAGTCTTCCTCACTCTCTTTAGTTTCACACCACGTAGTCAGATTTTAGTTTCAATGCTGAACTAGAAGCTCTTAAGTTACCCACCCACAGCAAAATGGTGTTTCGAGTTGGGACTTTTCTTCTTTGACCCACATTGAAACGTGTACTGAACAGCTACACAGGAATTTCCACTTTTAAAAACACTTCTACTACAAATACATGTTGCTCAGCCATCCCACGGCTCCATGGCTACTAAAAATGTCCACACGTTGGCTTTGTAACGCCCCTTTTCCACCACCCTATTCATACACCACTCATTCGCTCTACAGGGCGGCAAAGAAAACCGTCAGATCATTTTGCCGCTCCCTGTATGTTTCCACCTCAATATATTCCACCAAGCAACACTACAAAATGGCGACCAGCGGCACCCCTGATGAGAAGTGCTGACCAACAAATATTCATTATATCTCAGTGGTGACAGTGAAATGCTTTAACTTTTCTATTCAGGTAAGTTTGTTATCCTACAAGGGAGAGGGGAGTGTGGAGTGGGGAGTGTGTATAACCTGTGACATGTTCCGTGCTTGTGCTGGTCTCAGAGTTGATCTGCCCCAGCACCAGTCTGTGCAGACCAGGAGGTGGTTGAGAAACAGACTCCTCAGCATCAATACCAGGACCCACATCATGTCTGCTGGTTTCCTGCCCACTAAAACACCAAAAGACAAATAGTTCAGAAGATTTGATCTGTAAAACTTTTTAGCCTTTTAGATGAGTGACTGCCAGTGTTGTGGAATTTAAAATAATTTACAACAACAGTTGGGTCTAGAATATTGTGAGAGAGAATTAATCCATCAACTAACCATTGAGATGGGTACATCAGGTAGGTGTGCATTTTAAACCAAATATGAAGTAAGGATGTGTGTAGAGAATGGTGTTATTACCAGAGTCTAAAAAACAGGCTACACATCTCTGAATTCCTATTTTACTGCAACCTTTAATTGTTGACTAAAGCAGTTAGGTGACTGCCTAAATCACGGGACAGAAAATTAGTTGCATGTTACATCTGCTGTAAGTGATCACAAACATTGTTTAAAATTATTTCACTATTAACTAAATGAATGTTGACACTACATTCCCTAAATAAGAAAATAGGATAAAAAATTTTATCATCACTACCTGTTAGACATGCCAGGGTCTGTTGCATCCATCCCCGCTCCGGTCACCATCCTTTCATCCTCCACGTCTCGAGGGAAGCTGTCCTCGTGTTCTGACATCCTGCCAGGGACCATCCTCTCAAAGTCTGCGCTGGTGTTGTTCTCGTCATCGCTCAGCTGACCAGGAACCATCCGCTCTTCCTGCTGTCCTCCGGGCACTAGCCGCAGAGAGTCCTGCATCTGGTGACCAGGAACCATCCGTTCATCTGGAGCATTCTGCTGTCCAGGAACCTGCAGTCATTTGGATTTAAGTGAGTTACAACTTTTTGCAGTGTCTACTTCAGAAACCCTGCAGTCTTTTGAGGTTATATTATAGGGTTGAATTATTAACCTAATGCTTATATATAACACATTAAGAAAGAAATAATGGATACACAACTGCCACTACAAAGTCTTAGTTAGTTCCAACATCTGGAATATCTGGTTCTATGACAAAGCATTTGTAAATTACCATTCTCTCCATGGTGATAGGTTCTGGTGATGCGCTGGGGGTCGGTTGTCCAGGAACTAGTCTCACAAAGCCCCCGCCACCACTTGGGGGCTGTCTGTGGGGCACAGAGTCTGTCCCTTGCCCCGTCACCATCCTGTGTAGGCCAGGCGGGGGTAGAGCCTCACCTGTACACAACATATGTTTATGTAAAAGAAGGTTTTCAACACCAGAGAAGAATTAAATATGTACTGTTTGACCATAAGAAACACATCCAATGTGGACATTCATTGCCAGATGACCGTTTTGTAGGTTATGGCTCTAACGCAATGTGTGAGAATAAAGTGTGGAAATGGGGTACATAAGAGACGAATCAACTGATAAATGTTGTTTTTACTAGGTCTATTCTCTCGTGACACGTGAACGGGAAGGACGGAATAGAGAAATGCCAGATGTGTGCCGAGACTACTTAACTACAATAACTATTTGATGTAATGCGGACTTTGTAAAGTTTAGAGAAAGAGGGTCCTCCTAATTATATAATGTAATGTGATTAGAACTAATTAATTGATACAATTGCCCGACACTGACCTTCATCATTATTGTCCACCTCTGGTGTCGTCTCCTCAGGTCCGTTGGAGTCCACCAGTTGTCCAGTCTCCAGGTATTGGTTCCTGTCTAGCTCACACCTCGGGGCGACCTCCTGGTTCTCCCACCCAGTACTCCACTGAAACCATACACCTGTGTAAGCGAATCATTCTTGTGGTTACTGGAAGGTTAATGGTTTTATGTCCCACCACATCCTAAGATGGTAGGTTCAAGGCTGAAACCATTTTCACATTACTTCAGGCTAGGTCATGAGAGTTGCGGCTTTATCAATTAGACGATCCTTTCATGATTGACAAGATTTGAACCCAGGATCTTAAGGACCAAACATGTGACACCACAGACCAGCTCGTTCTCCCTAGGTATAGTAGACCTAATCTTAACCGAACGCTGGTTACGGGGCCGGATCTAGGTATCCAAAAGGTCAGTTATAACGTAAAAAACTAGGTACATCAATGCTTGGTACGGTATTCAATGTTTTCTTCTATGTACTGTCAAAGCAACAAGTAACAATGAAGTTATCAATGTACATGTAATTTCTGTTTTTTTCCCATTCTCTTTGGATAAAAAACTCAGTTTTTTGGCCAACATTCAAAGATTTCAAGTGCCAGACTTAGGGCCTATCTCTAAAGTTTATGTAAATTTACAGGATATTCAATGTGTCAATAAATATAAGTACCTATGTGACTAGTGTCACTTATAGTTGCTCACTCTTGGACTGTTTAGTTACAAGGGCTACATTTTTTGTTAGAGATTTGATAGTTTAATTTATTAGCAACTTTAAATCAAAATGTGGTTTTTATTTCCAGTTTTTTAATCAATAAAAATGTTTACTACTTTTCATCATTGACTTGACTTGACACAATGTTGTGTGAACTGTTTTACTGGTTACTGGTTCTTCTATTCATTTGTATGTTTAAAACTTCGAGAATTAGAATGACTATGTTCTCATTTACATGAATACAATAGTCATTCAAATGCCATTCTAGTTTCTCCTACAGCAAACTATACAATTCAAACTTCGCTGAAAAATAATAAACTCAAAAAGTCAAAAATCATCTCTTACCGAATCAATATTATGAGTGGAGCTAATTTTCATCTGACTCATTTTTTTATGAAGGTTTTGCAAATGCTCTTCGTTGTCAGGCACAGTTTCTTGGTTGTCCGGAATGTTATTTTCCTCATTATTTTCCACACTGAGCTCTCTTTGTACCTCTTGCAGGTTTTCCGCTGATGATCTTGACACATCTACTTGGCTCACTGGCGTAACTGTGCTCTCAGGAGGGGCAACTTCTATGTTTTCTACCTCTTCAACTGTCATGTTGGTAACAGATTCACTCATCGTGTCATATCTCTGTTCAGTATTGTTGGTAAATGCACTCTGATCGTAGTAATCAGTGGGTTGTTGACTCAGTGGTGTGTTTTGGTCATAGAAACTACCAGTAATAGAATGATCTTGAGACTGCAGATTGTTTTGGTCAAAGTAGTAGTTGGATTGTGGTTGAGTTTGCTGTTGTTGAACGTAAAAGCTGTTGCTTTGTTCTAAAACAGGCTCTGGCTGGAAGTATTGGGAGTTCTGGACCATATTTTGATTATGCTCTGGAGGAGGTGGCTGGTGATAGGGTTTTGACTCTTTGTTCTGTGCATGCAAAGTTTGAGAAGGGAAAGAGTGTTGTTGAGGGGGGAGTGGATGGCCTTGAGGAGGAGGAGGGGTGGGTTGAGGAGGAGAATGAGGTTGAAATGGAATAGACTGAGATTGAGGAGGGAGAGAATGAGACTGAGGGGCAGAATTAGGTTTAGGAGAAGCAGAATGAGGTGGTAGAGGGGGGACGGAGTAAGGTTGAGGTGGACCAGAGTAAGGCTGGGGAGGAAAAGAATTTTGAGGAGGAGGAGTAGGTTGAGGAGAAGGAGAATGGGGTTGAAATGAAACAGGTTGAGAGGGGATTGAATGAGTCTGTGGAGGACCAGAATTAGGTTTAGGGGAAGCAGAATGAGGTGGTAGAGAAGGAACAGAGTGAGGTTGAGGGGGATAAGACTGGGCTTGAGGTGGAACAGAATTTGACTGAGGCGGACCAGGATACGGTTTGGGAGGTGCTCCGTAATTTTGAGAAATCGAGCTAGGTGGATGAAAGTAAGAAGCAGGCGTAGAAGGTGCAGGGTTCCTATTCACAAAGTTTTGCGAAGGGTAAGGTTGGGGAGCAAACTGATAGTTTTGACCTTGATGCACTTGTCTTTGAGACGGATTGTACAATGGCACTGAAGGTGGCCCATGATTTCCGACCAAATCGATGTTTTCAAAGAAGTCCGAAGCATTAGAGACTTGGTTGTACTGCTGTTGCACCATGCCCCGCCCACTTGCGAATGTGTTCAGCTGGTCGGGTATGAGGTCTGGAGTGCCATGTGGCTTCTTGTCTGGTGGCCTCTGATAGTGGGATGGCTGGGGTGGATGGTTTGGTATCACATTAGGAGCTGTTGTCTGAGTCTGACCCCATCCGTTGTTCCAATCCTCCTGCTGGCCTGAGTTGTTATCTTCCCAACCCCAGTCCCACGGGTCTGTGCTCTGCCGTCCTGGCTTAGTTTTCGGAACCTAGAAAATTTTATTTATATATTATAATAATTCTCTAAAAAAATATACCTAATAAGAACCATTCTCTAGCAAAAAAAAAAAGAACTAAGAAGTTGTTTTGCTACTAAAGAAATCTGTCCAAAAATGTAGCAATTTGAAAAACACATTAGTGAACCATAGCTAAAAAAAAGTATTATTGTTGAAAAAATACTTAAAAGTGGAAACAGCTTTTCTCAAACATGGTGGTAGGCCTATATTAATTGTAACTTGTAAATTAAATAAATTTAAAACTTGCAACTCAAAAAGTCAAATGATGAAATCTTACAATAAACTCTATATGGGAGTAAATCAACTCCCTTCAATTTATTTTATAATTTAGCCACCTTTCATCGGACTTGACTGCCTGTTGAAAGTCAGTCACTAAAAATATTTGTTGCACATTAACTACAGTCAATTGCTTTTAAACACTTATAGTATAGTACCTAGACTGTTGGCAAAGTTAATCAAAAGTTAAAATACATCAACCATCAATATTTCCCTATAACAATTTGATAAACATAAAATAGAAACATGACGAATCCATCAACGAAACTTCAGTCATAGATTTAAAACATTTGACTGACAACAAACAAACGAATCAAATTAATTTGAGTGTGTCATTACAACATAATAAGTTAGCCTACACACCTATGTTGGGGGAAGATGTTTAAAAGCAATGTCAACAATCCAGATGCAAAACTACAACTGAGCAATATATCGCCGCAACCACACGACGCTATCAACTGAACAAACACACTTGATTGTCTGGCCAAACACCTTACTGACTATTGAACCACGCCATTAATTACTGTATTGCATCTATTTATATTTAATCATTCATTTCAAGTTCACTGTTGTAACATTGGAAATAATCTCTTATTAACTGTCAACTATCAAAAATAGAAATCATTGGTTGATATATAAATGTTTACAGAGGCAGTACAAAATATGTTGTGTTAAAAAAACCCACCTAATCTTGCAATCCTGTATAGTTACACAGGGTTGTTGAAGTTAGTGTCTTTATCAGTCTATAAGGAAAGTAGCCTATGTAGTCAAAAAAACCCCGTAGCAAAACTGCATACTAGACACATTTTCAATAGCTTAATAAATAAAATGTTAATGCAAACAAGTATATTATTTTCCTTATAGCAAATTTACACTTAGACCTAGTCCTACACCTAATATATTATATTTAATCAATAAGTTGTGCATCTATGAGACAATCCATTTTGCTTCCCCTGCCTGTGCTCGGAAAATATTCGTCACCAAGAGCTTTAGACTTCAACTTTAGCTTGACAGTACTTTTTGCACTAAATGTTATCTCAAACTCAATTAAACAAATAAAAGTTGCTATGTCCTATCTTAATGTTTCTTTCTTGATTTTTTCAGCTAGGTTGGCATAGGGTACTTTTTATCACGCAAATATAATTTTTTTCCTACCACATTTTTTAGACTAACTAACGCTATCATTGTCTGTCATTATTGTTCCAATGAAAAATGTTTAAGAGGCTGGTTATTAAAAATAATTTTTAGCTGTCATTTTGTTGTTAGTGGTCCGATTTATATTTTCTTATGACAATTTTAAATGTTTAGTTTTTCCAATACCTGTAAAATGATATGAATGTTGACTAGATACTTTTAATTGACTACGCCTTTAATTGGGTAAGCCTTTAAGTTGTGGGTGAGTCGGTGGCTGAGTCGGTAGCTTCGCAGACTTCGGGCCCAAGGCAGTAGTGTCGTGGGTTCGGATCCTGGTCACTGCCACTAACTTTTATCAGTACAGTTCACCTATGTACTGTACCGGCTCACCCCTTGCTTTGCTGGATACGTTCCACGCACAGATCTGTAGTCTATGTGGACGGGCAAATGTAAGGTTAAAAGAGGCCGCCAAACTCTTACAAAAAAAAAAAAAAAAAAAAAAATTGAGACTTTTGAGCTAACCCCTACCCCCACTACCCCTAAACGCAAAATTAACCATAATTATTGTAGCCTCTCATATCTAAGAAGGTTGTCACAAAATGATTTTAAATATCTCAAATAGTTTAAAAGATAAGTGGGGTGCAAGTTACTTTTTAGACATCCTCATGGTAAATTGGATTATTACTGGTTCGATGTTTGTTTTCTTTATGTCAATCGTTTAGTTTTGTCAAGACCTGTAAAATGATACCAAAGTCGAATATACTTCCCATTTGAAAATTTTGAGCTACCCCCTCCCCCACTCTTAGGACAAAATTTTCAAAAGTAACCATCATTATTGGAGCCCCTCGTATCTAAGAAGGTTATTGCAAACCGATTTCAAATAAATTATATTGGGAGTCAAATAAATAAATTTGTTGTAGGGTATTCACAAGGGTGTATGTTAAATTTTACGATTCCGCCAATAATTGATGTTTGGCATTTTAATCAATCACCAAAGATGGATTTTTAAACAAACTCGTCCTATGGCTAATCTTTATAATTTTATCTGACAAGATCAATCCAGACATCTGGTCAACGATCGCCAGTTGGTAATGGTAATACACAAATTACATTTAAAAATAAACGGTACTGTATCAGCAATTTGACACATATTTTCTCCCATTTGCTTGTCAACAACCCTTATAAGCGGTGGCTTGGAGTGAAAGTAACTATGGTTTTTATGGGGAATATCAGAAAAGTTAGCCTAAAATAACTTTTGAACCACAATTTTTACAGCAATGGGGGTCGTAACACTATGTTTAGTTAAATTAGTCGTATGTTATTATTATTTCATGGTATGATATTTATTAATAAGATGTTAATTTATTTAATCCCTTATTCTTATCAGTTAAGGGAAACAATTATCAATATCCCTCTCATTCCTGGGCTGCAGCAAAATCTAATGATCTGTGGGTCCCGAATGTTTTAGGCAAACCAGGCTAGCAGTTGACCAATGAATTTTTTATTTAAGCTTGTGTTGGTTAATTTAAAAGGATTGCAAACCAAGCTTATATTCTCGTGATTGCAGAAAGTGTGTGCAACGATTGCAGGGTCAATCATTCTCGATTTTGCTGCGATTAAGAGTTCCAGGAATCATTCATGATTTCCTTGGGACGCTCCTGTTTTAGTACCATGGTATATTCATGGTTTCTCCACAACTGCGGAAGATTTTTATGATTTTGTCATGACCGTAAGCACAAGAGAAATTCACAATAGCATTGCAATCATGGCAGACGTTGTTTGCCACGACCATAGGAGACACGATTACTCCGTAAGCACAGGTGAAGTTCACAATTTCATTGCAATCACGAAAAATATTGTATTTTGTACATTGATTATGGAATATAAATTTTGTCAACAAAGCTTTCCAAATCTGAGAAAATTTGGCCGGACGTGAAGGTTAAACCTATTTTTCCCCTACCTGAAGTAAAAGTCTGGCCCACAGACCTCTTGTACTAACTGAAACACTCTGTTTAACTCTATACAGGTCAGAAATAAAATTTGATTCAAGACTTTACAACAGAACACTAGCAACCACTCAGGAATGATACGATTAGGTGGTACACTTACAATTGGGTGGTCAAAGACAAATCGGGGAACTGGAATGGGAGTCTTTGGACCCGGAACCATAGATCAGGAGCCGATGGGTCATTCTACCAGCATAAAGCTAAGGTTGGAGCCATTAAGAGGTGTGCTCAGTTTAACTTAAATAAATGGTAGGCCTATAAGGATAGACACACTGTCTGCCATTTGAGCTCTGAGCTCATCTGTTATTAGATCTACAAAGGTATGGAACTGTCAGCAGAGCCTAAACTGTCTAGGCTAGGACAGAGCAAAAGATTGTTCCTCCACTAGGATCCTGGCTGGGCACCAAAGCGTGGAGAGTAATGAGGGGGCAGATAAGCTGGCGAGAGAAGGAACAATAATCCTTTTGTGGGGCCAGAACCAGGCTGTGCACTGGAAGATGCCCTCTTCAAAAGGAAGCATAAAGAGGAATAGAAGGCAACAAGATCAAAGAGTTTGGAGAGCTCTTCCACGATGTAGGCAAGCCATAGGCTGAAGAAAATTGTTAAGACTGCTAACAGGATTTCTGATTGGACATTGCAGATTAAGAGCAAACCTTAGGAGAATGTTAATAATAATAATAATAAATCTTTATTTGTCGTAAAAATACAAAGGTATCATTGACAAAGTCATAAGATGCAATGCAACTGCCAGGTCATACAAGTATTTTTCCCCTTTTAAAACTATCTTCAGTAATAGCCCAATATTGAGGAAAGAAAAATATATTGAAAAATGTACATAACAAGTTAAAAGGGTACAATTACAGATTAGAAACTGCAACTGCTAAAAAGAAAAAATAACAAAGAATACTACACCTAAAACTGGACATCTTTACAACTGTAAAAATCGCCCAGTTTATAAAAGGGGTGTCCCACAACCACAAGTAAAGCTTATTTTTTAATTATTTTTTTCATTCTGTTTATTTTTAAGTGAATTAGTGTTGGTTCTGTCAATCAGGGAGAGGCCCCAAAGCAGTTGGCAGTTTATGAGACATCAGCAGCTGCAAGAGGGCTAAGGGTCTATAACTCTTTATAAAGTAAACAAATAGGAATACACCCCTGTGATAACCTTGTCAGATATTGGATTTTGTCAAAGAATTAGAGCAAGGGGCAGGCCTACTCCAAGGAGGACTGACAAATATAAGGGGGACACAATAGATCTTCTATGTCGCAGTGTATCCTTTTCCAATAAACAGCATCAGGACCACAGAACATAACGTTTCTTCCACCAGACTGAATAGTATGGGCATTCTTTGCAATTTATTATTGGTTAAAATCAAGTGATGTTTACAGTGTGATAATATAATGAAAGCAGTCAATTTTGAGCTGGCAATGATTGGTTGGTCATCCCAAGAAGTTACTATAGCCAGTAACTTCAGTGTGGAATTATGAATATGTTAGCCTAGGCGTCAAAAAAGGAGAGCTAGATTAAGACCAAATTATCTCGGGTAAGTATTTCAACACTTTCGAGACAAATTGAATAATTTACAGCCGTCATACCAGTAACCTATCAACTTGGAAACTGAGTAATATTGAACAATATTTTTGGAGCCTTTTGTGAAGTGTTGTTATGAATATAAGTTATGAATATAAGAGTTTTCCACGTACTCGAAGAATTAACAAATTCATTGATTTATCATGAACTTTATAAGTTAAAGGTTCACTAAATAAGGGCTATCTCTTTCTCACAGTATTCTAACTGTCATGTTAAAATATTAAAGTGTGACCAATACTAAACAAATACCTGGAATTAACCCTGGAGAACTCACATGGTGATCAAAACGGCCAGGTGGGTATTATTTTCAATTGTTAAATAAATATTCATAAAAAACTATTAATCCATGGTTTTATCTTGTAGTAGAAAAATTACCAATTTAATAGCAGAATAAAGTTGTTTTATTGATTCTGGTAAAAGACTTGAGTGAACCTCATCTTTTCTCATAAATAGTGAGTTATCCAGTGATAAATAAGCCCAGAAGGAAAAATTCCAAGATTTTTAACAAACTAACTTACCGCAGGATTTCGAGAATATGGGTTAGAATTTGAGTTGTTATTGAACTGGTCTCCGGCAGATGGTCTAGATGGTGGACGAGGATTTGCTGGCCACATTTTTAAACCTTTGATCTAAAGCTGCAATAAGACAAAATAATTATTGACAGTTTATTGATAGCATACACATACTTTAGGTTTCATATTATCATAGAAAAAAATAATTAAATATAGACTGTCAGCCGTACAGTGGTTACCATAATTACCATAGGTTCTGGCGCACACCACTGGAGTAGTTACGTAGCGCGTAGGCCGTAACTACATAGCACTCCCAGCGGTGTGCGCCAGAACCTATGGTTTACTGCAGCACAGCTGACGATCTATATTTAATTCTTTTTATCTATGATATTATTCATCTGCACCTACTTTTCTGAAAATTACCTCTAGATTTGCCAAAATCAGTAGTTGACCAAGGCATAAATTCAGCAACAATACAGCTGGTTTCTGGATACAGAAAAAGGTTATCGGTGCAATATTTACAGCTCTAACTTATTCTATAATCAATTCACATTATCATCAAGCTATTCACTTATATAGCCTATGTTTCAAAATATCAGTTTAAACATATTTTCAAATACGTTAACGTTACTATGGTAAGAGGAAGGCTTTACCTCACTGCAATGGTAAGTTAGATCGCAGATTCCAAAACTGTCTCGATTCCAATTTTTAAGTAAAAATAGCAAAAGTTTATTATTTTTAAAAAAAGATTTATATAGATAGCGTAATGTAACATAAGTGAACAAACAACGTATATCTAACATTTGGGTTTGCCTATATACAAGGAACCAATCTTAAGTTACTAATATTATAAATGTGAAAGTTTGTATGTTTGTTTGTTTGTGTGTTTGAAGTTCAATCACGCATAAACCACTGGACGGATTGGGCTGAAATTTGGCATGATGATAGCTTACATTCCCGATTAACATATAGGCATATTCTTATCTCAAAAATCCTTTCGGGCTCCGCCCCAGTGGCTCTGTAATTCCCCATGTTAACCTTATGAGTACAGTAGTAATGTGGACTGGAAGGGTGCCGAGTTTGTGAAATGCCGGGTTATCGGGAACTAGGGTTAAAAATAAGAACAATACAATTTTTAAGCTTTTTAACCGCCTTTTTTATTTATATTTATATTACAAGTCAGTATTAAGTCATCAGATATATTGTAGCTTACTTACAACAAATCCTTGGTACGAGTAGTGAATGATTTGACTTGAGCTGGCTTGAGTCCATGTTTAGGCCTAACTCAGACTCAAAAAATCACTAGTTTTCTGAGGTGTTGATGGCCGAGTTATCCAGACTGCCGGGTTATCGAGTGCCGAGTTTGCGGGACTCTACTGTATTCATATTTAAAGGGAATTAAAGAATTTAGTCAGCTGTTTCAACTAAAAAAGTTGGTTCTATGATATGGAAAGCATTAAAACGTTGTAAGATTTACCAACAGGGTGCAGCACTATATTTTTTTTGCATTTATGAAAACAGCTAATTTGAACTAAGCAGCAACAAAAAACTGTGATTCTCAATGAGAACTGTCAAAGTAGGATTGTTTACAGTTATGTTTATGTTTTTTCATCTTATGAATAACTAGCTGTACCCGCGGGCTTCGCCCCGTTTAACTTCATAAGTATTCTCATGGCTCATTCACGTCCTGGTTGAAGTTCGTTCGCTACGCTCACTCACCTTTTGGTTAGAAATTAGCTGTTGTCATAAATTAAAAAAAAATTAATAGTGCTGCACCCTGTTGGTAATCCTTGTAACTTTTATGCTATTGCACATCATAGAACAGAACCAACTTGTTTAATTGAAACAGCTGTTAAGATTCATGAATTCCTTTTAAATATGAAAAATCATAAGATTAACATGGGGAACTACAGAGCAACTGGGGCGTAGCCCGAAACGGTTTTTGAGATAAGAATATGCTTTAATGTTAATCGGGAATGTGAGCTATCATCATGCGAAATTTCAGCCCAATCCGTCCAGTAGTTTATGCGTGATTGAGCAACAAACACACGTACACAAACATACACACAAACTCACAAACTTTCAGATTTATATTAGTAAGATTTGTGATTGGTATTTTGCGAATTGTTGATAATTTATTTTTCTCTATTGTTTAGGTGAAGTGGTAGAACATTATGGCGTTGGTAGATGTGTAATAGGCTACTATAGAATACTGTAAATTTAAAAAAGCAAATTTTATCAAACTGTGTCCTCCCTTATTGCAAACGCAAAGCTTGAGTATAACTGCAATAAGCATTTTATACTTATATTCCAACTCCATACGAAGGACGGGTACTCTGCTAGTAGTTAATATGTTTCAATACAAAATGTAAGGTATGTATGGTAATTGTATGGTATGTGTTACCTCTCGCACCTGAGTTTCCCGTGTGCCGTCTGTTCTGTATTGTTTTCTGTTATCAACTTATTTGTATATTTTGTTAGTCTAATTTAAGTTTTATGTGTTTCATTAAGCTAGGAACTGTGTAGGCCCCTACTGGTCCCCAAAAAAAACTCTGTGGCAGAGACATCTCTTGTGTTTTAAAATCAAAGTCACCAGGGAAGGGTTGATGTAAGTTACCTAGGCTTAAATTAAGATTAAATTAACTTAAGTTAACCCTGACATTGTTAACTAATTAAGTTAAAGCTTACTCTTAGGTAGCCTACCAATAGCATTGTTTTAGTTTCAATGAGAACATTATTAACCACATAATAAAAACATCATTCCCGGGCCTTAAACTATATTTTAAGTGATGTTATTTAGCAGAGGCATTTTAGGTAGCCTAGGCCTACATAAGTTAAATTGTGTCCGTTTTACACAGAACTTTTTTTAGTAGGCCTAGGCTAGATAATTCACTTAACTGTGAGAATTATATTTTTAAAAGCCAAAGTTTCAAATTACTCAGGAAAAGAAAGTAACGACATTGTGTATTACATACCTTCAACTTCCTACGAAATCACAATCCATTCACAACCATTTCATTTTCACATAAGACCTAATAACTTGATTTCACAAAATGCCAACACATATGGAACAGAAAAAGTTCGATTCCTATGATAAAATTTATGAAACACTCTTCCCGCACAAATAAATTGGAGTTGAATATATTTTTTACATTTAATTCAACTACAAACACTTAACATTTAACTTTAATATCATAATTTTCTCTAACAATTCTTAATAACCTACACTATACTATAAACGTCACTCGAAAATTTTCTTCTGCATTTTCTTCTGCATTTTCTTCTGCTGATGTTCTACTTCTACTTCTTCTAGTGTTCTGCACTTTGGCATTTCACTTCTCAGGTGATAGCATCAAAGACATGTAAACGCGAATTGACCAACTACACCAGTAACGCATATATTTTATGGTATTATGAGTAATGTCAACACCTAGTTGAATTAGTCATCATCATAGATAAAACGGTTTTATCTTAATTCTTGTCTATGGTTTTATCTATGATAAAATCAACATGTAGGTCTTCTCTCAATGCAAAACCAAAACAATGGATTAAAACAGATTGGTTTGATTTGATTTGAACAACAATTGGATTAATAAGAATCATATTTAGCCAGAATTGTTAATTGTTAATTGTAATTGATTTTCATAGACCTTGTGATAAAACCATTGGCCGTTCGGCGTTCATTGTAGTTGGTCTTTGAAGTTACCTTTGCAGGTGATTTGAAAACGAAATCAAAATGACAGTGATAATTCAAGTCGACGTGTACGTTCGTTGTCATCGGCGATTCAGCTGTCTGCTTGGATTTTGAGTTGATGTCTTCTATCAAAACTGTTGAAATCTTGGTTTGAGGTTAACTGTGAAAGCTGTAGTTTAATAATTCCTTAAACCTACTAGAAATAATGTTGTGAGGTGGTTTTAGATTACAAGTTAAAGTTAATTGTTAAAGAAAATCACAGCTCCAAGATGGTGTTAATGACTATGATAGCTCGCATACACGATGGCCTGCCTTTAGCAGCGACTATGCAAGATGATGAACAGGTTAGCAAATAATTTTATGATGGAGAAAAACGTTGCAGTAACTTATTTTTAATTTTGGCAGTACTTGAATAAGTTTCTGACCACCGGAAAAGCCTGTTCTATATCAAAGCTAGATAATCCCTTGCCCTTCTTAATCTGATTCCTGAAAAATTAACTAGGCTAGGCTCTCTTGAACCCTAGTAGCTCAGGCTTATCTACCTGTAGGAGATACACAAACACATGTAAAAATGGATGCTGATCTATTAAAAATGATATCTGTTCCTACCATTGACTATGTATGCCGGTTGAGTAACAACGACGATTCATCAAAATGAAAAAATGACACCATATGCTTTTGATCTTAATGCTCACGGTGTCTTGAGATACATTAACTTACCACTTACCACACTGTTTGTCCAAATTTTTTGTGATAGTAGATTTATCTAATCTTGGATATTATTGTGAACGTTAAACATCTGGAATCTGTCCCCATCCACGGGTAAGACAGTACTTAAATCTGGGGCGGGTGGCGTCGTCCTGTAATCCAGCTACTAGGAGGTCATGAATTGTGGATATTTATAGGCATGCACTGTGGATGCGATACTCCTTGGTGTGGATTAACGTCCGCACGAGTGAGTACTACGACTATCCGCAGTACTATCCTGATAATTAGCTAGACCAATTCGTATATAGGCCTACCAAGGAAAATATGTGGTTCGGATTCCACTATAAGCTGTAGGTCCCTTAGTTGCCATTAGCTGTATGGGCTATTAATTAACCAGCTGTGTCTAAGGCACTAACAAGACTACAAGATCGCGCCACTCACCCTACACTCATCTCCATGACATACTTGGCTTAAAATACCTACTTTGTATGGTCGCCATTTAATAAGAAAGTATTAAAGTAAAAAAAAACTGGAAAAAACACAAACCCCAAAATGCCAAAGTTAGATAAATAATATAAGAACCACCCACAGAACAATAACTTATTGGTAAAAAGAAAAGCCCTTAAGTGAATCAATATGATAAACTTAGTAGGCCTAGGCCTATCACAATTAATTAGTGTAGATAGGCTAAGTTACATGCACACCCAGTGATAAGTAGGGTTCAGTTCTGCAGATAACATACAGTATATTATGGGATGAAATTATATCGTCAAATAATATCATCTGTTACTATTATGGGTCTATTCAAGAGGAGGGCTGCCTGTCATTCTTTTACAGCACACTGCAGCAAATAAGTTAAAAAGTTAGTTTAGATAAGTTTTTTAGCCTAATAACTTAATTATGACAAATAAAATATCATTTACAAAATTTGACCTTTTTATGAACTTTGGTGAGTCGGTGGCTCAGTTGGTAGCGTCACAGACTTTAAGCCCAAGGCAGTGATGTCGTGGGTTCGTATTCTGGTCACTGCCACAAACATTTTATCAGTAGGCCTACAGTTAACCTTTTTACTGTACCAGCTCACCCCTTGCTTTGCTGGATACGTTCCACGCACAGATCTGTAGTCTGTGTGGACGGGCAAATGCAAGGTTAAAAGAGGCTGCCAACCTTTTATATATATAAAAAAAAAAAACAGGTAAAAGAAGACACAAGTAAAATAAACGTCATTGTAGATCTCATTACCAAATTAGACAACATATAGAACTTGTTTTTATAAATGTTACCTTGTTTGTTATTATCATAAACTAAACTAAATCCTTTCCTATACTCTAATACGAGCAATGTTTGCTTGTATGTATGTATGCTTGCACCAAGATCTCGAAAACGGCTACGAAGATTTTCTTCAAATGTTGTAAATAGTTTATTTATGGCCTAAAAACGAGTTTACTGCAGTTAGAACTGCCAACAAAAATCTAATTGCATAGAAAAATGAAACTGAAAGTCAGATGTTTTTAACATTAGTCTTATTGGTTGCTAAGTAACCATGTTAGTTGAATTGAATAACAAGGAAAAAGTAAACAAAAGACTTGTAAGTAGTCTATCCACAGTATACTAGCAATTACAAATACAGTAGGGAAAAACATCAGTTACTATTGAGCAAAGATTTTACTGAAAATTGCTCGATACATTGTAGCAGGACTTTTTTTATCTATGATTGTAGTAAAGGCTAGCAGTGTGGAACTGTTTATGACGATTAGATTAGGGTATCTGCAATCCTTAAATGCCGTTGGAAGAGAGGGAAACAGGTCCGCGACGTAGGAAGTGGTAAAGGAAGTAGTAAATTCAAGTACGGTAGTCCGGAGTGTGGGAACTGTTTATGACGATTAGATTAAAGTATCTGCAATCCTAAAATGTTATGGGAAGGGAGGGAAACAGGTCCGCGACGTAGGAAGTGGTGAAGGAAGTAGTAAAGGTGAGCAGTCTGGAGTGTGGGAACTGTTTATGACGACTAGATTAAGGTATCTACATTCCTAAAATGCTATGGGAAGGGAGGGAAACAGGTCCGCAACGTAGGAAGTGGTGAAGGATTGTAGTAAAGGCGAGCAGTCTCGAGTGTGGGAACTGTTTATGATAATTAGATTAAGGTATCTGCAATCCTAAAATGTTATGGGAAGGGAGGGAAACTCAGGTGCGCGACGTAGGAAGTGGTGAAGGAAGTAGTAAAGGTGAGCAGTCCGAATTGTAGGAACTGTTTATGATAATTAGATTAAGGTATCTACAAGCCTAAAATGCTATGGGAAGGGAGGGAAACAGGTCCGCGACGTAGGAAGTGGTGAAAGAAGTATTAAAGGCGAGCAGTCTGGAGTGTGGTAACTGTTTACGACGATTAGATTAGGGTATCTGTAATCCTTGAATGCCGTTGGAAGGGAGGGAAACAGGTCCGCGACGTAGGAAGTGGTGAAGGAAGTAGTAAAGGTGAGCAGTCCGAATTGTAGGAACTGTTTATGATAATTAGATTAAGGTATCTACAATCCTAAAATTTGCCATGAGAAGGTAGGGAAACAGGTCCGCGACGATGGAAGTGTTGAAGGAAGTATTAAAGTCAAGCAGTCCGGAGTGTGGGAACTGTTTATGATAATTAGATTAAGGTATCTACAAGCCTAAAATGCTATGGGAAGGGAGGGAAACAGGTCCGCGACGTAGGATGTGGTGAAGGAAGTAGTAAAGGCGAGCAGTCTGGAGTGTGGGAACTGTTTATGACGATTAGATTAAGGTATCAACATTCCTAAAATGCTATGGGAAGGGAGGAAAACAGGTCCGCAACGTAGGAAGTGGTGAAGGAAGTAGTAAAGGCGAGCAGTCTCGAGTGTGGGAACTGTTTATGACGATTAGATTAGGGTATATGCAATGTTTAAATGCCGTTGGAAGGGAGGGAAACAGGTCCGCGACGTAGGAAGTGGTGAAGGAAGTAGTAAATTCAAGTACGGTAGTCCGGAGTGTGGGAACTGTTTATGACGATTAGATTAAGGTATCTGCAATCCTAAAATGTTATGGGAAGGGAGGGAAACTCAGGTCCGCGACGTAGGAAGTGGTGAAGGAAGTAGTAAAGGTGAGCAGTCCGAATTGTAGGAACTGTTTATGATAATTAGATTAAGGTATCTACAAGCCTAAAATGCTATGGGAAGGGAGGGAAACAAGTCCGCGACGTAGGATGTGGTGAAGGAAGTAGTAAAGGTGAGCAGTCCGAATTGTAGGAACTGTTTATGATAATTAGATTAAGGTATCTACAATCCTAAAATGCCATGAGAAGGTAGGGAAACAGGTCCGCGACGATGGAAGTGTTGAAGGAAGTATTAAAGTCAAGCAGTCCGGAGTGTGGGAACTGTTTATGATAATTAGATTAAGGTATCTACAAGCCTTAAATGCTATGGGAAGGGAGGGAAACAGGTCCGCGACGTAGGAAGTGGTGAAGGAAGTAGTAAATTCAAGTACGGTAGTCCGGAGTATGGGAACTGTTTATGACGATTAGATTAAGGTATCTGTAATCCTAAAATGTTATGGGAAGGGAGGGAAACAGGTCCGCAACGTAGGAAGTGGTGAAGGAAGTAGGAAAGGTGAGCAGTCCGAATTGTAGGAACTGTTTATGATAATTAGATTAAGGTATCTACAAGCCTAAAATGCCATGGGAGGGAGAGAAACAGGTCCGCGACGAAGGAAGTGTTGAAGGAAGTAGTAAAGTCAAGCAGTCCGGAGTGTGGGAACTGTTAATGACGATTAGATTAGGGTATCTGCAATCCTAAAATGCCGTTGGAAGGGAGGGAAACAGGTCCGCGACGTAGGAAGTGGTGAAGGAAGTAGTAAAGGTAAGCAGTCCGGAGTGCGGGAACTGTTAATGACGATTAGATTAGGGTATCTGCAATCCTTAAATTCCGTTGGAAGGAAGGGAAACAGGTCTGCGACCTAGGATGTGGTGAAGGAAGTAGTAAAGGTGAGCAGTCTGGAGTGTGGGAACTGCTAATGGGGATTAGATTAGGGTATCTACAATCCTAAAATGCCATGAGAAGTGAGGAAAACAGGTCCATAACGTAGGAAATGGTGGAGGAAGTAGTAAGGCTGGCAGTGCAGAGTGTGGGAACTGTCTGTGGCATTTATGTATCTGGAATTCTAAAATGGTGTAGGGATGGAGGGCAAACAGGTCCACAACGTAGGGAGTGGTGAAAGAAGTAGTAAAGGTAAGCAGTGTGGAGTTTGGGAGTGGATTAATGTATCTGCAATACTAAACTGCTTTTAGAGTAAACTAATGATTTTCCCCTCCCCAGGTACTCATAATCTAAACTGAAGTAACCTAACCTAACCGCTTTACTCAGATGGCACAACGCAGATGATTAATGAAATAGAATTAAAAATGTCTTACAAGGTATTCAGTTCATTCAACACTAAAAAGGTTAATACATTTTTCAGTCTGGACGCAGTATTCTTGAGTATCAGAACCAAGCCAAACTTCTATTCAGGAAGTTAAGCGCACAAAGCCCTCCACAGTGTACCATAGAAACAGGACCTTATTATTTCCAGTAAGTATCTCAAAACTACTTATGTAAACTAGCCTACTTTAAAACTAATACTATTTTTTTAAGTAGCTTCTTTAAACACATATATTGCTATAGCCTAATATTGATATAATGTAGGCCTACAAATCTTACTGATATTATAAATCTGAAAGTTTGTGAGTTTGTGTGTATGTTTGTGTGTGTGTTGCTCAATCACGCATAAACTACTGGACGGATTGGGCTGAAATTTGGCATGCTGATAGCTCACATTCCCGATTAACATTAAAGCATATTCTTATCTCAAAAACCCTTTCGGGCTCCGCCCCAGTGGCTCTGTAGTTCCCCAAGTTAATCTTATGATTTTTAATATTTAAAAGGAATTAATGAATCTTAACATCTGTCTCAATTAAACAAGTTGGTTCTGTTCTATGATATTCAACAGCATAAAAGTTACAAGGATTACCAACAGGGTGCAGCACTATTAATTTTTTTTTAAATTTATTACAACAGCTAATTTCCAACCAAAAGGTGAGTGAGCATAGCGAACGAACTTCAACCTTGAGGCGAGTTAGCGTAGCGAACGAGCTAACCTGAAGGCAAGTGAGCGCAGCGAACGAGCTCCAACCTAAAGGTGAGTGAGCGTAGCGAACGAACTTCAAGCAGGACGTGAATGAGCCATGCGAATACTTATGAAGTTAAACGGGGCGAAGCCCGCGGGTACAGCTAGTATTATATAAATATAGGGTAGTTAAGCTTAGAGATGGCTAATATTAAATAACAACTCTAAAATTAGTTATACTTCTAAGACATAACAAAAAAATAAAATAAAATAAAATTGCAATCTATATATATAATACGCTAAGCCGATTTTTGTGAACAGAACTCCTCCCTCATTTTTGGACCGATTTTAATGATTAAAGTGTCAAAAAAATGGCCCTGATCTGTAGTTTTGCAAAGTGTTTTTAATTTTTTTAAATCTTTATTAGTTTGGACAGGATCTTCAATCAAAGTTGAGTTTTCTCCCATAAGATTAACATGGGGGAATCTAAATATTTAATTGGAAACTTTGTCTCCACTAATTTGAGAGAACGGCTGGGCGTAGAAACTTGGTAGAGGTGTCCAAAGAAAGGTCTTGGTCTGTAGATGAGTTATCAAAAGAAAAACTAAGTAAATTCCCTTAGAGCTCTGCCCCAGAAGCCTTTAAAGATCCCTCCACAGATTTGTTTACATGTTGGCCATGTGGATAATACTTTTTAATGAAACAGCTGTTAATTTTTAAATCTATCTATATATTAATAGGCAAGCATGTTTCTTTAAAACCTTTTTTCTCAGCTCGTGTGCATCGTAGGGAAAATCTACGCATACCGTTAGAAAGCTATTTTCCTGTAGGTGTGCAGAATCCCTTTATACATTTAAATAGGCTCAAAGATAAGCGCAAACAATTAGTTTAAAAATTTGAAAAAATTAACATGGATCTTATGCGTTGCCATCCTGGTGACGAAATAACAACGAAATATAAACAGAAAATCAAAACAAATGGAAGAAACTCCAATCACATGTTTTATTATTAGTGTGGGGTGAAACATTAACATAAGTGAGTACATTACATATTTTTGGTCGAGTTTCGACCACTGGACATTACTCGTACTTATTTAACCCTAGATCTGGCGGTCATTTTATTCACCAGTGGCGGGTATATTTTGGCGCTTTTGTAGTGGTATCATATATTTTGCCACAGAACAATTATTTGTGAATATAAGTACACACATATATATATTTTCTATTTCAGTGATGAATTTAGAATATAATGATATAAAAATATTCTTTTTCTAGCAATGCGTTTAGGCGTAGTAGCAAAAGGTTTGCAAATTTTTGGATTATGCAAATTAGAAATTTCAAAAGCAACCCACAAGAAAACCACAAAATAATTTTTTACACATTTTATCTAAATGTAAAGTTTGTGTGAAATATGATTCCCTACGTAGAAATATCAATGTTTTTTAAATACTCATAAAAATAAAATTATAAAAAAATAAATTCTTCATACGTATTTTCTTTTTTGAAAAACTACCAAATTTATTTTTGTCACGTAGGAAATAATAGAATGCATCAACAAAAAATGAAATGATACTGTACAATAGGTAATAAAAAGATCTTTCTGAAAATATATAGTTATATTTAGTTGAATTCTAAAATGTCGGAGAAATTTACGTCGGAATGTATAATTTTGAAGATTTTTTTACAAAAACATAATATTTATGACATTTTTAAAAACAAATAAAATTTTTACAATCAACCTTATAGATTCACAAAGAATTGTAGGGAATGTATTGTAGTTTCAGAATATGTACTAATATTGTATACAATTTAATTGACAATCGCCAAAAACAGCTGTTTTTGTAGTCACGTGACCAAAACTTTCCACCGCCAAAATCTATTTTGAACTCTCTAGTTTTTCAAACTACCGTTTCTCGCTACATAATTCTCACTGAATAATGTTTTATGCATGAAAATGAATCCTCAGAATCTCATCTTTCTAATGGTATAAGATTTATTGCGTTTTAAAACTGTTTTCATATTTTAATAATAGAAAAACCCGACCCATGTCATCTTGGTCTATAATCGACCAGCGCCACTGAGAACTCACGTTTTAGTGGTCTAAAATCGACCAGCGCCAGATAGAGGGTTAATACGCAAGCAGATTTTTTGTGACAATTACTCCTCCGAAACTACTGAACCGATTGTCATGTTTTTGGTGTCATTGGAAAGAGCGTAACGTGAAGTTGTGCAGGAAACTTTCTTTTTAAGGAAATAATTAGAGAGTGAGGCCCTGGGGCCCATTAAAGTTTCATATTTCTCCATAAGGATAACATGGGAGATGATTTTTATTTACAGAAACATATGTTTGTTACTTGAAAATAGTCAAAGTCTACTACATAATAATTGCTGTGTGTTATGACTGTTAATGTATACTGCATTTCAATCAAGGATTGTGTACCTTAAAGTTTACCCATAATGGATCTTAACAGGCCCTACTTTGTTTTAATGCTGGGAATAGTAAAATTTAGTTGAAAATAAGTTACCATGATTTAGAAAACTTAACTATAATAATTTATGTATTTAAAATCACAAATCTTTGACATTATTAAATAATTTTAAATATAACAGCTGATTGACAAATCAAACAAATCATCTACTTCATGTGAATAATGTTGTTACACAAACATAGTTTTTTTAACCAATAACTTGAGTCTTTTTTACTTCTGGGTGTATTTTGAGTTTGCAATTATGAAAGCACCGAGCCAAGTAACTTTTATCTAATTTTCTTTATAAACTAACAGTATTAATGAATTAGTACATGAACTTGACAAGTTAGGTAATTAACTGTCAGTATGCCAAGGGGAAGAAGAGTGGGTCCTCGAAAACAGACAAAGGCGGAGGCACCCATCTAGAAAATCCAACTGAGTTTTTAAATATAGAGGTCAGTGGATTGCCAAGACACAGATTAGACTAATAAAAGGGGGCAGTGGTTTTATTGATGTGGAATATTAATACATAAAAAAGGGCCTCATTAATAGCACAAGGCTTCATGCGATCAGAATGGTTAACAACTTAATAGAATGTAAAGTCTTAACTGGGACAAGTGAGTGGGGACATATTTTGATTTCGAGGATAAAAATGTGCCCGTCTGAAACAAACTTAAGTTACCTTTTAAAATGGAAAGATGCTAATTTATGTTATCTTTGGCGTTTGCAGCACAAACCCTTTATTTAAAGATCAGCACTGTTCTTACCCAGATCAATTTCAGTCATGAGCAACTATATTGTATGTTGTTTTAAAGTAAGGCTACATCTTTTAATAGGATACGCATATTCATTACGGAAAATTCTGACCAGGGTAATCTTCCTGGAGGTAACTTTAAGACTAAAATCGTAGTATTCGTGGAAGTGCTTTTGTGTTAAAAATATTGTTTTTTTTTGTGTTTATTTTTAAAAGTATATTCTTCAAACAGCATTGTAAGACCCTCAAAATATGCTTCATAGGCCTATTGGTTTGATATGATAAAATGTTTTGTTAAATGTATTTTAAAAATCTTTAAAAAATAACTAGGAACACACTTGAACTTTAACACTTATTAATTTACTAAATATAATAGCCTACACATACAGCTAGAAAATGGCTGGACTGCTTCCCTTCTAAGGCTTTATTATTACTGTATTTAATTTTCGACGTCGAGTCAATATATAACAGGATGAATTTGTTTTCTAAATTCATATGTTATTTTGCGGGGCATTGAGCCGCACAGGTTCACTAGTTGTATTTTAAAGAACACACATTTATTTGGAGTTACTGAATTGTCCAAAAGAAGTATTTGCAATGTTATTTTCTGATTTTAAAATTGATTTTCTTCTGTATCATGTCATGTTTTGCAATATAACATAACGTTCCATTACAAAATCAGTGGAAAATCCTTTTATCACAGTAACTCTTACAGTTATTTCTTATTCAACTATCTTATATCTATTTTACGGGTTGGTGTCTGCCTTTTTCACTACTTTTCTTTTGCCTATATTTTATCATATTATTCTAGACAGATCATCATAGGTTCATGAGATTATTGTCAAAATCAAAATGTTTTCAATCATTGGGAAAATCTTCGATTGTGGAATACAATACAAAATAATACAAGTGCAGAAGGGCATGGTGCCAATTTGAGCCGTGTCCATATTTTGTTAAATTAATAGTAGTTTACAGCAACTGGATAAAACATTTTACAATATTTATATAGAAATATGTGTAGGATTTAGAAAGTCATTAAGCTGGAATACTGCAATATACAGCACACTTATATTTCTCCAACAGAAAATTCATCTGCAGAATAATTTTATTGTGCTCTTACCGTGTCTAATAACATCCAAACACAGAAACCTTGCCTAAAATGGTACCTATCTTGACAAATTATTTACAGTGGCCTATATTACTGACCATGGCCCACTGGGTTGGTAACATTATTGAAAATAACACGACATTTTGGCTGTAAAAAATGGCCTGATGAGTAAATACTATTTAAGCAGCTACTGTCATGACAGAAAGGTCATATTCCTTTTAAACTAGATCACATCATCCTTTATAAGATACGTTGATTACCAATATGTAAACGTCAATATATACGTAACAGCCAATTTACAGTATTTTTGCTTTTTGGAAATGTCCCATTGCTATGTCATTTGCATTATTTGTTGCCAATGAAGCCACCAAGACCATATAAATGAGGAGGCCCCTAACAGTTCAAGAATAAAAGCTAACTTCACTTCAAGTATTCCACTACACCTAACATTCCTTAGAGAGATTATTTTGACAACTTTAACTTTATGTTATTGATCAGGCTGAGACAACTAACTGACATCCCCCATGTCAAGGAATTCCAGCTTTAACAGTAACCCAACAACCAATTTCTCAAAACTGTGCTAGAAGGTTATTCATTAGCACAGAAACTGACGCGACGTGACGAAGGAAAAATCTAACTTACACTGTAACGGATATACCTCCCTTTGAAGTCAGAACGTGTGTTCCCAACAAACAGATATACTGTATATATATATTTTTCAAATAAAATCATAGATTAATCTGCATTACACTGATGAAAACGCGGAATTGTTTGACTACAAAAGATCCACCAATACGATTTTAAAACTATTTAATGGTACATCCAAAGGAAGAGATACCAGATAACATACTAATAATAACTCTTACACTTATTAGCCTTTAAACAATGCTAAATGCTCAAAATATGTATAATTTCACTCAATTTATCGCAGTTAGATGAATTAGCGTAAGCCTTGAAAGTACCGTCGATTTCGACGGGTTTCACCTAGTAAACAAATAAAATTACAAAACTTCACATTGGTTTTCTACATTAAAATTACGTTATATGTGTAGAATGTTACAGAAAGCCATACATGTGCCTAGGGGCCACTGAGGTCATAATCCGCCACTGTGCATTATTAATGAATCTAATATTGTTTCCAGCTATCTGATTGAACGAGATGTCTGCTACCTCGTGCTGTGTGAACGCAACTATTCCAAACGTCTGGCTTTCTCATACCTCGAGGATATTGCACAGGAGTTTTATTCCCAGTATGGAAAAAGAGTCAGTACAGTGTCCAGGCCATACACATTTATTGAGTTTGGTAAGTCCTTTTTTGTAGTGTGATTTATAGAACAAAGATTTTATTATTGTATAAAAATACAAAAAGGTAAAAGGTAAGGTGTTGGGGCATAGATTTTGGAAAAAAATATGAAAAATGATTGGTACATTTTTTTATTCTTAATCTATTGATATTATTTATTTTTTAAGGTTTAGACTAAAATAAAATATCATTTAATCATGATTCATTTTATATTTTTTTGTGTGCCTAGAGTGTAACTTAATGCATTGTTTCGAATATACTATTTTTGTTTACATTGGCTATTATGATATATTAATACTCAGAAATTATTTCTTTGGACGCAAAATAGGATTTAAGTTAAAAATCTATTTTTGTATATTTCTTGTTCTTGTAGTTTTTTGGGTTTTTCTGGCCCAATTAGCCAATTAGTCATTTTTTTACACTACCTACATATATTTAGTTTTGTTGAAGGAAAGGCTCTAGGCCAAGATTTTGAATCGCAGGATAAGGAAGATCTAACTTACCTTGAAAAATTATAGGTTGCCTAGCCCAACACACAAAAGACTAGAGACACTGATCACACAATATTTTGTCTCCTGGGGGGACTTTTTCAAGTTTAAAGAGAAAAGAGAGTGAAGAAAGTTAAACTGATGAAATTTGGTATAAACGTGTAAGCCTATATTTATTTGAACGAGTTCACAAACCAGCATGATCGGACCATAGGAACGGGTGTTTATGGGGGGTTTTATGGAGTAAAAATTGGGTTTTCCCATTTTTGACTAAGAAAAACATAAAATTTAGAAATATCTTTCCAAACCATTTTGTAGAAATTAAAAAACAAACAATTTAGTATATTGAAGCCTTATTATGCGCCTAATGGTTAGGAAAAAAATTCCAAAAAATTATAAACTTTAAATTCCGATGTTATTCTCATGGAGATAAGTATGTTGTAGTTTACTTGTTTATATATGAGCATATTTTTATCAAATTTGGAAAATGCATTTATTTGTTACTACAGTAGAACCCATCATATCCGGCCTTGGTTTTACCGGTCCTCTGTTTATCCGGCCCCTTCCAGGAAGCCAATATCAAAATGTTTTTCTCACAGCTTACGGACGTTTAGATGCAAGCACTAGTCTTTGTGACTGCTCAAGTCATCAAATAAATTGTTCTCACTATTTATCTGTTTATACATTTTTTGCTGTGTCACTATACTAAGTTGAGCTAGTAGGCCTAACCTTTGATCAGTTGGTTGATTATTTCCAAAGTAGGGTTAGTTAACAGTACAGTATATTATTAATTTTTGTATTTTACAAAATGGATAAAAATGTTGAATTGAAATCACATTCTGTGGTTGAAATGCATGTACCATTTAAGTCCTAATGATTTTCAAGTCCAATTTATAGTCATTTTTACCTTCATTAATAGTATTTGTTGCCTAGAATCATAATATTTATACGTTCTTCATTACTTAACCATTTTAACCTACAAATATTTTTTTTTTCTTATTACAAACATGTTTATTTTTTTTAATAATCCCAGAACAGACTGGAATGAGACTTTTCACTGCATATATTGATTACCTATTGTTATAACTGGTATGAATTATCATTTTCATTGTAGGTTGGTTTATCCAGCCAAATCGTTATCCGGCCAGGGGCTTGGTCCCGTGGTGGCCGGTTATGAGGGGTTCTACTGTAATCTATTTAAATTTTACAACCTAAGTACTCATTAAACTAATTATATTTAAATAGGGAATAAATGCGATATTTTTAAGCATACATTTGAGTGTAAATCCAATCAGAATCAGGCAAACGGAAATTTGTCAGGCTGCAGGTTTGCTGTGGCGGGGGTATTTTTGTATACTCTCTTCACTCCCTCTACACTTGACAAAGTCCTCCAAGAGGACAAAATATTTTGTGTTCAGTGTTTCTTATGTATGTTCTACCTATTCTTCTTCAAGGTAAGCTAGCTGCTATCCTCCTTAATCTAAAAGTCAAAAACTATGTTTATCTAAACAAATAAAATTACTTACCGTATCAATTTTATTTCAGACACATACATCCAAAAAGCCAAGAAGGTATTCACCGACTCGCGAGTGCGAAGAAATCTCAACTCTCTGAACACTGAGCTGCAAGATGTACAGAGAATAATGGTGCAAAACATTGATGATGTTTTACAGAGAGGAACTGTTTTATCAGGTAACAGAGTTGCTTTTTGTAGAAATTATGACAATTTTCTACAAGTGTATTGAAGCTGTTGCTCGTATTTACAGTATAGAAAGAACACGAGCAGCAAAAACAGCTGATCTAGAAGGAATTCGTGATCTATGAGGTTTGGACGTCTTGCGTCAAATATTGTATATTGGACGTCGAGATACAGTTCAAGAATTATATTTTGGACGTCGTGCAATGCATCCATTTAAAACACTTAGGGAAAAAATTAGTAGATTTTCCCTTGCTCTCTTGTGCTTGTTTATCATTTATTGTTATAATATAAATCAACTTTTACTGATTACTATTATTAGACTAATTTACAATATAAAAATGTTGTCATATTCTGTATGTGTGTATTTTTGTGTCGTAATGAAAAGAATTTTTCATAACTTGTAGCCTACTGAAAGTGGTATTCCGGCTCTAGGTCCAATTATTTCTGTTATTTCCTTTCCTTTTTATTGAAATTTAATGTTCATGTGTTCACCTTTGCCTCATACATGAAACTTCAGTAAAATGCCATTTATGGTATTGGCAGTGAAAAATACTAGGCTTATTGCAGAATTTTCTTAGTATACATACAAATCTGAATGTCCTAGGATTTTATATTCTAAATTCTAAACTATAGCGTATTACATGTATAATCACCTTTTACAGTTTTGAAAACTAAAATGAAATATTATTATGGCAGGTCTACACTCAGCTACTTATTTAAATGGGTTACTTTTGAATTACAAATCAGCTACTGTGATTTTTCTGGATATATTTTTATACGGATAGAAGCCAAGGGTCTACTCTAATAGGTGCCCAAAAGTCAACGCTATTTAATTATAACGTGTATCATATTTCATTAGCTCTTCTTTCTGATTTCCAGAGCTGGACACCAAAGCACAAAATCTCTCAATACTTTCACAGAAGTACAAGAAGGATGCGACGTATCTCAACATGAAGTCCATGTACATGAAGGCAGCTGCGGGCGCCGTCGTCGTCTTTGTTTTCATCATGTACTTCTGGATCCTTTGAATCACGGATCTAGCTACATATAAGCTAATACCTACAGATCATAATCACAATTCCCTTATACTCCTGTGGAGTAACTTTTACATTTATTTCAATTCATATTTTTACTTACTGTATTGTGTTGTCTGTCAAGATCAAGATGTATTTTATTAATTTATTAATACATATTCTGCTTATTTATACATTTTTCTTTCCATAGCTTAAGTTTTTTGGGTGTTGAAGCCCAGTTAGGACTAATGTAAATGTTGAAGTTGTTATGTATATATTGTGCTGTTTGTATTAAACGGGATGAGTATTTTCCATTATTCACTTATTTCTCCTAGTGATTGTTTTTAAGTTTATAAATAACTCTAGAAAAATGTAAAGCAATGTTGATATTAATTTTAATAATTAATTGAAGATGGTTTTGGTGCTTCCAGGCTGTAGAAAATCCCAGCATGCCAACCCCTGAGGCCAATGTTAATTTTTTGGCTATTTTAATTTGTAAAGGGATTCTGCACATCTACAGGAAAATATCTTTCTAACTTTCTAACAGTAATACAGTAGAACCCCTGATATCCGGCCTTGGTTTTACCGGTCCTCTGTTTATCCGGCCACTTCCAGGAAGCCAATATCAAAATGTTTTTCTCAAAGCTTACAGACGTTTAGATGCAAGCACTAGTCTTTGCGACTTGTCTGAGCTAAACTATTTATCTGTTTGTTTAAATACATTTTACTGTGTCACTAAACTCAGTTGAGCTAGGCCTAACCTCTAAACAGTTGGTTGATTAATTACAAATGGGGATTGGGAAATTAATCCTTTGTATTTATTTCACAAAATAGATAAGAAAGTTGAGTAGAAATGTATTTACTATTTAGGTCCTAAAAATTTCATTGCCGATTTATTGTAATTTACTTACATTATTTAATAGTTTTTGTTACCTGAAATATTAATTCTCGTATTTTCATTCGTTTACAACTTTAACCTACAAATAAATAATTTTTTTTATTTGTACGAACATGTTAATTCTTCTAAAAATAATCCTAGAATAGACTTAAATGATACTTTTGACAGCATGTATTGATTAAATATTATTAGGTATGAATTATTTTCATTTTCATAGTTGGTTGGTTAATCCGGCCAAATCGCTATCCGGCCAGGGGCTTGGTCCCGTGGTGGCCGGATATGAGGGGTTCTACTGTATATAGATTTTTCCAGCTTTCAGCAGCAATTTGTGGCGATTAAAATAGAATAATGAAGTAAACTGTTTCTATGGAAACTAATTAGTGGTTTACTATGTTCATTTTTAAAATTAATTACCTCTTACTTACTCTTACTCCCATGGCCACTCATATCTAGAGAGATATTTTTGGTAGAACCATTACCCGTTCGGTACTATTTTTTCTGATGCTCACTCGGCCGTTCAAGTAGTCAAAATTACAGGTCCGGATTTAAAAATATTTCAAATCAGTGACCTCTTCTGCGACACACAGAAATTGCTCCCCCACCAACAGTAGAATGTGATTGGAGCGTTAGTGTGACTCTCATCTAGTGCCTCAAGGGACATGTTATGGTTTACATTTTGTTTCTTGTTATTTAAAACTAGTTTAACCAAATAAACAATCTAAATTATAAAGGACAGCTTGTCCTCACGTTTTACAACCAAAAAGAAAAGCACAAATCATGATATTAAATTTTAAAAAATTGGAAATTTGTATGACACTTGTTCTTGGTATCACTCAGCATGAACCAGACTTTAAAAAACAAGCTTTTGATTTTACAATGGGGTGTTGAGAACATTTGGTTTAGTTAGTTTATCACATTTATATAAATGCCATAGCAAACCTACAGACTAAGCAAATTTCCATTTACCTGGCTAGATTTATTCTCAAATATTGTTATTGTTAGGCTAGTTTAGAGTAGTAGCCTATGACAAATAATATTGTACGTCACTCTTTTATTGTTTTATTGTACACTCTGTTTTATTGTATTTTTATGGTAATCCCCTTGTCCGGTAAACACACATTTTCCAGACTCGTAATGTAATATAGTATTACCACACAAACTGCAACACAAGTGTTAAAAAAATGGAATCTCAAAAACAATGTTTGGTAGGGGTCCCAAAAGAAGATGAACAATCATGAGGAAAATTTCAAATTGACTGCCATCCCTCCAACATATGGGTGAACTTAGTTTTTTAAACTCACATGTTTTGAAATGGAAGGGTATTTTTAATAGAAAGTTTTTAAAAGCAAGTTTACTGTAGTTAACAAGTAAAATCAAACTTTAATCGTAAAATTATATCTTCCCTTTTTGTATTACTTACTTTACTTAGTAATATATTAATGAAAGCAAATAAAATTGTCAACTGAACTGAAATAGCCTTTATTAAAATCATAATAATCTTTATACATAACACATTGACAATAAAATAGCAAATGTATAATTACACTCAAAAAGTTGAAAAACTAAACAATACTTCAAAAACAAAAATAACAGTCTGGGCACTATTTTATCACAGGTAAGCTCACTGCTGAATGGCGATAGCTCCCAAGCTTTGGGATAATCCTCCATTGACATCTTCTTGGCTGGATTCACCACAGGAATGTTGAGGTTTCCCACGATGTCCTCTTCTATTTCTACCTCCATTCCACCGTCCCCTGAAATGTCCTCTTCTTCTGCCTCTACCCCTTCCTCTTGAAAACTTTGGATGCTTCCTAAAAGGTCTTCCAGTGTCTGTAAAAGGTGATAACCTCAATTATTTCTATTTCTATAAAAAAATACATAATTTTATTTCAAGTAAAAGTTGAAGTGATTAAAACATTTTTCTGTGATCGAATCTGAATGTCCTGTCAACAAATTAGCCTTGACTAAGGAAGAGAATGGTGGAAGTTGTAGCCAGCATTTAAATAAAAATGAACATAGATGAATTGAGTAACTGACAGAATGCACACTGATTTCCACCAAGTTAAAGTTTTTGTAAACCATAGGATCTTTTATGTCATATATTACAGTTAAAATGCTCAATGATAAAATATAATTTTAGACTGTAGCACAATCGGTGACATATTCAAATATATGTTCTTTGAAAAAAGGTATCGGGGACCGAATGTTGCTCGGTTAATTGGGTGTATTGGTTAGTTGGGTTTAATCGTTAAAACAATATCAACAGACACATTTTATAATTTACGAAAAACATTTTTATTACAAACCATAGACATTTTATCACTGAAATAATGTACAACTATGTAATGTTGTGCTCTATAAAAGTATGCAATTTTAGTTTTATGATCTTGACTAAGATAAAAGTGCAACTCGCAGAATGATTCTCCCTTCTAGCCATTGAAACCCGTTGGCCGACTTTTACTCTCAAACAAAATCAGATTATTTTCAAATGCTTGTGACAACGATTTTTCGCCTTTGCGCTACCTACTACTTCTAAAGAAATTGAGATTATGTCTGTTTTTTCATTGGGATTTAGCATACGGTAATAGTTGAAATAAACCCTTAAATATGGTTTGTATTCTAATCTTATTTGGTTAAACAATAATAATTACAAGGACAGAGGCTTTAAAATACAAGGTTTAATGGTACATAAGTTGAATGGTTAAAATAGGGTTACAAAAATTGTTCAGGGGTGGGGATTCGTGCTGGCCGAATCAAAAGATTTCAAATTTAAATTTTCAATAAGTAAGTTATGGTAAGTTTTGAATTAAATAATCTTTTAGAAACAATGAGTTAAATAGGAAGGATTTTGATTTTAATTAAGAGAGGTAAATTGGGTCCAAATGGATGCTTGAAGAGTCTAGTCTGAGTCAATAACTTAATAAAAATGGAATGTTCTCACCAATCTTCTGTAATAATAATTTTCTTCTTAGTTTAAAGGCTTAAATTCTTCTTTCTTCAGTAAAATTTGGAAATTTTGACACTACTTTCTTTTATAATATGACAATTATTTTCACAATTAAGAGTTTAATGTGAGTTTTATGTGAGTTTTCTTCCAAAAAGATACCATAAATACTTTTGATTTTTAATTGTGTGTGTATTTGGACAATGACAAGTGCACCAGTGGTTGTGTATTAAAATAAGAAACCAGCACAATCTAAAAGACCGATAATATTCAGTTTAATTTTGTTATCTCCGGATTGCTGACAAAATATTTTTAGATAGAGATTAAAGGAACCTCTAATCAGGCATTGCCTTAGAGGCCCAATATTTTCTCGGTTGCAGTTTAAATGTGTTTTTTAATTTCTAACAAGTACTATAGAGTTATGAAATCTTCTGTCTTTTGTAAATATTAGTTTAAGAATATATATGTTAGTCCTATATGCATACAAGATGTTTTATTCACTGTATACAAGACATGTATATTATTAAGTTATGTACATAGGTTACATTTTTTGTTTAAAAGAAAATACAAAAAACTCTGTGCTGTATACAAAACTGTAATTTGAGAAAATAAATGAATTTGAATTTTAATTTGAATTTGAATTTAAACTTTTATGTTCTTCTTGGATGCTTTTACACTGCACACTCCTTTTCATTGATGTAAATCATATCAAGTTATGGGGTTCACATAAATAAAAACATGGTTGAATTTTATTAATATAATAATCTTGAACCCAGATGGATGGTGTTCTGATTGGAGGATTTGTTTTTGAATAATAATTTTGGATAAGCCAATGAATAAATTTTGATAGTAAATTATATATATGTTGAGACAATATGGTTTTAATAATATTAACAATGGACATGGATAAATATTGAAAATATAACAAGATTGAGTTTGAAATTAAAATAAGGACTATAATTATAAACATTGAATTTTGAGTCATTACATAGTATTATGACAAACCCCCATATCTAATTAATTTACTTGGAATATTGTTATATGATCAAATCTATTTTTACCCCTGTAATTTTCCTATCTAAACCCCCATGAGTTCTGTACTAAGACTTTTCGTTACCAAATTAGTAATAATTATACATCACACAGGTTTGTTTCAGCACCACCTACAGTTCCCTGCGATAGGCCTTGTGGTCCACCAATAAATTTGTTAGCTCCAAAATTATCTATTCCTAAAATTACAACCATATTCTTCCACTATTTTTAAATACATTTAGTTAAAACCTCCACAAACAATCAAAACAAGTGTAATATTTGCTCAATAGATACAACTGCGGTTTTCCCCTTTGTACTGTATTTTTTAGTTTGCTAGTATACTGTGGATAGCTGGTTTTAAACTGATATGTTTTGTTTATTTTTTTTTTCTTGTTATTTTATTTAACCAACGCAAGTTACTTGGCAACCCATAAGGCCAATGTTAAATTTGTTCATTATTTTCAAATAAGGTGTGTAGTGAAATATAAATTTTCCTGAGGTAGTAGTGGCTGTCACCAATCACGTTTTTAGGGCTATAAGTTCGTAATTCAAAAATTTACTCAAAATCCTTTTGCTGGATTTCAAGATACCTGCTTGTATTAGAGAATATGATAGCCTACATAGATGGGCTGCCTACTTCAGAATCTTTTAAGTCTTGGTAATATTTTACACTAGGGATGGCCAACGTTGGGTATTGCAAATGATTGTCAAAATTGACACAATCAGGAAGTGTGAAAATATACAGGGTGTTTCGAAAATCTCTCCCGAAACTCCGTGGGCATTTTCCTTAGGTCAAAACAAAAAAAATCACACAAACATATGCCCTATCTTGCGGCGTGTACGTATTTTTTACACAACTTCCCATAACTTTGGAGCCACTTGAGTTACCAGCTTCAAACTTGGTACGTGTTGATGACTAATAGGAACTACTTTTGCAAAGCACCAAGCTTCTACTTTGTATAATTTCAAAATGGCGGCTATTTTTATTTTTCAAATCTTAATAACTCAAAAACCATAGAATTTATAAATACCCCTGCCTGCAGCAAACCTGCAGACTAAGCGAATCTACTTGGCTGGAATTCCACAAAATTCTTCCCTTAAAATTGTCAGATTTATTTCCTGATTAAATATCATTAATTATAAGGATTTGTTAGGTTTGCTGCTACAGGGAAGACAATAAGGTGTGTTTTTAATTTAAATATGAAGTAATTATTAATTTAAGCTTAAGTATGAAGTAAAAAAAATTCACTTTTCCTTAAAATATGTCCTTAGATAAGCAACAGTTTATTTATCCTCCATAAGAATAACATGGTAATGTAAAATTTACACCCGTCATGATCCCCCCCTTCCCATAGTCTGATCCTGCTGTTTTGCAAACTCGTTTGGATAAATGTAGATTTACACGTTTATACCAAATTTCATCAAAATCAGATCATTTTTGCTTGAGTTATTGTGCTAACGTAGTCTACACATATAAATATATATGTATCTGAATTTGAGCGGATGGTGTTTTTGGCCTCTGCGATCCTCAAAACAAAAAAGTAAATTGGTCCTGGGTCTAGGTCTTACCATGAGATATACGGTAATAGCTACTATAGGCTACAGCGAAATTCGCTAACATACTTTTTTGTCCTAGTAAAAAAAGTATGACACTCATACCTTTGTGGTAAAATGTATATCTGGGTGTAATAAATACTTAAACTTTAATCTATAAACAAAAATTAGATTTCACTGTATCTGGCGCTATTTTGAACCAAATGAGGATGGAGTTGGGAAGACATATGTCTTTAGGTCCAATTGTTACAGATATATATATATATATATATTCCCACTGTCACAGATAGCATTTTCAACTTAGGTATTGTTGACTTTGGAAGATAGAAACCGTTGGTGAAAACTGTAAAAGCAATATATTTTTGTGTTTTTGAGCCAGAGTTCACTTTTATCAACGTACGTAAGCCTGCTATACTAAAAGAAATCCCTATAATTGGCAAAAAAATGCCCTTTTTTTGGCTTGATTAAAGTTTGTGTACAGCCTAAACCAGCAATCGTCAGCAGCACATTCTGTTGGAGGCTCAATTTCAATACTTTGGTTTTTATTCTAAATTTGGCTTCAACATTTCAAGGAAATTAAATGTCCCGAACTGTCTGTATAATAAGATCCAAGCCTCTTGAACCATTGCATGTTGAAAGTACAGTGAATAAATATTTCCATAGAAACCATTAATTTTATTCATTTGTCAGTTCATAAATGAATGCAAGACAAAATGTTTCCTTATGTCAAAATTATGATGAGGAAGAGTACAGACTTAAGAAACTTAAGAGTCTTGACTCCATTCCAGAGGGTACTACCATTAGTACTACAGTAAGTAGTTCAGTTCTGGAATATAAGTGAAAAGTTGCCGTGATTTGTCTATTCTTGTCACTACTGCTTCATAAGACCTAATTTGCAGAGGAACACTATAGGAAGCAACCAAATATGGACTTCTGAGGAAAATGGAAGTTTATAAAGCTACACAGAAACCTGGTGTATATTGCTTCAGTAAAGCGAGACCGATCCACATAGTTGAAAGGATTGCTCAGGGTAAAGTGCCAAAGGATCTGCTATAGGAAAATGATTGAACGTCGATGGAATATGGGAGATGAATGCAGATAGGATGAGGAGCTGGACTACCTGGGAAACTTCAAGAGGAAGAAATCGAAAAGTTCTGCAGCAACACTGTGAGCCGATTGAAGCCAATTTGCGATAGAAAAGAAGGACCTGAAGAAGATGAAAAATAATAGTAAGAACGAACTTGTTAGTATTAAGTATGTTATATATCTAGTATTAAGCATCTTTTGTACCCAGTGTTAGCATTTTATGTATCTTTTAATAAAGTATCCGTGCGCTTTCCTACTTCAGCGTATACGGAGCGTCCCCTGGGTGGCGGATAGGGGGAAGGTCGGTGGATCTGCTTGTCAGTCCTCCCGGCTAGGTCCGATGGACCCGCTGACCAGAAGTAGGTCCTCCATTCATAATGGGGGTTGTGGCGATGGGATAACCACCCTCCCATGTAAAAAAACCCCTTAAGCATGTTTTGTTTGTATCTAAGGTTAAGTATCTCATATGTAGGCTATCTAGTTGTATTATTTGTACGTAGTGTTAAGTATCTTGTGTATCTAGTAATAAAGAATTTCATGTACTAACTATTATTGAGTAGGATTTATTTCACTCATAATTATTGATAAATAGTTTTGTCAATATTCACAACTCTATGGTATAATACCCCTGCTGCAGCATACCAGCCGACTAAGAGAATTTCCATTCGCCTGGATTGATTTTCAAGTAGTCTATTAAATTAACATTTATGTTTAACAAGTACCTAGGTGTGCTGCTACAGGGAAATATATATCCATAAACAAGCCAACTACAACATTATACAATATTCTCCATAAGAATAACATGGGAATTTCAAATGATCATTTTTTTATTTTCTCCGTAAACAATAACCTTACAAAAACACTTTGATATACCAAATTATTTGTTTCTTTAAGCTCTTTAAATAGGCCTGGAGAAAAATTTATAATTTTTTTTTTCAAAGGTAAAAAATGAGAAACCCCCTATTTTTACCCCCGTTAAACCCTGTTCCCATGGTCCGATCATGCTGGTTTGCGAACTCATTCAAGTTTATTCTGCCTTACAACTTCAAACACAATTTTTACAAAATCGGACAAAAATTATTCAAGTTATTGTCTGGACAGACACATATATATATATATACAAAATATAAAAAAAATGAACAAATAGTGTTTTTGGCTTCTGAGGACATCAAAATGAAAAAGTAAATCGGTCCCGGGCCTAGGTCTTACCATGAGACCTACGTTTGGCTAATAAATACTTCAGGTAAATTCATTAAAAGGTTACCAACGATAAAAAGGATGGATATTTAACCCTAGAACTGCCCTCTGTTGTTTAAACGGCAGTTTTGTGTGCGCTAGATGTCCAACCTCCGTTAAACAGCAGTTGGGACATTTTTTCAAACGCTTACTATGCAATAATTACAATGATCCAGAAGCGTAGTAATTTTGATACTGTTGAAAAGAGGAGATTCTAAACTTTCATTTTCATATGTAAACAAACTTCGTAGCAGTAACATATTAATAATACTGCTATTATAATTTGAACAAAATTTAGCGTGCAAAACATTCTCGAGATGCAATCGACAAAATCTTGTAAAACATGTGTTCTTGAAAAAAATCGTGAAGTCTTTATTTTGGCCAAACAGAAAGCAGTTTGTAATATTGGAAAGAACATGAGTTGTTCTTTATTTTTGTAAAGAGAACTTTGTCATAAGACGTTAGGAAGTCTGAGAAATAAATTTTTGAAATCAGCTGTTTTGTCAACTGGCCATTTTGCCCAAAGCGCCGTTTCAACAGCGGTTTCTAAATCACTAATAAAAATATTGATAATTGACATAGCGTGACGTGAGTCAAACTTATTTGAAGCTGAGAAAACGTTCTTTCTCCAAATTTTAGTGCCTTTCAGTATTGAGATTCAGGTAACACATTAGTTGTGACTGGAAAAACAAGTTGTTTGCGTTCTGCTCGCCAGAATCATGAAGTGCGGTTTTCAGCGTGGCTACATTATTTGTGTTAATTTTCATAAAAAGTCAGTGTTTTAGTGTAAAAGAAGTGCATTGTCAGGTGGTATGTGAGTTAGTAGTAGTATTTATCCATATTACAATGGGTATTTTATTTTTCAAATTTGTGTTATTGAAATACATCCTAGCCTAGCATACAATCTGTATGTGTGTCTTACGTCACAATAATGCTTTTGAACCTTTTGTTTGTTTATATTTCTGTATATATAAATAGGCCTATATTATTTCTTGTTCAGAAATGTATTTCTAACTTGACCACAGAGTTTCGAAACACCCTGTATAAGAATATATCTGCATATTTCTTACAATACATTTTGGCCCTGTGTGTTTATTTCTTTATAGAATATTGTATGATTGAACTATGCTATTAAATTATACCTCCAGTTTCCCCTTCGTTGGGTTGGTCGTCACCTTCTGAGCAGCATTCTTTATCCATTGTGTTTCCTTCCTCGTTGTTTATGTCAGAGAAAAGGAAATTATTTGGTCCAAATGATGAACGTTTTCTTTTGTCATTCAGTCTTCTCTTTTGCTTCCTCTGCAATTCTTCTTCTTCTTCTAAAAAAGACATATAGAATAGATGTGAATATATAAAATCTATAAAAAATCACTATTGTGTCAAAAACTTAAATTCCCTCAAAAAATTACAAGGATCTGTTGTGTAAGCTGGGAGGAATTCTGAAATGCTCTTGATAACCCAAAAGTATGCATCAAACCTTTTTTTTTTGTAGTTATAAGCTGTAAGTTTTATACTGAACATTTATTTTACAAAAACAAAATGCTATTCCAGGCTTCATAATTAGCAAATGGGATTAAGTTAACTCTAAAACCAAATGAGACTAACCATCTGTCAGGACATTGTACAAATGCCTGTGATGATTCAACACAACGTAAATAACTGGGTTTTCAATTATGGACTTCCCAAACAGATTGACTCTTATTGTAGAAGTAGAATCTAACATGTGATATCTGAAACAAAAATAAAAAGTGATAAAGCTCAAAGGTATTAGTGAGGCTGTTGGGCCAAAGGAACAAAACTCAGGAAGTAAAGCTCAAGGCATGAAATAAAATGCAAGTTCAATTTCAGGGTCAACCCTTATTGATTCATTTCATTAACACCCGCAGTCAAATAGGTTTTATGGCTCTGATGTCCATTATCTTTTAAGCCAGCAGAACGAGGTTGGTCAATAAAATGAGCCATTTTTCAATTAATTGTAATTGTAACACATTTATGTAATTTTTGTGACCTCACCTTAAATTCTATTGTTGTTAGGAAATAGCTTACTATACTACATAAATTGAAACTAAATCAAAATGTAGTTCTCACTGTTTTCAGTTTAAAAAATTATTATTTCAAGTATTAAAAAGTTCATCTTCAAAACCCATAAATTAAGCAATATAATGACTTATCATCTCTCTTGATCACAGCATGCATCAGTGAGCACATCTTAAATTCACGGTAACAGCCGCGATAAAATTCCGCAGTCATTAAAATTTTTTTTTACTTGGCACTTCAACATCATCAGAGAACCATCGGAATAACTGTTAAGTGTCACCGACTTGCTGATTATTCAAAATTTCCCTGTCCCATACATAACTTATGTAGGCCTATTAATTGACAAACTTTTTCTGAGTCATTAAAATTCACGTCGTTCTTGATTTTCCAGTCGGCTACACAGCCTGACATGATAGTAAAAGTATTTAGTGAAAAAGGTGTGGATAAAAATATGGTATAAAAGACGTTACCGGTTAGGAGCAGTGCGTTCCGCTTGCAACAGTAGCGTGATCCCCGAGTGTCCTGCTGCTTGGTAGAATGACAGCTGCGGGAATGTCATGTCTTCAGGAACAATGTACTTGTGAACACAAGCCGAGAGAAGCAGACTATCCAAAACTCTGAAAAAGTGTGAGTCTACTATTGAAACTGAAAACATGATTTTACAAGGAAAGTATCTACAGCCAATATGGAGAAATAGAAGAGGAAGGTGCTTACAGGTCACTTAGGACACAAGGGCTCCTAAATCAATGATTAATTAAAACTATATTAGTACAACTCACATCATGCTTCATTGTACCCATGTAGGCTACCTAAGAAAATTATTCTTTGATTTTGATTGTAAGTATCACAAAACAAAATAAGTTCTCTCAACACATTTCAAAATGTTATTTAGGTTCAGAATAATTTGAATTTGTATGTATTACAATATATTCGTGGTGTGTACCCATTGCAAGTTAACACAGGAAATCTCAGTGAATAGAAGAAACTACTAATAAACAAACTATGCATCCAACAAGAACTAATTGAAACAGCCAAATCTGAAGAATGATCTGGTCTGACCAAGTAAAAAAATACACGTTAATTTCTTTACTATTAATTTCAACAGAAAATGTGTTTCAGTGACCACACTACCTTTTGTCCGTAGCCTTAAAGTTTTCAGCTTGAGGAAACACCCAATCAATTTTCCAATAGAGATTTTGGTGATTGTAGTCGAGGTGAGTAGTGTTTGTCCGATGTCTTTCAAAAGCTGGAGGTAGATAATGGAGCTGAACACCTCTGCTAAGAGCAGCTCTCATTAAACGGTACAACTCCTGTGACCGAAATTAATCTGAGGTTAGTTTACATTAAAAGCAAGTTCAATTTTAAGCATGTCACAATGGATTACAATTTCAGGACCTGTCTTAGATGTTATAGTTTAAGTATTTTCAAGAAATTTGCTAAATAAATAGTTAATACTGACACCATAAAATTAGTTTGTTGATTTTCTTGTGATTTGGCACAGTTTGTCAATAGAGAGTGTAACAATGAGTGGTGTGGTCCTACTAATAAACAATGCTGTGTACTCAAGGCGGCTCCAGACATGCGCCATTCGCCAAGCACCGAGCAGCGACTCGCTGAATCTGGAGTAGTGTGGATAGTTGCTTGTCTATTTGGCAAGCAGCAAACATTCGTGCTCGTGTTTTCCCGTTTATTGTCGGTTTTTGCACACATTAAAGTGAATGAATATTTGTTATTCCCAAAACGAACAGTTGCTCGGATAACAACTCATGTGTGTAGCCGTCTACTCGTTAATCGGCGAATAGCAAGACAACTAGATCGCCGAACATAAAATATTTCCTGCTTGGCAAATGGCGCATGTATGGAGCCGCCTTCATGATCATCAAATCAAGTATGGCAATCCAAGATTATGATTACTGCAGAGATTTTTTTACATACGGTAATTCCAAGTAAACTGATCGTACCACATAATCATAATACAAAACCTTATGCCAGCAATATAAGTAGGTAGGGCCTACTCTCACTGAGCCATGAGTATGAAATGTACCAATTAATAATTGTAATAAATAATAATTACAAATAAATAATTTATGTAAAAATTAGAATTGGGGACCTAACAACAAATTTTTTTATATTCTCTTTCATTTTAGCTATTATCAACCCTTCCAGCAGTAAACAGGGGCAACCTTGCTAGATGGCATTCACTCATATAAAAGGTATTTTGAGAGCCAATAAATAATTTACAATCAAGAATTTAGAGCTAACCTCACATAGCTTTTGACAGTATTAATTGACAGCTAACCTCACGTAGGACTTATCCAAAGCTTTTGACAGTATTTCTCACCCAAAAATGATTGACAAACTTAATAGTTAATAGCCTAGGAATCAGGAATTCATATTTAAAATGGTTTGAATCATACCTAACTGATAGAGAACAATATGTAGAAATATCAAGGACTGAGAAAAATCAAGTTATTAAATTTCAGTCAACATTAGAAAAAGTTAAATATGGAGTACCCCAAGGGTCAATACTTGGACCATTATTATTTATCTGCTACATAAGTGATATGCCGAATTGCCTAAGTAAATTAAACTCTATCAAAAATCAGCTAACTGTTTGTACGCCGATGATTCAAACCCTATAATGTCTGCAAAAACTGGTATAGAATTAGAAATTCACTCCTTTGTGGAGTTAGCAAAAATTAAAGATTTCTTTATCACTCACGATTTAATTTTGAACACTCAAAAGACTAACTGCATATCATTTTGCACTAAACAAAGACAATCTAAAGAGGAAATAAATATTTACATAGATAATGAGGAAATTATGCAAGTTGAAAATACTAAATTTCTTGGCCTTATCGTTGATAGAAATCTAAGTTGGGATCTGCACGTGGATAATGTCTTAAAGAAAATTAACTCAGGAATCTATGCCAACAGAAGACTGTATTATCTCTGTGATACGAATGTATTAAAGTGTTTATTTTTCCAATGTTCAATCCCATGTTTCTTATGGGATACTGTGTCTACGGTGGAACATCTGCTCAAAATTTGACAAAGATACTAATAGGACAGAAAAGAGCATTAAGGGCCATATTAAACTTTAAGAACAATGAATCTGTCAAAACTTACTTTACTAAATTTGAAATTTTGACTGTTTACAGCTTATACGTTTTAGAATGCATAATGTTTGTAAAAAATAATATAAATAGTTTTATTACAAATAAAAATATCCACAGCTATAATACTAGGAATAAAAATAAAGTAGTATTACCAAATCATAAACTAGAATTGTTCAAAAGAAAAACTTCATAAGGTAAGTGCCCCAAATACCAACACCCTAAGACCAGAAATAAGCTGTCTTAGGTCATAAAAAATATTAAGGTTATGTAAAACCTGTTTTTAATGGAATAAATCAATTTGCCATAATATTAACAATGAAAAAACATCAAAATATGAAATAAAAACCCTAGTTTTAACTACTTATAAGCATTTAAATGTTGGGTAGCAAATATGCAACTTTACAAAAAATACCGACAACAATGAAAATTATTCCGACATCTCATGTCCTAATTACCGACAGTATGTTTATAAGAGGGATTTAAACTACAAGGTAACTTTGTATTTGTAATAAATGTATTTTTAAAGATTCCTTGTGTTTTCAATTTCCTGAATTACCACTCGTATCTTAATATTTTGTCATTCACCACCCTAAAAAAATATCCTTAACCAACAGGTTATGTTTGACGATCTTGCTAAACAAAAGTCACTTAGTATTTTTGCTGAAAACAAATGCTCAAAGTCGTATCAAAATGTCTTTTTACCTTTAGCAAAAGTAAGTTAGGGTATTTTTAACAATAACAATCGTGATCAGTAGTAAAAACATCGACATCTGACGAAAATAAACACACTGCTTAGCACCGACATACAGCTTAGCAGCCGATGACGATAGCTTCGCCATGACCACCTAGAGTAGTGTTTGCTTAGTTTCCGAGTTATACTCAATTACATGTTAGCTTATATAATAAGATGTGGAAAGTAATCAATTGCATTATATTGCATAAAATCATTGTTTATTCTATAAAATCACACGACATGAACATATGAATAAAACCACCAACAAAGAAGAGAAGAAAATGCATTTTTACAGATTAAAATGGGTTAAACTTAGACTAATCAAAATTCACAATGTACGTAGTAACTTATGTACAAAAGACTTTACAACAATATTACAAGCAAATATTAATTACAACCTACAGCACAACAAATAAGAAAATACATTTTTACAGATTCAAATGGGTTTATCCACGGCCGCCTTTAACTACAAAGGCGGCCGTGGTTTATCTTAGGCTACTCAACATTTCAAAGTCTGTGGTACAAATTATGTACAAAAACCCATCAACAGTCAAACAACACAAACAAATACAAATACAAGCAAATAAGGATTAAAACCTACAACAAAGAATAAAATACACTTTTACAAATTTAAATGGGTTTAACTATGACTAATCAAAATTTACAATATCTGTAGCAACTTATGTACAAAAAGGCTCTACAACAACATTCAGGCAAAGAAATTTAAACATAGGCCTACAGCAAAACAAAGAAGAAAATGCAATTTTACGATTTCAAAATGTTTTAACTTAACCTACTCAACATTTACTACCTATATGTACAAAATACCTTGTTCAGTTGATTCACTGTTCGTTTACTTACGAACTAAAAGTAAGGTACCCTCGTCTGTCAAATAGTGGTTCTTTCAAAATGTTTGTTATTTCTACAAAAGGGACTTCGTCAACGTCATCCACTTCAGGCCAAATAAATTTGTCTCCTCTTCGGGCGAGATATTTAATTTCAGCCGTGTTGTCTTGAAGAACACGTAGCACTTGACCAATATATTTTTTGTCTTGATCGGGTTTAGCAGTTGGATATGGTACTACGACCCAATGTCCTACACCAATATCCTTTGTGTTGGGCCTTTCTGCACTTGAAAGTTTGTCAAAGTCAAATTCATTAACTGGTGGTTGAGGGTAGTCATTCTCGTCGAGCTCAGATGAAGCTTCTTCTCTTTCTTGTTTCTTCTTGCTCGTCTTTTCTTTCTTCACTTTCACGGTCTGTTCTTTCATGGCTTGTAGATTTCGCCTTCTTTCTCTTCTTTCTTCTAAATCTTTTGCTTTTTTTGCTTTTTGTTCTGCTAGGCTTCTGTGATACACCTTCCAGCTTTCAGATGTCATGACTGTAGGCATTTTTACGCTGTTTCTTTTCTTCTTTTTGCCAGAGTCTTTTTTTGGACCAGGCCAAAAAACACAGTCCTTGAAAGGCGATGGAATGATGTCTTTAACGTCCTGAGTAGAAGTAGATGGCGGGGGCGTTTGACTTCTAACAGCCTGTGAGGTAGATGGCGGGGGCGTTTGACTTCTAACAGCCTGTGAGGTAGATGGCGGGGGCGTTTGACTTCTGGCAGCCTGTGAGGTAGATGGTGTTGAAAGCTCGGAGGGGGTTGGTTGACAAGCCAATGATGAGTTTTTTATATCTTGTAAAATCGGGTTAGAAATAACAGTAACTGGCAAATCCAACTCAACAACCATGTTTTGACCGAGGCCCAAGTCTTCAAATAGCTCCTCATTCAGCACAATGGTCTCGTTTAAGTCATCCAGAGTCATGTCAAAGTTGAAATCTGCCTCCACAGCTGGTGTGAGAACGTTAGGGGCGTCTGCTTCTTCAGGCAAAATGGTGGCGTCGGGTTCATCATTGGGACCGATTGTGGCGTCGGGGTCTTCAACGTGATCAATTGTAGTGTCTTGATTGATTGGAAGATCGTTGGCTGCAATTTTCAAATCTTCTCTAATACCTCTCCATATCTCAAATAGAGATTCATCACGCCTTTTAACAGGCCCACCTCGCCTAAAAACCTTCAGTCTCTCACTCCCTATCTTCTTCTCGAGATACACCAACGCGGTATTTATCTTTTCCACATCGTCATTTGATTTTACAACCGATTGTGGTTTTTGCTTTTGGGCCAAGTTCCCCACTATTTTAGTCAAGTCAATGTCTTGGACACTCAAACTTAGCAAGCCGCAAGTTTTGAACCCGTGTTTAATGGTTTCCGGCTTCAAGGTGGAATTGATGACGGTTTGCAGAATGGCCGGGAAATCTTCTTTTCTCACTTTCTGTGATGAATTTTGAAACCGCCACTCGCCAACAGCTTTTTTCCACGCCGTTTTTAACGGGTGGAAAACAGCAACATCTAATGGCTGCAAGATGTGTGTGGCATTAGGCAAAAGGGCCACGAGCTCAATTTCTTTGGATGTACAAAATTCGCTTAACTCTAGGGACATATGTGATACATGACCGTCCAAGAACATGATCACTGGTCGCGGTACGTTGTTGGCGGTCAGGTATGGCTCAAAGGTGTTTGCCATGTACTCAAAAAATGACTCACATGTCATCCATCCTGCCTCACTTTTGCCTAATGCCCACCCATCTGGAACAGCCATCCCTACCTGTACCGGGATACGTTCGTATGCATACAATAGCATTGGTGGTGCAACGCCACCGTCCGCACTAACTGTCATAAGGACCGTAACATTCTCTTTGTCCGTGTTGCCTGCCACATTGTAAACACTTCTGTCTCCTCTTGCGGCAATGACCTTCCCTGTTTTGGGAGCAAGAAAAAAGGCGGTCTCGTCGCAATTGAAGATTCGCCGCGGATCCTCGAAGACACTCATCAACTGCTTTTCTTCTGCATACCGTTTTACTTCTGCACACCACTCCGCGACCCTCTCCTCAGTGATGGCAGCACGTGAAGTCGTCAGGGTCTGGCACTCCCGGACGGCGAGGTTTTTGTGGCGGCCCATAAAGAGTTCATACCATCGACGGCCAGGTTTATCGTTGACGAATGGGTTAGGCCTACCCGTGCTGGTGAGCATCCGCCCAGCACTATGGATGAGTTGATCTTTAGTGATGGGGAAACCTCTCGTCTTACATGTTAAAACCCATTTCACTAGGATGTCTTCTTCGTCCTGAGAGAGGATTGGCTTCCTACCCAACTTACAGTTTTCGTCGTAACGCCCAGACACTTTGTCATGGAGCGTTACCCTAGGTACTCCAAACCGTTTTGCCGCGGATGACACCGTGTCGGTACCGCTCCTAACCGCCAGAATAGCCCCTTTCATATCTTCGTCAGAATACTGCTTCCGCTTCTTTGGCGGGGGCGTTTTTGTTGCAGGCATTCTAAAAAAAAAAAAAAAAAAAATCAAAACACAGCATTTGTGTATATATTATTATATTTATTTATACCGGTATATGTGTTTGTTTTCGTTGTCAACTTTAACATGTAAGTTATTGGATTTTGTATTTCTTAACACAATTTAAAAAATAACGACAATAAAAACATTTAATAATTATGTCAACAACTTCAAGTAGTAGAAAGGCTAGTTCGGTATAAAAAATAAAGATTTGTTTTATTATTAGTAGTAAAAGAATTAAATCACGACAGTTTGTACTTGTTTTCAAACAAGTGTCGGTATTATTTTGCGTACAAACGTATTGGAATTAATACCGACAGCGCCGCGTCGGTATTTGGCGAAATGACGAAATTTTGCTTCAAATACCGACAGCATTAAAATTAAGGAGAAACAGGTTAGATTTCAATATTTTGATATCAGATTTAAAAGTATAAATGTTGACGTGATCATTAAACCAACTGTCAACCCACGTACATATGTTTTTAAACTTTTAATCTCTAAAGCAGAACTCTATGTTCCTAGTGAAATACACTAAGTTTCTTACCTGAAATCACAGTTGACATACAGCGTCCGACGTATTCAACTCGCTCAAACTCAGAAAAGGAGGGAACGGATTCTTCTTCTTCTCGATCATAGAAAAAAACACGGCGCTCACAGCTATCTAAATATTAGGTTAGTGGAGACGTATGTGAGCTTATTTTTTCAGTGTAAAAGTGAAAGTGTCGGTATTTGGTGCAGTGTTGGTATTTAGGGCACTTACCTTACAACGGTATCAGATCACAGTATCCCATACCAGATCACATAAGAAGCATGCAGGATGATAAAGGTTTCAAAGTGAAATTGAAAGAATTTTTGATACAGAGGGCACTTTATTCATTTGATGACTTTTTTAACTTTAGAACAGATAATTGATCTTAAAATTCAGAAAACAGCAACCTGGAGTAGTGTGATCAATACTTTCCTACTAGGTAATAATTTTGATTGTAGCCTACCTATTCATGTAATTATTTATGTTCATTGTTTGACACTATTCATGTAAACATGAATTTACAAATATGAATAAAGATCTATTGATTTGATTTGTATTAGGTTTGAGCGGGAAATATCTAACTAGCTTCAGACTCTGTATTATCATAGGCTGTAAAAAATAGGCCTACAGAATTTGAGCTACCAGTACCACTATCTTGTTAATAAAGCCTCCCATTAATATAGTTTTTAGAAGGAATAGAATGGTGACATATTTACACAGTAGAGCAACTCCATTATGCATCAAAATATGAAATAATGAATTTTAAGTTTATATAAAGTCTTTAAAATAGAGTCTATTTTTATCTGTGAAACAAGCTTACCAACGGGAGGTTCCCATTGATCGGGTTGTAGCATGACTTGGGGGGAAGTTTCTCAGATCGGCTAACAAGGCGAGCTGTTTCCTCTAAAAATCGATAATCTGAAAAAGTAACCCAAGCATTAACATTGTCAGTATACATGTGTACCAATAATAATTAATACATGGCAGAAAGTAAACAAATTTATTCAATTTTATTAGCATGTCATTCAGTCCTAATGCTAAATTGCGAGTTGTGACACGTTAATCAGAGGCAAACTAAGCACCGTCAAGATAATTTAAATGTTATAATTATTGTTATGCTAAATCACAAAAGTTAAAGATGTAAGTATGCCCGGGGTTGTTATTTGGAGTAGGCCTATATTTATTAACAGCTTATTCCCTATGTATGGGAACTTCGCTAAAAGCATTTAACTTAAATAGGCCTACAATCTAGAAACTAGACTTCAGTAAAAGGCATCAGCATTTCTTTTTACTTTTTTTCCTAGGACTCTAGGCACGAGTCCGGGATCATTTTTGACATTACTTTAGGTTAAACCTAGGGTTGCGGCATTATCAGATAAAATTCATTGGTGATTTGGAGGGATTTGAACCCGGGACTGAACCACCACTGGACTAGCTCGCTCCCCAGAATTTTTCTTACTGGAGAAATGTTTAGAGAGCCTATAGATTGTAAACGATCAGTATTTAAGTAACTTAGCCTATTTATTTAGTAAAATTCATGAAATTTGTTGCCAATGATTTACATTTTCAGGTGAATTTGTATTCCTAAGTTACAATTAAAGTTAACAGTTTTTAAAACAGTTAATCAATAAAAACTATTGTAGACGTCCCGAAATACTGGGGAGAATGGGAATTATAACAAGTACTGTACTACAGCAAAAACAAAATAAATAACAACGAACACAAACATACACATAAATTGATTAGAGCAATGAATTACTATGCAAACAAGCATTACCATTCAAAAGATCAATATTGCTGAAGTTCTTCAATGTTTTGAACTTAACTCTGTCTCGGATTCCGTTACATTCCAGTTCTTTCTTGTGAATCTTAACACAATCTAAGCAACAAGTTCTGACTTCACATCTAGGGCAAGTATACTTGGCTTTGTTTTTCCCACAGACCTCACAGTCTTCAATCCTAGAAAAGAAACGGGTAAAATGTTAACAAACATTTACAGTAATCATAGAAACATCCAAATGTAGGTATTGCAGTAGCCTACGCTAGGCTTATTATTAGCATGCAGTTATGAGATGTTAATTAGATTGAAGTTATTAGATGCGGTATTTTCACCCCACCAATGAAAAATCCTGTTTTATTGCAGCATTTTTGAAATAGTAATTTGAGGTTTTTTTCTCAGGATTTTAATTTTACAAAAACAGTCTGCAGGCGACATAAACTAACAGCTCGATACATTATAACCTAAACTTTATTTTACCTAATCCAACCTACCTTCAAAGGACTTAATGCAGTCACCAATTCACACAAAGCACGACCTACCACCCTGACATGCCTAAATAAGAACTAGCCTATGTAATTAGTCCACCAGTCCATCTATATCTCCATAATGTGACGAAAATCCTATTATAGAAAACATTATTGACTACAGATTCACTTGAAATGAATCTATAACGATGTTATCATGTTTAATCAACGATGTCATTCTTCTCATCAACCATGTTACAGTGGACTTCCTCTTATTCGGACTCCTCAGGACCGAGACCAGTCCGGATAACAGTTTTTTCCGGTTAAACCAACGTCCCCAAAAAACTCGTTAAAACGGACCGTTCACTGTGATATTCGACTTAAATTTAGGAGAGCATTGTATTTAGACAAGTGATCACTTGTCTCAAATCTTTCCCACGAGAACAGTCGCTTCAGTACCGCCATTGACTATATATACCTACAGGTATATATAGTCAATGGTACCGCCCACTTCCTGCCGTTCTAGTCCGGTTAAACAGATGTGCTGATAAAAATTGTCCGGTTAAAGGGATGTAATTTCCACCGAGTGCAGTCCGGTTAACCCTAGAGCTGGCACTAGTGTAACGCTGTACTGGCATAGGGATATTATTGATTATGTAATATCATTTTTAGACCATCATAAAAATTAGAAAGAGCAACATAACTATGGATTATTATGTATCATTTTGTTAAGAATAAGACAAAGAACAATAATATAGGTGGTTTACATGGTTACCATAAAAAAAACATTTTTTAGTTTTTCCAAATTGTAGGCATTATTAATTTTTTTATAAAATGTTTTTATATTCCGTCGTGTAGCTAAGTGCAGGTAAGACTTATCATCATAGGGTAAATTGTAAAGTTGTAGTAAATTTTGTGCTGATCCCAAAGATAGGTAGTCTATATAGCTTATTTTGTGTATTTTGTTTGATAGCCCTATTATTATGTTGATCGTACCCCCGCGCTAGTACCAAATAATCATCCAACCCAGGTCATGTACAAAAGCGTTCACCTTATATAGCCTAATATTAATAAACTTAGTACTGGGTACCCAAGTAAAAATTATTTATTAAAATATTTACTGATTATAGTTTCGGCTCTAAGGCCATAAAAAAAAAAAAAATTAGACTATAGGTAGGCCTAGGCCTACCATAACTCCTGCATTGGCGCCGTATATCCGGCGTTGACATTTCGGCCGCGGCCGTTCGCGCCGTATATCCGGCGCTAGGGTTAAAAGGTGTCCGGATAAATAGACTCCCATACTATACTCTCTTAAACTTAACCTGAACTTGTGACGGCGTAACAGACTAGCAATAGGCTACATACGCAGCAGTCGCAGCACGTATGAGTATGAGTATTTTTGTTTTGGGTTTTAGTTGTACCGGTAGTGAAGTAAAATAACGTCACTAGGCATATTGCCGTTGACAGAATCAGAGTGAGTTAACACTTAAAGTTCAAAAGTTGTTACTTCCAGTCGCTTGTCATCTGATTGAAAAGAGTCAGCTGTAGGCTTAGTTAACCCACAGTTCATTCCACTTGTAAATGTTATCCATCCTACCTTGTTTATTGTAATGTTGTATATTTTTACGGCGATATCCTAAGAAATATTCATCAGCGGTAAAAAATAATGGTATTTTTGGATTAAGGAGGTAAAAAACTATTTAGCAAGATATCAAAATAAAAAATTTGTTTGGAGGCACCTATACGGAATAAATACTGTCAGTCAGTGGGCCTATCCTGTAGCCATACTCTGTTCAAACTTTATTAGAACAACATTGAGCTTATTATTTATTAAGCCTATTCTTTAATCTAATTTACTCTTACATTTTTCTTCTTTTAGTAATGACAAGTTTAAAGTATTTAAATTTGCCTAATATAGGCCTATATGATATTCCAATTCCAATATAGTCAAAGACTCAAAGATAGTATAGTAACTTAGGCCTAGTTATCAATGTTTTTAAACATGGCCATGTGACATAACCTCAATAATTAGAGTACAGGAAATCCTACAAGCTTGGCTAAACAGACTACAGAGATTAAGCATAAACCAGCTTTACCTTGAATTGTCAGTAATAGGAGTTTCTTCATCAACTTCCATTTCTTTCCAAAATTATAAAACTAATGCCAAAATCCAAAATACCAGTATAATTAACTTATTGTAAATAAACAAGCTATTGAATAATGAATACTAGGTTCTAGGTAGGGGGAACCGGGGAAATGCTGATTGCAGCACTAAAAAAAAAACTAATGCAGTCAACATGTCAACAAGTAGAAAAAAACAAACAGCCTTATAGCTAGTGGTGATGTGGAAAGCGAATAAGGACCTCTTGTCGGGAATTTTAGATTTTGAGTTATATGTATTTGAATTCCTTATTAAATTCCGAATCGATTGGTGCAAGTCCCACGCAGACGCATTTATGATTTTTTTTGTTAAAGTTATAGGACTTTGAAATTTTGTTATGGAAAGGGGTCATTTTGAGAAAAACTGTTTGGAAAGTTTCAAATACAGTATGCATAAAAACGGCGTTTTTCGTATTTAAGAAACAATTCTGGTATCAAAAGAAAGCTTATTATGTCCTCTTTGAAAAAACCAAATTTATTTCCTAACTCATTGTAGTTTTCATTTAAATAAAATTATTTTATTGAAGCATGTCGTAAAAATCGCTTTCAGAAAAGGGACCTCTTGGCGGCCCCATGTTATTTTGCCATAAGATAAGAAAAGGTACCTCTTGTCGGGACCGCAAAATTTGTGAGATATTTTATCCTTCGTGAACTGAACTTCGTTGCAGTTTTCTAAATTTCCACTAGAATGCAGGACAATTCAATTTTTTGGACTAAAATCTGTTTAAAAAGGGAATATTAGAAATGAGACCTCATCTTGTCGTTATGGCGAAATAACATTGAGCGACAGGAGGTACCTTTTCTCAGACCGTGCAGAGGCTAACAAAATGATTTATTTTGACCTTTTTCATCTTCAATTCGAGATTTTAACCGATACTATCATGTACTATGCTAGATGATGTATAACAATCGATAAACACCCGAAATTCGATATTTTCAACCTTAATTACTTATATCGGCCGTACTGAAAGTTTTGCATCTCCGACAAGAGGTCCCTTTTCGTTTTCCATATCACAGTGACAGACCAACATACCAAACCCCTGAACCTGACAATATAGATGAATAAGTTTAGATCATAACTGAAAACTGAAGTCACCTTTCAGTAGACACGGCCGCCATTAACTCCAGGCCGTGGCCTTCGAAATCGAACGTTGCAAGTGGTGTTGTAACAGCTGTTTTGTTTGGAAGCAGGCATGGTGGAAGGAAAAAACATAGGTGTGCTATTCCCGTCATATTCTGACGTCACTCGGATTGCAAACAAAAGATCACTTGATTGTATTGTAACTGTCAAATTTGTATACGTATTTGTTTTGATTTGGTTGCTTTTGTTTTTATTATTATAATACCCCCGCCGCAGCAAACCTGCAGACTTAGCGAATTTCCATTTGCCTGATTGGATTTAAACTAAAATGTCTCCTTAAAAATATCACATTTATTCCCTATTTAAACAGAATTAGTTTAATGAGTACTTAGGTTTGCTGCAACAGGGAGGGTAAAAAAGTTTTTTAATGTAGAATATTTATAAAGGTACTGTGGTTTAGTAAAAAATTAATGTATTTTCCAACTTTTATCAAAATATGTTCATAAACAAGCAAACTACAACAGTTTACTTATTCTCCATAAGAATAACATGGGAATTTTAAAATTACAATTTTTTTGAATTTTCTCCGTAACAATTAGGCGCATAATAATGCTTCAATATACTAAATTATTGGTTTTTTTAAGCTCTACAAAATGGTTTGAAAAGAAATTGTGAAATTTTGTGTTTTTAGGGTCAAAAATGGGAAAAACCTATTTTTACCCCATAAAACCCCCCATAAACCCCCGTTCCCATAGTCCGATCATGCTGGTTCGCGAACTCATTCAAGTTTATCCCGCCTTACACCTTCAAACCAAATTTTATCAAAATCGGACAAAAATTACTCAAGTTATCGTGCGGATGGACACATATATATATATATATCTCTATATATAGATATATAAAAATTTGAACGAATGGTGTTTTTGGCCTCTGGGGACATCAAAATGAAAAAGTAAATCGGTCCCGGGCTTAGGTCTTACCATGAGACCTACGGTAATAGCTACTTCCCTATAGGGAAATTCGCTAAAAACAATAACAATCAAATCAAAGCAAATACATACTAATATGACAGTTACGTGATCTTTTGTTTGCAATCCGAGTGACGTCAGAATAATATGACGGGACCCATATAGCACAAATATGTATTATATAGGTATCAGATAGGTATCCATGAAACTTAGGATATGTATTTTTAATGTTTAATACCTATATGATACCTTTTAAATACCTATCTAATAAGTGAAAATGTCCATCTCAAATACTATTCAGGTATAATCAATACATATCAAATATGTACCTGTTACCCAGGGCCGTTGCGTGGTTTTTTGGCACCCGGGGCGGGATGCTGCCAGGCGCCCCCCCCCTCCCCTCCAACACAGAATGAGTGATGATACCGCTATCTTTGTTTTAATCCCCAAAAACAGACACCTAAAGGGATTGAATCACCTTACAAAAATACTAGAGTCAGGAATCTGGGATTGATTATTAGGGATAAATTACTTAAATTTTGTATGAAAATCTTTTTTAATTGATGGTAACCAAATCCCAATTAATGTAAGAAAATGTTAAAATGTTTAAAAAGTACTGTACTGTATATGTTATTAATTAATACAGAGCAAATTGAAATTAATGCAATGTTTTCAAAAATGGATTGCAATAAACTTTAAACAAATTCTTTACATATACTTAACGTAGATGTAAATATGAAACCTATAATTTACTGGTGGTTTTGGTGTTAAAACCTCTATCAAATGAGAAAGGAGAATTTTATCCTAAAATAATCTTCAAAATTATTTGTGCAAAATGTATGTTTTTACAATGACAAAAATTTTTCTTTTAATAACCAAAAAAATCATGTTAGGGCCTTAATACAAATTCAATATGACACAACCGAAAGTTTTCATAGCAATAAACGTTTTACTATTTATTAGAACATATAATATGAATAAACACTGAGCAGAGTACAGCACCTTCCAGAGAACTACAGCATGATAACTTTTTTACAGATAAATTTATAACTCTGGCACTATTAGTGGCCTAGAGATAGTTCCAGCATATCACTAGTGGGCACACTGAGTGGCCTAACATATCTGAGAGACATGCAGCACGTAATAATTACCAATACTGTACTTAGCTCAGGAATAGGACTGGGCACTATGAGTGGCCTAAAGCTATTTGGAAGACTCCATAATAGTCCGTAAGCGGTTGAAATTGAAAATAGAAACGTTGTTACCTGGAAACCTAAATAAAGAACCATTTCATTATAAATTTTGGAGTTATCTGTAGCAGCTTGTGGTAATCTAGTTCAAAAGTATTCTTATGCAAAACAAGACAGACTAAAAGATTTTCTCTCATTATACTTTACAAATATAGTTATATGTATTTTGATTTGTTTAGAGTCATGTAACTTTAGACCGGTTGTCAATGCTATGGATGAACAAAAACTACTTTGGTTTAATTTTTAAGGTTTTTTTATTTCAGTATTATTTTGTTATATCTTTACATCGCCTTGATGTTCCCAAATTATTGTTCAAAAGCTTTATTGAAGTATTATACATATTAAAGATTTTGTGTTCTTTTAAAATTTAAAACCTACTAGCATTGCTTGGTCCAACTCTCCAAAAACCTTCAAAATGTATAAACATGTAGTTTTATTTTGCTGGAAAGTATGTAAAACAGTAATAATTTGAATGTGCAAGGATCCAGTGATCATGCGCAGGTGATCAACTCACCCCCATTTGAAGGACTTTAACCCTAAAACGGGATTTTTTTTGTGTCTCAACGGGATAACATGTTACTGCAGATGAATTATTAAAAACTTGTTGTACAGCTTATACTGTATTTACACCTAAGGGTTATCCATTATGGATTGGTACAGACATTACAGTACCGTTTAGTTCACTCCATTTGAAACCTCCATGTATCTTGTCCTTACTAATATATAAACATTTTTCAAACTTAACGTGGGTGATATTTTAATTGATGGAGAGCGGAGGAAATAGTAACAAGACCAGGGTTTAAACTATTGAACCTTATCCCTTGCAAAAAAACAAAAAAAAAACTAAAAGGCTAAATGTCACTGGCGTATGAACATTATAAAATAAATGGTATCAGCAATCTTAATACTTTCCCCCATTAGCATGTCACAACCTTTAAGGTAAGCTGTGGGAGTAACTATGATATTTATATTTTATGGCAATATACAAAAGTTGCAATAGCTTAAGATCCGTATTTTTTACAGCAATAGGTTATACCACTTATATCGTTTTAGTGAAAATCCAACTTTCCGCTATTTCATGAGAAAATCACCATTTGAAAATAAACAGTCAGATTGCCTGGTGATACCAAGCATAGTAACCAAATACAAAATGAGTCATCAAAATCAAACCACAGGTGTCGTCTGGTGGCTCTGGACACATAATCACTACAAAAACCTCTTTTTTGTGGTGTAGAGAAACCATAACTCAAACAATTTGGCAGAAACAATACTTTTTCCATATACTATACATACAGGGAAAAGTAAAAACAAACTAGGGATAATCTCTCAGGGACGTGGGATAATAAAGGTATTTTCCCCCATCTCTGGGATAAGTAGGGAATTATTTTCGACGCACTTCGGGATATATGACCTCGTTGAGCCTCGCCTCGCTAGGTAGCGCCAGTGCGCTGAGGGTCGTCGCGGCGTGTGTTGCATTGCGACGAATTGCAGTAGATTGCGGCACGCTGCGCGCGCAGACGCTACAATCGATAGCGACCCAGACGTTAGGCTACCTCAAAATATTACGTTCCCCCACAGTAATATGAAGGGTGCATTAGATATGGGAATGGTCGTGAGCAAAATCAAACTTAATGTTCTCCGTACCGACGGTACCATGTTATTCGGCCCCCGCTATAATTAAAAGGGTTTATACACGAATATTTTGGTTTACGAAATGGATTGGTTGGTTGTAAATTGGTCATGGAATTTGAGAACG